TCACAAACAGTTGTGGAGCTTGAGTGTGTAAGTCATCCTGAGATCACCAGTGCTGTTTCTTTCCTAATCAAGTTAATTAGAAAAAGTGCCATGGGAGCTAGAGTGACAGCAGCAAGGGACTGCTGGTCCACTTACCGCGGCCCGCAGGCTGTCATCGTGCAGAAATTGCGGAGAAATGTGGGTCAGCAGGGTGTCAGCGGTGACTAGAGGCATGTAGCCCGCCGTCGGGCTGTGATCAACCATGCAGTTCTTCTCATTTCTACATTTTTCATTTCATATCCTGTTTTCCTCCGAGCTCTTCCTCATGCTGAAGCTCCCTGGCTTGAGCTGTGACTGAAATATGTTCTCTTCTGCATGTACCATTGTGAGCAATCAGGAAAATTGTTTTTGAAACTTTTTGTAGCGCACACACAGCTGATAATAAAACCTCGAGCTTAGATAAGGAAAAAAAAAAAACAGCTGTTAGAAGTTTTCTCACCTCTGATAAAATATGTCACAGGATCAGTGATCCAAGCACGCCTTTTTTCTTCCCCACACGCTGTTTGTGCTTGTCTCCATTTTAAAGAGCAGCTCGTTCTCAGTTGTAAATGCACAAAGAGAGGCTTCGATTCACCTTCTGCCTGTGATAAGTATTCTGTGGTAGACAGACACAGCCCGCGGGTATGTCTTTTGCTGTGTGCTAATATATGCTTCTTCTCTGCAAGTCCCTTTCCCTCAACTAATATGATACACAAATGTTTTTAACACGAGGGAGGCAAAGGGAGTCTAATCAAGACATACAGGTGTAAGACATACAGAAGGCGGGGCTTTCTGCACATTGGCTTTGCCCTTGGAGTTGTAATGGGGTTGCAGTTATAGTTGATTCTTCTCGCCAGTTGGCCTCAAACATCACCTGGATTACACTGATTCACGGCCCGCATATTACAGGCAACCGTTTGGAATTGCACACGGACTCAAGGGGAGAAAAGTCCAATTAACATATGTATGAGCTGAGCGGAGATGGGAGGAAGCTCCCGCCAAAATAATCTTCCAATATTCCGCTGGTGTGTTACGGGGGGTTAACTGTGTTCGTCTGCTCGCTGCAGCGTGCTCGCATTCACAGCAAGAGTCCTGCCAGAGCTCGCCATGACATCACAGTGACCCAACAAGGGGGGCTGTTAAGCCTCAGAAGTTTGAACTGTGGCATCATAACCACTTTTACCAGTCAGATAACAACCCTAAGCGCACCGTAATGATACTTCATGCAGACAGGGTAGCTCATATCAGGACATCACAGGAACGTGGCCGGCCGGTGTTTTCTGCGGGCGCGAGTTGACATGGCGTAGCCTCACCTGAAGTAATCCCCATCCGAGCCCTGAAGCAGGGCCGTGCCATTAAAATACCACACTAATTAAAATAGAAAAGTTCCACTGCGGTTGGCTGGCAGGAGAGGATACACTCTGAGGTGACACCCAGAATGTAAAGTCATCTCCACGAGCCTCGTGCTACAGAAACAGAACTGAGTGCACACAACCAGAGCAGAATCCTTGATTAGAATGTTTTTTTAATCTGTGTGTGTGTGTGTGTGTTCTCTGTTTCCCTGCGGCCACAGCGGACCACTCACTGCACCTGCTCAGCCACTCAAAGATCCCCTTGGTTAGCGTGCACATGTGTTTGGCACTACAGATGTTCCTATTCAACTGTCAAGCTAATTTTCACGTATAAATAGCTTGGTATAAACCCAGAAACTTGTTTTTTTTTTTTTTCTGGAACTGCCTGACAGAAACACGGATACATGCATGACGGAGATGTATTCAAAGTCCAGGGAGCGAAATAGAGCTGGAACAGGCTTGTGAAGACCATCCCACAAGCCTTAGTAGTGACAGGCTGCCATTTCAAAGCTTCTTCAGTGAGTAGAAAAGAGGGAAAAAGACAGCTTCAGTTTTTAACTGTGTCATAAGATTTTTACACTCTGGGATTTATTTTTCCCTACTTTTTCGCTTCTTACACCCTCCCTTGTTAATAAATCAGGCGGAAATTTTGCCCCCCAGAGGTAGAGGATGATAAAAAAATTAGTTTTGGTGGAGAATTCTTTCATCTTTTTTTTATGCGTGTGAAACAAAGAGAACGCGAGACCGAGGCGTTATCAGTCGCTGCAGTTGTGTTTCAGGAGCCCGTCCTTGGGAAGAAGGCTCTGATGAACTTTTGTGGAGAGGCCAAGGTTGTGCAGTTAAGCTCGGATCACAGGCTTACTGAACGTTACACACGTGCGACACCATGACTGGCAGACACACACAAGAGGCGTTGAAAAAGAGGAATCACGTAGGAACCAATTGTTTTTGAAGCCGTCCCAAATTGAGCAGCCGTGAACAGCTTACATATTTACAGTATGTGGCACCTCTGAGCTCTTTTGAAACAGCACTTTGGCATCAAAACACACAGAAATCAATAGCTCTGTTCCACTTCCTAAATTAAAACATTCACTTACCTAAATAGGAGAGAGGATGTGTCCTTTTTATAGATTCTGAAGATGTGTTCTATTACAGCCGAAATGTAGTGGAAAACACTTACAGTACAATGATGAGGAAAACCTCTACTACCCAATCTCCTGCTTACAATTGTGATATCTAAACCTCTGTTTCTATCTGTGATATTGGTCAACAGATTGGTCTTCAGATGTTTAGATGACATGGATCCTGTTCTCACAAACCTCACACATTGATTTAATCCAAGAGAAAGAGCTCATTTCATCTGCCAGTGTTTACAGTTGTTAATTTGCTCCAGCATTAGCGCTATGATTAGAGCCACCACTACTGACTCCTGCTACTGAGCTGATAAATGAATCATACTGCTCCAAGCACACCAAGTTGCCCCCCTGTGTCGCCATCTAATCCTGTAATGGTCACAATAATGATGGAGCCATGGGAGGTGTCATTACAAGGGGCAGTTTCCATGACAGCACCACCACCCCTCTAACAAAAAGCCAAAATGAAGGAAAGATTAGAGAACATTAAGTGTTTGGAGGGATTGGACGTAGTGACTGTGACATCACCTATTAGTTTTTGTATGGAAGTTTTGAAGCCTCACGTTATTTTTTTGTTTTTTTTGCCACCGTCATCATGGTTTCTGGAACCAAAAAGAGACCATATTTGGACAGGAGGCTGGATGGACATCACTTTGCCCTGTCCTGGCTCACAGTTCTTTATGGTAGCATCTTCAATCACTTGGTAGCCATGCCATCGATTTTAATAAATAAACCTGTCTTAAAGGAGACTTGAAACTATAGCAAATGACAGCCTAAACTACCACTTGAATCAAGTGAGTCATTTTTGAGTAATCACAGACTTCTACACAAGCTGACTTCTTTTTGTAACCAGTAGCATTATCACCTATTGGCTGTTAGACACAGAAACCCTTCTATTGGGTCTCAGAAAGACACCTCTGACACTTAACATATCATTGGAGGAAAACCACTGATTTCTGACATTTTTCTTGCTGTTTAGTAACATTACTATTTTGGCTCACGCCACGCTTATATTGTTTCTTATTGAGACATACAAATTGAAAATAAACCAGTTTACATCTTAGCAGTATAAAAAAGGTTTACTTGATTAGGCCGTCACCTGATAGCACTTTTCTCGTACCAGTATCAAGATTGACCTCTCATACAGTCTTAAATTGTAAAAGCAAAGTAAAAGGTATAAAGAGATGATGAGGAGACAGCATCACATCAGAGGATATGAAAAGATTGTAAAGGGTATGGAAAGAACTCCACATTAGTTTTTTCGAGCAAGTCGACCGAGCGAGTCAATGCGAGCGATTGAAAAGTTCCTTTGATTTTCGGACTAAAATCCACTTTTTTTCAAATTTAACCTATGGGTCCCATCAGAAATGTTTTTGAGCTTCTATCTGCTTCTTCCTTTAACCTGCAGACACGCCACATTTAGCCACATAATCCACCCTTTGTGCATGAAGCCTTCCAAATAAAAATCAATATGGGAACATGACCGACTCCTTTTGTGTGCTCTTCATGCCAGAGTGTGGGCCTTCTCCCTGAAGACTAGACACTGAAACATGTATAAATGTACCCTGTCTTACTACACACAACAACATCTTATATTTTCATTGAAACATAAAGCACTGAAAAAGATTGATTGTGTCAGCATGGCAAGCTGTGATCAAAGGATTTTCGTACAGTTTTTTTAGGCGTCCTCTCCCGCCTTTTATCATCCCAGCCTACACCCATCTGACGGGAATCATAGGTGCAAAATCCCGTCGTGGTTTTAATGAAGTCATGCTGTAGCTGCTGCGTGAGAGGGAGAGGCTGAGACAGACACCTCTCTGTGATGTTCACATTTCATATCTGCCTCTGCCCAGGAGCTTGCCTTTTCTGAATTATTAAGCAGAGAGGCTCTTTCTTCTATTCGGCTGATTCTTTCTCTACATTTTCTCACTCTCTCTCCCTCTTGCTCGTCCTTTTTTTTCTCACTCCTGCGTGTCACTTCAACCAGCTCTGGCTGAAGCTGTGGCTCTCACTGAGATGCAAATGGCAGCCTTTGAAGGGGCACATAGGGAACGTCAATTAATCCAGGCGTTTACTTGCCTGAAAAGAAAAAAAAAGCGCTGTGTGGTCATTGTTCGGAGGCTGTTTCATCTGTATTGTGCTGCAGGGCCATGTTGTTATCCGCTGTCCTCATGCCACCGGATTCAGCGGACTCTTCAAAGATTCAGGAGACGCACAAAGGCCAGGAAATGACATAGGAAGCAGAGGTGTCACAGGAATAGGACTGTGTTGCATATTCCATCATGTTTTTTTTTTTTGGTTGTCCCCAAACCCTCTCTAACACTAAACCTGCAGTTCCCCATGTTCCTAAGCTTTAACCTCCCTTTCTCCTACACCCTCACCAGCCCCCAGACCTCTCTCCAACCTCTTCTTTATATGCCTCCCGCTCGCGCACCTGTCCTGTTCGGCATCCAGCCTCTAACTTTTGCTTTCTATCTCTTGGGCCGGTGGTCTTCAGATCTCAACGTACCGAGCCCCTGTTTGGATAAGGAGTGCGATCACGGTGCAGTGTGTGTGGTCAAGAACAACGAGCCTGTGTGCGAGTGCCCCGAGGCCTGCCCGCAAACGTCTGACCCCGTGTGCGGATCCGATGGCCACAGCTATGGCAGCCCCTGTGAGATGAGGGCGATGGGTTGTGCCCTGCAGAGAGCCATTCAAATCCAACACAAAGGACCTTGTGGTGAGTACCTGCATGTCACTAAGAAAGAAGGCAAAAGACAAAGGTCTTAAAAAATGATTCAATTGGGTAGTTGAATATTTTAGTGCTCTCATTTGTGCAACAAAGAACTCTTACATAATGTATAAAAATGCACGAGTGTTGTAAAAACGCCCTAAAGTCTTGTTAAAGAAACCCACCTTACATTGAAATGAAAAACATCTGCATTGTCTCGCCACCAATTTAACATCAGAAACCCAATACATAACAGAAACAGCATATTAATCTTAAAGCAACACAAGAAATAAGTGAAAAGTACAAACTCAAGGGAGGTCCACTGAGCAATAAAAACAAAGATCCCTGTAACACAACATCATTAAATGGAACTTCAAATAAGACACTCAAGAGACTTTTAACACACTGTAGACCTTAGAAAGGTAGAAAGGGGGAAACCTAACAACTGCACTAAATGTCTTTCAGACTTAAAAGATTAAAAAATGTGAATAACTTATCAAAATAAAACACCATCAAAGAATCAAGTAGCTTTCCAGAGAACAACAAATGAGAAAACATCAAATACATTTTTTCAAGAAGCATATATCTGCATGGGCGTCCTTCTTCCCTTTCCTGTAGGCGGGGCTTAAATTGCCATCATTCCCAGGCTTCAAATGTTTTGAAAAAAAAAAAACCTGAAGTAGTCCTCCAAGCAGGCAGCCCCGGTTAGAATCCCACCTCTGGCTCCTTTCCTGCATGTCATTCCTCACTGTCTTTCTCTCTCAATTTCTGACTCCATCCACAGTCCTGTCTCTAATAAAGTAATAAAAGCCCCAAAACAAACCTTTAAAAAATGCTAGCTGCTACATTACTACAGGAAAGTGTCACACCTAAGTAGGAACAGAAAGGAAAATGTTTTTGTTTATGATTTCTTTGGGGTGAAAAAAACTAAAAAAGTATAACTATATATGAAGTATAATGGATGCAGCTGATGCTACATAAAGCATGCATGCCCCTCACTCATGATTTGCTAGTGAGCATCGTGTACTAAACATCTTGATTGTTCCTCCACATTATAACCATTCCATCATTTGCAGTGCAGTCATGAAATGATACGAATCACAGCTCACAGGTAGAGAAAGAGCTCGCCCTGTGGAATATAATTAAGCTCAAATTAATTAATCGTGCTACATTCACCCTGAGGAAAGAATATAATGCACAGCCGTTAACAATGAACACATATGGAGTTAGGTCTATGTTGACTCCCGGGGGCTTTCCCACTTTCAGGTCAAAACAATGCGTCATATATCCTCCAGGTCTCTCAATGACTTTCCAGATCGCTCAATGATTGTCCTTGATCTTCTCCTTGCTGCTCTTCTTCGGCTCCTTTCTACCAACAACAACACTCCTGTTGTTGCCTGTTCTGCCCTGTAAGTAAAGATGCACTTTACTCTCCAGGAAAGGGAATGCAGAGCACACTTGTCTCTAATTGGCTCCATGAGTCCCTTGGTTTCAAGTGGTAAAAAGATCTTCAGATGTACTATTCAAGCTCCTGTCACATAGACAGATTTTTTAAGCTGTATAAACCCACTTGGTAAAATACTCTTGGGGCTTATTGCCATCTTGGTAGACCAATTTTTCCACCGACTCAAATTGGTGATTGAGTATTCCCGTTCTTGTCTGTCTTCAAGCCTCTTTTCACACACACTGGGCACAAGTGCAGCTCTTATTAGCCTCTTTGGCCAGACTCCACATAACCTCATTCACCAATTTTTACGACAATAGATTTGTATTCCCTCATATTTTAAAGACCGTAACAAGGAGAATGGGTTGGCCTCTTTGGTGCTTTATTTGGTGGTAAGCTGAGCAGTTAGCTGATAGATCAATACAACTGAATTAGCCTCATTTTGCTCCCCTGAAATTGTACGCCACTGTTTTTCTCCCCTCTTAAAATGTGCAATCAGTTTATTGGTTGTTTGTATGTGATTGTTTTGCACAATGGCTTGAATTTCATTAGCTGACAGGGTTCGTTTGTTGGAGTGGTCCTCGCTGCCTGCCTGCCTGCCTGCCCGTGTTCTGCATCTGTCGTCTGTCTCTTCCCAGCTTTCTCTCAAATTGAAATCCAACACATACATAAGGTTGTACGCCAACAGGAAATGGAGCACGGGCAGTGTTTGGTGAGCAGGCGGGCAGACTCAATTTGGTGCGCCGCACAGCAGGTAGACGGCAGGTCTGCAGTCCCGGGTCCCTTGGCGGTAATGAATAGTCTTTATTTTAAAAAGCGAGAGGCAGAGCGCTGGCGGAGTGGAGGGCCCTGTCTGTAATCCAGCACTATGGATGGTTCTTGGCTCCCAGAGGAACAGGCCTGCGTCAGCGCTACAGTGCCATAAAAACGCTGAGGCATTGGCTTGCCAGGCGCGAGCCGGCCGAGGAATGATGGCCATGATAATGCGGGTTATTTCTGGGCTGTTTGCACAGCTTTACTGGGCTTTATTCAGCCCCATAACAACTGACTGACTTAAGCTATTATCTCACCTCATTATCACAGGCCATTCCCACCACTGATATACTATTACATGTTTATGGAGCAGAAAAAGGAGAGCGAGGAGATGAACATATGCTGGCATCAGGTGCTGCTGGAACTATGGGATTAAAAGTTGAAGGAAAGAGCAGCTGAAGAAAGTGTGGGTTAGAGGGAGAATTTCCTTTAATACCCCATTTACCAAATTTATAATCCTGACTTTTTAGTTATATACATTTCATTTCTGTTGTATGGAATTAGTAAAGAGATGTTGACTGAGAATATGGACATTGCTTTTACTGTATTCTTTGGTATAACAGTTTACATACTTTATTAATCCCTGAGGGGAAATTCTGGTTTACACTGTTATTTAGAGACATGCTTCTCACGCATACAGACCCGAATTACACACATGCACAAACAGGACCTGTGGACATGGATTAGTGGCGAGATGTCAGAGTGGGGCTGCTACACAGGGTGCATCAGAGCTATTGGGGGTTCAGTGCCTTGCTCAAGTGCACCTCGGCAGAACTTGGGAAGTGACCTGGCACCTCTACAGCAACTAGACCAACTTCCATACTTTGATCCGCAGTGGGACTTGAACCGGTGACTAATCCAAGTCTCTACAGACTAAGCTACTTCGGGGGCCAATTATTCCTGAGCAATCAATGGAAGAAGTAGAGCGAAAAAATATATATATATTTTGCAAGAACTTGAATTATATTGTGTACAATTGATCACTACACTTTTATTCATTCATTCTGCAACAATAAGGTTTTTCATCTTTATATGCCTGACTTCCATAATAGGTTACTTTTTTTTGTTTTCTGTTTCTGTTTTGTTATTTCCATCTAAATGCACTATAATGTGTAAGCTGTCAGATTTATGGCTTCCAGACTCCAAAGCAGGAGCTTAAGAGAGGCAGGTGAGGGCAAGCAATACTACGAGAGGTGAGAGGTGCCACAACAAGGAAAAATAACTTGGCATGTCTACTTAACTGTGTGCGTGTGTGTGGGTGTGGGTGTGAGTGTTTGTGTGTGGCTTACTACAGCATCTCGTGGGCTCAGCCGTAATTTCATTTCCTCCCCTGCGGGCTGGAAAAAGGGTGGTTATCTATATGGCTCAGGTGCAAACCTGATAGCAATGTGAGTGACATTTGTTATTATTCAGAGATTTTCCCTTCTCCTGCGTATGAGTGGCGGCAACCTTGTAAGGCAGGCAGGGAGAGGTGCGCTCAGTTAATAGACCCCCCCAACTGGATATCAGTCGCTTTGGAAAAAAAGGGCCATTCATACGACTTTATCCAAACAGATGAGAGCAGAGACGCTGGAGTCATTTTAGAAAGGAAAATAACAAATTTCTTTTTTTTTTTTTCTCCCACAGGTGTTTGAAATGATATATACAGTTGAGTAAGAAATATAGGTCACACAAGCATCATGACAGTGGCTGGACGGAGAAAGAGGGAGGAGGGGGAAGTAATAAATGCAGGAAAAAGGAAGGGGATGGAGGTAAAAAGATGAGGAGGAGCAGTGGAAGTCGGGAGCAGAGTTAATAGCGCGCCGGGCAGGCAGGCAGGCAGGCATCGGCAGGGGAGTTGTTATCACCCAGGCATGCTCACAAGCCTTCAAAACACAAACCAGCCTCCTTCTTCCTGCTTAATCCAGAGGTAATACTCCGCCCAGACCCCCTCAGCAATTCAGCTTTTTTTTCCCCCGCTGAGGATATCAACAAAACGGTGTGAAACTGGAGGGTGTTAGTTTTTTTTTTGTTACTCCTCAATGGCCCAATCCTTCATGCTTTCAAGGCCACTTTTTCTACCAACCTACCTCGTATTTCACACTCTCACTACCAAAAACCACGAACACTGCCACCAAACACTAAAACAGAAGCCGTCATACTGCAAGAACCAACAGCAGTTCTCCTCAAACCCTGGGGACATTGATTTAATTCTAGTCCTCAGCATTCAAAAAGATGTAAATTAGGGTTTGGTCAAGGTCAAATACAAAGAAATACAAATAGAAATACAGAGATGGTTGAACTCATATGCAGTACGGAGACTCAGTGTGAAAATACACCTTCTTTCAGTTATCCTGCTATTTACATTACATTATTATGGTATAAAATGTCCCATGGCTATAAACAAATCTGCTACTCTGACACTTTAGTTTCTGGTTCCAACTGATAGCTTTTTTAAACGGGGGAGGTTGGTCGAAAAAAACATTTTGAAATTACTTAACACATTTTCAGATGCCACCATATCTTACATAAAGTCAATCTTGAATTCAATCTATGAAGATCTGCTTCAGACTTTTAGAAATATATATTTGCCAAGTATCTAAATGGGTCGGCCAAGCAGGAACCTAAATTTAGCACGTCTTGTTGCCAGGCTTGTGCCAGTTCTGTGATGAATAGCACGCGAATATCATCCCGAGTCCACTTATCTTGATGCCAGTGCTGGCTCAAGCTTGCCCAAGTGTTGCTGAGTGTAGTTGATTCTCAGTGGGTCTGCACACGGCTAAAAAATTTCCAAAACTGGCAAGCATTTATCGGCCAAAGCAGGTCACAGTTTGTTCCAGTTTTGGGCTGCAATCTGGTGGTTACGTGGGTTTTATCGGGTTACTATTAGCATTTTCATTTATTTTACAGTAACATTTTTGGGATACAGTTTATATTTGATTTCGTAAGTCCTGGCAAGATAAGACACCCTTCTTTGAAATTGGACACACTGTGTTATGGTGACTTTTTTTTTTAGGCACAAGAGGGTTTTTTTTTTCCATATAAGGACATGAAAGGTATTTAAATAAGATCCCAGTTTCTAATGATGTGAAACTATTTTAACACTGTGAGAATGTATGTTAATGCCTGACAGACATTTCTACCTCAAAGGCTGAACTTCTTATGTGTGCGAAGTTGTCTTCTTTTAGAAAGAGACTGTTTCTTGTTTTTTTTTACCCTGAAACTTAAAATCAGTGATGACAGACTTGGAAATGGCTCAAAGTAAGATGACAGAGCTGGACGCCTTAAGATTAGCGGTAATGGTGACAAATCTCCCTCTCTCTCCCAGGCTTTGAAATGCCTCTTTCTGCTGTGTGACGATGCGTGTTGTCTGGGGGATCAGGGCAGTGTGAAGAGCCAGGTGGTGAGGGGCAAGAGCTGATAAAGACGCAGGGCTGCTATCAGGACACAGGGCCTGATAAAGGACAACACTCATTTCCTGATATAAAGCTGCTCCAACAACACCAACAAGCCATATGAAGCCTCTTCCTTAATTGTTTGCATCCACAACTTTTAAAGCCACTTGAGCTGTCTTGATAGAAGGAGCAACATGTTCACAGACGATAGATTATTACTTAGTCTGAGTCCGAAATGATCAAACTTAAGGTACTTGGCCAAGAGGATATACAATTCTCACATATTTCGCTCAAATGTGGAATTCAGCACCTCGAACTGAAATCACGTGCATCAATATTCAGCCAAAAACAACCTCCACTCTTCTGGGAGGCTCTCCATAAGATTTTGGAACATGCTTGCAGGGATTTTCTCCCATCCACCAAACAGGAGCTTTAGCTAGGTCTGTCACTTATTCGGAGGCCTGGCTCACATTTGGATTTCCAATTAATCCCAAAAGAGTTGGATGGCTATGTGCCGGCCAGCACAGTTTCCTCGATGCCAAACTCTGAATCTTTTTTTTTTTTTTCATGGACATGCCCTCGAGCACAGAGTATTGTCATGTTGGAACAGGAAATGACTTACCCCCCACACTGTGGCCACAAAATTGGAAGCCCATTATTGTCTAAAATAACATTGGACCCTGGGGTACTTAAGTGGAATTCAGGTTGTTTTAAAGCTAATTAAAACTTTTGACATATTGGGTGTGCTTAATGAAGAATAGATACCAAACTTTTGGAATGACCTGATAACAGAACTTCAACTATAAGACAGGCTCTAATGGCTACAATGTTATCTCTCAAAGCAAAAGGCCCAATCAAAAAAGATATTTTGAAAGTCCTTATTTTTAATACTGACAGGCTTGGATTGCTAAAAAAAAAGCTGGCGGCTAACACATCACAAATGATCCCTACAAAACAGCTGCCACACTCTCTTCAGAGCCATCAGACTCTATCAACAGTAACAGTGTTTTTATTTTGCGGGGTTGCTGGTTTACTAATGTCTCAACCAGTTAGTGAGTGTTACCTTTCTGTGTTGGATCTGATTTTACGTTTTAAAACACAGAAGAACCCATAAAAACAGAAAATGTTCAGTTTGATAGCAGTGAAAAGCTCCTCCTAAGAGACAAGATGACCTGTTGTTTAAATGGAATCTGTTGGCTTCAAAGAGATAGATGTAATCTAAAACAGGGTTTCAGGTGAAATCCTGACCTTAACGAAATGGACTATCGTTGTCATTGTTGTTGTTGTTGTTGTTGTTGTTGCAGCACACGTATACGTTTTAGAATGTACTTTTCAGATGGACTCTTTGAAACCATTAATGGAAAAACATGCACTCAAAGTGGACATACTTTGAAACAGGCACATTTTCCTGGAACGATAACAGAAATATTACAGTCAAGCTGGCAGCTTCAGGCTGAAGCAATCTACTGCATTTTTAAACCTTTGCACCTTTTTGTCATTCAGGCATACCGTACAGTACTGTAGACTTACTTGAAACTGAGGTTGAACCAAATTGAAGGCCAGCCCCAGGCTAAAATTAAACTTAAAAAATGTACATGAAATATTCCTTCTGGCTGCCAAATACATGTCGTTTTCTATACATTATAACAGGACATTTGTCATTTTAATAATATACATTATATAATTCTTCTACAGGCAATACACTGTATGTTAAATGTCCTTCATTGCCATACCCAGTTCACAGTCAGGGCTCTTAATCTGTGCAGGGAGTGGATGCCAGCATTAGATGGAGAGAGGAAGGAAATAAAAGACCTTAAAAGAGTAATAAACAGATTAATAATGTGGAGGGTTCCAGCCTAGCCTCTCTCAATTAGTGCTTAATCAGCAGACGTTATTAGCCTGCCACTAATTGAATGCGATACAGCGAGCTAATGCAATCCTCCAGGTGTAATTGGTGTCAGAGGGAGAGGTTTATCTTCTGCCAGCCTCGTAGACAGACTAGTTCGTCTTACCTCAAGACCTCACGTTGGCCCTTTATTTGTTTCATGTCCCCCTGTGACATCAGCAATCAGCCTGTACCCTCTACATGCCTGATCCTGCCTCGCAATTTCTTCAGGGAAAACACTTTGCCGTCCTGAAGCAGGCAATCCCTCAAGAGGTGATGCAAGAGTAATCCGCCAAGTAAAAGGCAAATTCTCCAAAGCACTCTTTATTTTATTTTATTGGGGATTGTAGAGCTGCTTTTCGGTGAGAAATCACACAAAGAACGTCCCTTATTCAGTCTATTCACGAGCAGATATGAACAACCTTACCTACAGTAGAGTGATAAATACAGCCGGAGAAGTGTGACATCTCTCACCAGGAAGTGTTCCCAAAAAGATAACACTGGCACCATGGCTTCCCCACATAAAGCAGCCGGCTTTCAGGTCAAAGAGTTCAGTTCTTTTTCTGGTCAGAGCACAGAATCTTTCTTTCAGGCTTTCAGGGTCATTAACTGTTGTTTGCCAGACGTGTCACATGTTTTTTTTTCTCAGGAGTGTCTTCAGTTTTTGACCACTTCTCTGTAAAGTCCTGAGTGATGGACTGCAGAGATAGCCGTCCTTCTGGCATCCTCGTCTTTCTCTGCAGAGTGTCTGAAGGTCTTTGAGTTTGGTTATTTAGTTTCAGCTCCAGACAGAGTTGGTTTGGGGATGGTTCAAAATTTCTTCAGTGAGGAGTCCAATGTGCACCTGGGAACTTTTCAGCGCTCTCACTTTTTTTATTTTTATCTTCGTCCTCAGATCTGCCTCAGTAGAATTCTATCAGCCGAGAGGATTTTTTTTGGATTTCATGGTTTGGTTTTTTAGCTCTGTCATGCATGTGGACCGTGACGCCTTTTAATAGACAGGTGTGAGCCTTTCAAAAGCACTTCAAATATAGTGAATCTGCCACAGGTGGACTCTGAAATAAAGTTTCACACTCCCTCTGAACTTAGTGTGGAAACTTTGCGTCACTACCCTTTATGTATCCGCTTTCAGTCAAACAGCGCGTCAAGAGGGAGATGGATTAAATACAAAACCTGTTTGTCATTATCAAACTGTTTTGTGTCAAAATGATCAGACATTGAAAGTAAACGTAAACTTGAAATATGTTTTATAACATGTTTATTCACGTATTTATTTGCATGTTGGTATTCTCTCATCACTTTGACAGTTTTGAGAAAAAATGCTTTAAATCAAATCAAAAAAAATATAGCAATATATTCTGCGCTGTCCCTTTAAATAAAATAAAACACAATAAACTGACTTCTAATCTCTGTGTCATGATCATATAGGAAGATTCATATCAATACACAGCTTATATTAAAGGGGACATATGATGAAAAATCACTTTTAGTGTTTTTGAACATATATTGGGTAACCTGAGTGTCTACTGACCCACAAACTGTGAAATAAACCCATCCAGTCCTTTGTTTGTGGTCTGCATTAGTCTTACAACACAGAGAAAAATGCTTCGTTTCAAATGTAGCTCGTTGCATTTAAAGAGAGCTGGTTTATATAGGGTCACAAACCTCCTCTGGTGCTTGATTCATGTTATATTTTGACCAAAGCACAGCACAGATGTTTCATTTAACCACAGGGGACTGTTTGAAAATGTGGGAAAGGGGGGATATGTAATTTAATATATTTTTTGTTATTTCTGCCTTACCAAGTTATTTTATGTAAAAACACCTTAAATCCACACATACAAACACACATTAACATAAGCACTAAGCCTTTTCACCCCTCCTATCTCCATCTAGATGAAGCTTGTGCCAACTGCTCATTTGGTGCAATCTGCGATGCCCAGAGCGGGATGTGTGTGTGTCCATCGGAGTGTGTGAACTCCCACCAGCCTGTGTGCGGCAGCGATGGCATCACCTACCAGAGCGAGTGCGACCTGCACGTTCAGGCCTGCAATGAACAGACGGACATCCGAGTGGTCAGCCAGGGAGAGTGCAGTAAGTTCTGCAGTCGTACATTTATACTATATTTCTGTCTAATCCTACCAGCGTGTCGTTTTCCCCAACATCAAACTCGGAGGATAAGTGATTTCTGGCATATGCACGAGTCCCAGTGTGATCAAAGAAAGAAAGAAAAAGAAAAATGCATGATCTGTGAAGTTCTTTTCTTCCCTAGCTATAAATTAAATGTGGATAAAAAAGAATACAAGTAGACTCCACATCACACAGCTGCAGGCAGGCGGCTCATATTCTAACTACCTCTTTGAAATGCAAGATACTCAGATGTGGAATTACTGAGGGAGTAAGTTTGTGTCAGTTTTTAGAGGGGGATATTTTAACAAGAAGAACCAAACGGGTCAGATATGTCTTGTTTAAAAAAGATTCCAAAGATGCATTTTAAGGATTTTTGTGAGTAAAACACAGCAAAGCAACAGCATGAATATTTTAGTTTTCTGTATTGACCAATCCTGTTTTTTTGACTGGTCCCTCTGTTCTGTGTGTAATCCAGAGACATGCGGCAACACAGTTTGTGCCTGGGGAGCCCGGTGTGTCCAGAATAAGTGTGAGTGCCCACTGTGCCCAGGCGAGGCCTTCTCAGCGGTGTGCGGAAGCGATGGCACCACCTACAACAGCGAGTGCGAGCTCCGTCTGTCGTCCTGCATGCAGAAGAGGAGGATTGATGTGGCCAAGCCCGGCAGCTGTGATGAAGGTAGGAAATGGACTTTGAAATGGTGTAATTATGTTAACCAACTGGCCATTGAAATGGTGTAATTATCTTTATCAACTGACCTGTGGCACAGAATCCAGTCATCTGTGGACTTTTATAATGGTTGCATATGCCACCAGCCGCATGCCAACAGGCGAGTGTAGCAAGACATGAAGTCAAAGTCATACAACGGAACCTTTTACATGAGCAGGAATTAAGTCTGGGTGATTAAGTTCAGGTCAGCTGTGAGGTTTAGAAGCAATATTTTCATGCTCTGGCAGTCTTGTTTGTCCATCTATTACACTTCATTTCTTCCCAGCTGCCAGGTTCTTAATTTACCTTAAAGTTTTATAGACCGAGGCTCATGCCCTTTTATTCTAATTCATCCTGTTTTATTATTTATTACCACATTTTAGTAAAAGAAAACCTCAGTGTTTTCTCATGTTCTCTCTTCTGATGCTCTGCTGTCTGTTTTATACACTGTAAGCACAAAGCATTACAGCGACCTATCAGGCATTAAACTAATCATCTTCTTAGCAAACTTTATTTGAAAATATACGGTGGAAATATATAAGACTGACTCCTTAAAGTCTACAATGAAAATATAATCAGTTAAGAAAATGCAATCAGTACATTGTATCAGTGAAATTTCTGCAATTCTGCTTTTAGCTTTTTGTCAACAAATGGTGTCTGCCCCCCAGTGTCCATTGATGAGGCTTTAGGGGCTGCTAGCTGAGCTGCTGCTGATTAGCTCAAAGTCCAACTTTATTCCCTACTCTGAAAAAATAATAACCTGAAAATGGTGCTAACATAACTGGAAATATACTGTATGTATCACATTTTGACAGTCAGCACATAAACAAGCTCTGAAAGGTGAAACCTGAGAGTCATGTAGGATGATAGCGGAGATCAGAACTAAGATTATAAATGATCAGTCCAAAGCAGCCCTAAGTTTTACCAGCAGTTACATATCACTTAATAATAAAACAGTGTAAATGATTGAAGACTCTAATTGAGCAACAACGGTATAGTTGATGAAAAGTTAAACCTTGATAAGTGGTCGTTTTTCTCTTTCTTAAATAAGAGCTATAAGAGCACCATCACTTGGCTGTTTGTGTCTTATATGAGAATCAGCGGTAAACACTTACTCAAGCCCTTCTATCCAATTACGCTCTTAAGTGTGACCGATGGCAGCTAATGTGACGATCTCTGATTTGTACGCCTGTAGCTCCTTGGTTCCTCCACATCATGAATAAATGAGAACTAATTCACCGTGCAAATCATATCTTGATCAGCGCTGACAGACCGAGGCAGAATATCACAGGCCCTCGCTCGGCCCGTCTTTTGGGGGGGGGGGGGGCAACTCTGGAGGGAGCGAAATGCCAACCTCTGCTTGTCATGCATCAGGGTTGTCTGCGATCCCCCCCTCCCCCTCCTTCCCCCCTGTGGGTGCTGGGTCATCACAGGGATCATAGTCATCCTCTGACAAGGTGTGAAGGGGAGCAGATTACACCTGCCAGCAGGAGGGATGGCTGGAGAGAAGAAGAGAGGGGGGAGATGGAGGACAGAAAACACAGATATGAGAGGAATCCTCTTCCATTTTGATTGCTAGCCAGAGGTGTTCCTTTCTTTTCTATTTTCTCCGTAATCTCTCGTCCCCTCTACCATTGTCTACAGTTCTGGCCCTGGGCATGTTGGGAGAATCGTGCCACTGAAGCTTCTTTTGCTCGATTTAACATTGTTTCATTGACTGAGACGAGTGACCCTTTTTGTATGTAGAGCATGAAGAAATGTGAGACTGGATGCACATGATGCAGACAGACGCGCTCTGTGCTCAGTCTGTTGGGTGTCTGGTATATATACAGTAGATATAGATGAAAATGCTCTCCTCCACTTCCCCAAGGGCACTGCTTCGCTTGTGATGTCTGATGGCTTACTTTTTCTATTTTATTCTCCCCTCACACTGTCTCTGAACATCCTCCCCTTTTTTTTTTCATCACTTGCTCATTTCGATTCAGAGAAACCATCAGGCTTACACAATAGAATCTTCTTTTTTGCACTCCCTTGCCGCTCCTCGCCATCCCACCCACTCACGTCTCTATCCATTTTGCACTGTTCTCTGTCAAAATTGTGCCTCTTGACAAAAGGGGCACCGATGTTTTCACAGATAGGGGTGGAGATGGGATCGTCTGCAATCGATGGATTTCACCCCAGGGGTGACAACACGCCTGGTCTTATTCTGAAGGCTCCGTCCTCGGTCCTTTCAGCCCCCTCGAATCTGACCCAGACCCTCCACAGGAAGTTCGCTGTGATTGTAAAACGATCAAAACCAAGTTGCTGTTTTTTTCCCCTTCAAATATCTGTGGTTGGCTGAGGGGTATTTCTTTTATGCGACATATAGCAAGAAGTATTTGTTGTTGATATATTCAGTTTTTGTCAAAATTGGGAGTATATATTGTGACACATGGCACTCTGTCAGAAAATATAAGAGCAAAGACTGTATTTTTCTGCAGACAGCAGCAGAGCTCTACATCAGTGTAGTGAACAACCCCCCTCTCCATTCTTCAAATCTAAGATAAGCCTGGAGAGGAAGTGAACATGTGATTTATTCGCTTACGTAGACCTGACTTAAAAACCATCCTCATTAGTCTTGCTGGGGGGGAGGGGGGCACAGAGCATAAAAATGGAAGTTGTTTTCTTCCGCCTTTTGTTTAACAGTAATGAAAAATGACAGTGTTCCCACTGTTAGCCATACAGGGAAATTTATCACCTGTTTAATTTCACACTCCGGTAGGCCTGGCCTCAGCTCCTTTTGCCGACACTGACAAAGTAGCGACTGAGAGCAGTGCATCACCTACGGGTGCCCGGGCCCCCTTTTTTTTTTTTTAATTTAATAGACATTTAATAAACAAGATTATGAGCGCAGGATCACACCGTGATGTTCCATGCACACCCTGCTCCTCACATTGATCGGATCATAAAAGAGACGAAAGGGCATGATGAGAGAGAAAGAGCAAAGCGGGGGTCTGTTTGGGAAAAGAGCTCATTCAGTGAGATCAGCAGATTTTTTCATGCTCCATCCATCACTGGTGCGGTAACCTTCTGTTGAGGCACCAAAGCTTCTTTTTCTCCTTCTTCCATCTTCATCCCTCCTCCCCTCCGGGCGTGACGCTCTATCCCTCTCTATCTAACCTGACTTTATTTGGACTAACACGCTGTCACCAATGTCAAGTTGTGCGACTGATAGATGGAGCGAAAACAAATGCAAATCATGCCCCGCTTCATCCGTTGGCAAAGGCCATTGTCATTTTCGATCTTTGCTCTTGACACACGCCACAATCAGAGAGGATTTGCTTTTGAGTGATAGATGTTTCAGTTGACATCCGCGCAGGTGAATATCGGCCAATCCGCTGATATCTTGACTGTCTAGTTGACCGAACATCTACATCCCTGTCCATCACACACATTTTCTGCTCCCCGCTTCCTCTTCCTCTCTCTCCTATACATTCATGACAGCAGCATGCTCTCCATCACTTTTATTATTATTTCCTCTGTCAAATGTTTCTTCCCTCTCGCTCTTTCCTGGACATTATTCTTATGCTACTCATTTCCTTTTTCTTCTTCTCTCTCCTGCTGAATTCTGTCTTCTTAATGGAGCTCCGTTGGCTAAATAGACTCCAGCTTATGACATGATTGAGTAAAAAAGGGAATAGATGGGCAGTGCAGAGAGAATAGCTGATGCAGCCATCTTAGCTGGGGATGTATTAATTGAAAGGTTCACAGGCAGCGCGGGTGGCGGGCGCATCAAAGAGCAACAGCTAATTAGGACCCCCCTTCGCCCTTCACTTTTATTTATTCCATTCTAATGTCTTACCTCTTTTATTTATTTATCTCGTCTCTGTGTGAGGGCCTGAGCAGAATATAAATGTGCTACTCCTGCATATTCCTTTTCATGTGTCTCTCTCAGCTGGCGTACAGTATACAGATACAGGTGGCCAACAGCCAGAGCTGCAGCTCTCATTATTCAATCTCTTTCTCATCTTATACGATCGGCTTTCTTGACTTTGACTTTATATTAGAAGTGGGCATAGCATCTTAGTTTCAGAAATTGAAACCAATGCAAAAGGGCCTTAAACCTGCATTATTACTGATGACCAGCAGGCGGCCAAAATAAATGTAATTGCAAGGCACACTTAAATAAATGTGTGAGCTTTTAGCATATGATTTCAGATAGCTGGGATATCATAGATGATAAGGCAGGACATGTTTTCAAGTGTGGCTGCCTGTGATTGACGAGTCCCCACCATGACATCTAGTCATGTGATATAAAGGTGTGTACCCACTGAAAGCAAACAGATGCAGTTAACATTTTGCCCCCATTCATTGTGTTCTGCAACTGTTGGTTTTGATTTTAAAACAAAGAAATCTGCGATAAAGTGTTTAGAAAAGAAGGCTTTAGCATAAGTTCACACAGAAAGGAAGAATACACTTTGCATTCAAGGTCGTCGATCATTGCTCACTCGTCCCTTTCATTGCATAATAACTCACACTTCCTGCTGTCATCGTCCGAGGATGTTATTGGGAAATTGGCTGGTCTCATTCATCCAATAGCGTGATGTCTTACCCTTCCTCGTTTCATCTTTCTGCTCTATTTTTAAACTTGATTCTCTCATGCCATTAGTTCCTTCCTGCTGCTGTTACACACGCCCTTCCACCTCCCCATCACCGCCCAGTCTTAACAGAATCATCCGCCATCAGCCATCTGGTCTCAGCAAGTCATCAGCCACCAGTGTCTGGACTCCACGTGGGGATTTATCCTGCTGCCGCTGAGTGCAGTCATCAGTCGATTAGAAAATCTCCCTGCAGATCCCCATATCTTCTGTCAAGACATATCAACATATAACTATATAATCCGTTCAATAATGAATATTCTCTTCACTCAATTGTCTCTCCTGAGTGAATTAATGCTTGTGAGAGCTCGTTTCTTTGAAAAGACTCCTAAGTTCAAGTGACCAGCAGAGTAGGGCGGTGCAACCCCATGTGGATTGGTCGCTTCCAGTGGGCACATTCAGTGACAATGCTAATCCAACCTGTCATCCAGATACGCTCTCTTCTAGCTCGTAAAGAACACATGGCGTCGGCAACTATCCCAATCTTCTAGGCTTAGAAAAGACCAATGGGAGATGTCATGATGACTTTGTCCACTTCTTTTGTACAGTCTTAAGGTAACATCTGAAGTGAACCTGTCTTTACCTGCTGTTCTTTCATTGGCAGCAGGAAGTCATTAGCCTGTGCATTAGCTCCTGTAACAAAATGTTGTGTTTAACTTGGCTTTTGGTTCACGATCGATAAATAGCGGCACTAGCTAATCCAAGAGAAAAAGGATTAGGCTTTGAGGTTCTGCCCGTTTTAAAATGAAGACAGAGTGAGCCCCTAACAAGTCCTGATGCTTTGTGGTGTTGGGGGGGGGGGGGGGGTTGTGGCCTCTGAAAGTCTACACAAGGCTCCAGCTCTTCTACTAATGAAGTGAAGGCTGCTCCACTGTATCGACCACTCAAAGCTGTCACAGCCCATTGCTTATGACCCATATCAAAGAACAGCCAGGGCTTCATCTGTGCTGCCCCTCCCCTGCACTGTGACCTGCTCCATAATCTACTTTCGAGGATGGGTTATGCTAAGTGGCACCTCCATCACAGCGACATTGATTTCACCATTAGAGGAAGGAACATCAATACGGAGAGTTGAATGAGCTCTGAAAGTAGACGGGCGGAGGAAAGAAACATCCTGATTACCTGATGTTTTTTCAGACTTGGGGCTGTGCTGGGAGCTTTTAGTTGGACTGCATTCCAGTTTTTGAATAACAAATTTGTTTCAAATGAACTTTCTGCCAGCCCCCCAGGGTGCCTCTCTCTCTCTCTCTCTCTCTCTCTCTCTGACATTCTCTCCATCTTACGTGCTGACTGCTTTCGTTCCCTGCCTTCACAAACATTCACCTAATCTCCCTCAGGAGTTCCACTGTAGGTGAAATTTGCTACTTCAAAAGCGGGATCCTCCCCCTTTTCTGTGCCTGCACTCTGCACCAGCCTTCCATTTGTTTTTCATAAATGAAACTGCGAAAAAGTCTCCCTGGAAATGCTTTCCTTTTCTTTTCTTTTTTTTTTACCCCTTCAGGTAGTGTTTTAAAAGTTTGGCTTCCTTACTTCCTTGTACTGAAGTTTGCAGAAGTTTAAAAAAAATCAAAATATTAACAGAAAAATCAAAATAATCCATACAGCACTTTTGAACTCTTAGTATGCGTTGATGTTGGCGCCCTCTGTGCACACAGCAGTACCTATGTTTTACTTTGCAGATCTCATCCAGTAAATGCTGTAGTGTTTCCTGTTGTCTTTGAACAGCCGATCATCTCACTCACTATGAAACCGTGTAAAATCTATAAAGGAAAAGTGTAATAGATTAACTGTTTGTTGCTACTTGACTTGCTTTATATGTTTAATTCTAAGTATACACCAAGTCTAATTTTTTGTAAAAGTACTCTCACTTTACAAAGGACCCAAATTCTGATTCATATCCTGACTCTGATTTTTGGTGCAGTTTTGTAATGAATGTAACAAAATGCTTCATAATCGCAGCAAAGTGACAAAGGTGAGTGATGAAATGATCAGGTTTAATAGGAAAAACAGATACCTGCACCAGTTAGGCAAAAATAAAGTACAGAATAATGACTTTATTCAAAGCAATGATTCAATTTGAAAAGATTAAAACTGAAGTAAAATCTAAACTTCAAAGGGGATCACTGTCTCAGGCAACTTTATTACCTTACTGTTCCAGAGACTCGAGACCAGAAACTAAATGCAGCTCTCTTGAAAAGAAAAAAGAACGTCTGCATGAGGATCTAAAAATACCAAACCAGTATGTGCACAGAGCTAAGAGATCAGAGGTGCTGCAGGGAGACTGGCCATACAAATGTAAAAGTAATCACTAATTTCTTAAACGCTCAAACCGGTCTTATGTGGTCCTTAAGATGAGCTCTTAAGAGTTAGTTTATAAGCTATCAACAGTCCTCCTAGACGGAGATTATGGGACTGACTTTGGCCTTGTTTCATTTTTTTTTCCTGGAACACAAGGTCAGCTGGAGCCGCTCTCCTCCTTCTATCTAGTGAAGAGCACTTTTTAGAGCAAACAAAAGGCCTTCCAGGGTCACAGAGTTTGCTGGAACAACTTTGTTTAAAGTCTCCGGCGATAATTAGATTTTCACAGAACACTTTGCAATTAGTCGTATTCTTATATCAGGAAGCAGGCACCCATAAACCACCAACTCTCTCTGCACACTCGGAGGCCAGAGTTAATAATTCCCTCCCTTTTTTGTCTCTGATTTTAATTGAAATGAAAAGGATGCCTCGCTGGTTGTTCAGAGATGCTGCGTCTAATTTATTTAGTCGATCTCTCGCCCTCTTCACAGTCGGTCATTATCTTGTTCTACCAGAAGCCTTTGGTTCGTGAGGGAGATGTGCATTTAACTTTGTGACGCCCTCAGTGAAAACATTTAGGAATGAAAGTAGGACGCTGCTTCTCCCTGAGTCGCAGGTAAAGAGGCATCTCCCGTGTGTGTGTTTGTATGTTTTATTAATGATGTTGTGTATATATGGTGTGTTTACAATGCAGACTGCGGCTCAGGGGGGTCAGGCTCGGGCTTGGAGAGCTGCGAACAGGACCGCTGTCGCACGTTTGGAGGCTCGTGGGACGAGGACGCCGAGGACGATCGATGCGTCTGTGACTTCAGCTGTCGGACTGTGCCGCCCAACCTGGTACGGCTGCCTTCAAAACAACACAGCAATAACACAAACGATGCTGTTTTCTTCTGTCAAGACAAAGCACACAAACACCAGATTCATACTTCTGTTGACATGTTTTTCCCCTGAAAAGAGGAACTTCACAGTAACTCAGGGATGAATCAGTTCAGAGGTTTATTAAAAAGAACTTCTCGTTATTTTGGAAGTCGCCTCCTAGTCGTCAAGTTTTGACTTTTCTTGAGTATCAAAATAAAACAGTTGCTTAAATATCATGTGACTACATCATTATCATTTTAATAAAGTGAGTGAAACTGGAAAAAGAGCAGAGAAATCAAACGTTGTGTAACTAAATAATCTGTGTTCCTTTTTTTAGGTTTGTGCCTCAGACGGAAAAACCTACGACAACGAGTGTGAGCTGAAGAAGGCCAGATGTGAGAAACAAGAGCACGTGTTGATCCTGAATCAAGGACCCTGTGCAGGTCGGTACATTACACCACTCACAGTCAATGTCATTAAAGTGTGCAGAAGCACCCTCACCAAGTCTCATGATCATTGACATCCCATCTCTCCTTTCATTTCATCCATCTGTGTGCTCGTAATAGTCCGCAGTTGGAACATAATTCTGCTGTCTCTCTGCTCTGAAACCACTCTAACTGTAAGCAAATGAAATGAAGAGGGATCAATATGATGTGTATCTTTGTGTAATTTGCTCAGGGATGGTTGACTCAACCCCACTTGCAGCTTTTTTTAGCAATCCTCCCATTCTTATTTTGAAACTGTCCGGTCCTCCGAGGCCCGGCTGGTGTGTGGAGTTTAAGAATCGTTCTCATTGGCTCATGCATGAAGTGAGCTGACAGCAATAATGATTCATTTTCTCTGCCCGGACATTCTTACATTTTAAACCATTAAACTTGTCCTCACAAGCTTGCTCCTTAACCGCCTCGGGTTAGTGCTTTAGCCCACTCGCTTGCATTAAAAAAGACCCTCTCTTCGCATGTCAATGAACGGCACTTTATCAGACAAAATATTCGTCCTGATCAGCCGTTAAGTAGCAAAGGTTAGCCGTCTTCCTCTCCATGGCTATGAAAGGTTTTTGCTCCGATGCTAAAACATGCCAAGGGGAGCAAGGCAAAAGGCACTTAAGGGATTTCATGTGATCATTCCAGCCTGTTTGATTCCCCCTGGGTCTGAAGAAAAAAAAAAGAGAAAGGAGAGAGTTGAGCAGAGAGTGCGAAAGAGGGAGCCGCCAGTGTTTTCACACATCCCTGCAGATTCTTCTCCCCTTCCTAAGTCGGCTCCTTGGGCACTGACTGTCACGCTTTCCCTCCATCCATGGTTAATCAATCCTTCTTTTTTTTCTCTATGGCTATACCACAGCTCTGAAGTCTCCCTCTCTTGTCGGCAAATGGAAAAACTCAGATCTTGGGGAATTTCACTGCCCTCCACATTTAACTATGTAAAGGAGAAACTTCATTTGACCTCAACTCCTCAACTTTAAAAGAACATGCGAGCTCTCTGGAGCTGAGCATGAAAGCAACCTTGTTTTTTTTGTTTTTTTTAAAGGTTCTGATCATGGACTATGTATAGGAAGTGGTCAAAGCACCTCAGTGTCGTAACTGAATCCAGTCTGAAACCTGGATTTTTTTTTCTAAGGTCCAGCATCACAGGTTGCCCGTGTCAAGTCTTCTCCTCCAAAGCATGATGTGGATTTTGTTCATCTTGGTCCAGTTCAGTGTCAAATAGACCCCAAAGCAAAGAAGGCTTCAAGGCGTGCCTATGTGTGACTGGAAAGTCTGTATACCAGAGCTGCAGTGATTGATCCTTGATTGTTTAAGCAAAAGTATCACACATTTTTGTTTAGTTTTCTGAAATATAAGGACCTAATGCATTTTGTCATCTTGCAAATGAGAAGTCTGAGGTTCAGAGTAACTGCTGGTTTGACGAATGAGCTTTGAAGATGTCACCTTGGGCTCCGAAGAATAGATGTTTTTTCTCAACTTTTTTCAGGTCATAATTGGGGCTTTATTTGAGAGGAGAGCAGATAGAGTCTGAAACAGTGATGAGAGAGTGGAGAATAACGTGTCAAAGTGCCATCAGTCTTCAAAGATTACAGCCTCTCTACATTGTTCACCAAACACGACCGCTAAAGCTATCAGGAGCTTCCATTTCTTCTCCACTTTATGACATTTTTTATGATTATTTCGAAGTTAACAAAATGAACAATAAGTACTTAACATACAAAATGAATAAGACACAAACAAATCCCATTCCTTTCCCCCTTCTATCCTCTTATACAAGCCAGAATGTTAATGCTGCCTTAATTAATTTAATGACATATTTGTAGAATAGATGACAAATCAGTTATTTGTCAAATCAATCAGCAGATGATTGCAAAAGTAAAGCCCTGTCATTGCATCAACTAAGATGGCAGAGTTGATATTCAGGGACTCAGAACACTATGGCTCCCAAAGACAAACTTATTTATTTGCTACATGCGTTCAAAAACACAATGTTTTGAGATAAGTATATCTTTGGGAGCCATAGTGTTGTGATTCTTTGAGCATCATATGTAGTGGTTTTGCGCGCGTTTGCTGACTTTTTCCATAGTTAGTGTTCACCCTCATTTTAAATATTGTCACTCCATGTACACAAGATGTCAAGAGCCAACGTGCCAAACTCAAGGCTTCAAAACTGAAGCCACAAAGTGACTTGAGGGACTTCTTGTTGGCTCCATGCGTTCTTTATTTACAGGCAAAGCTTTTCATTTTGAAAGCATCTTGCATCTTTATGCAATGTTATAAATGTCATGTTCTGGTATACATCGTCAAGTTCACCTCCTATAGCATTTCAATCCTCCCATTATAGCTGCCTGTGAACTCAAGTGTCCGGGTCAGGGATTTCAGTTCAACAAGAAAATCGTCTTGGTTTACAAGTAAAGCAAACAAACACGTGCAGATGTGCCCTCGCAGGAACGTTAAAGACGAGTTACAATCGCAGCAGGGGAGAAAGCGCAGCAGCAGACCTTGGAAGTGTGAGGGTAATATAGCACATCACAGCTGAACTGCATTGTGCCAGACAATGCCCGGTGAAGAGGAAAAACCCTTGAAGGGTGGAAGAACATATGAAATTAAAAGTTCTCCTTGTCCTAATAGGCTCAGTACAGATAGCCGTGTGGAGCGCTGGAAAGTGGCAAGTTAAATGAACTGTGTCCAAAGCCCATCTCTGGAGTGGGAAAGCACTGGAAAAAGAGCGAGCCGAGTCATCACCATTAGGCTGAGGCTCATATCCACACCAGTAACAGTGTGATTTATGGCCCCGGTATCTCCAGCCTCCAAACTCCAAATGAGCAACACAAGAGAAAGCAATCGGGAGGGGAATAGAGAGAGACAGAGAGAAATAAAAGGGGAGGGAGAGAATTCTGCTCTCTATCTCTACAACTTTACTTTTCACTGCAAAGCCTGGGGAGAATTTAAACAATGATATTTCTGCCTCGGCCACTGAAAAAAAAAAAGAAACACTTTCCCTTCCCGCTGTACGTTTTGTTGTTCTCTTCCAATTTCTGGAGAAAGGCCAACTTTTTGGGAGCATATTTTGTTGAATGTTTTTCTTTTCTCTGAGCTGTCACGCTAGTTTGAAGCCTGCTGCATCCTTAGACAAAGGAGCTCTCCAACAGGCAGAAAAACTGCTTGGCACATTCCTTCACATTATGCAGCAGGCTTTCTTTTCCTTTTTTGGGGGGGGGGAGGAGGAGGTTGTAGGGCAGCAGCGCATTTCTGTAATAGAAGACAAGAACAAATGAAGAGAACATGCCTCCTAGTAGGTGGTAAATGTCAGCCGCTGCTCATTCACCAGCGACGCCATTGTTTGTTTTCACTGGAGGTAATGGCATCATTTTCCCCCTGATTTTGAGCCATTGTGGAGGAAGTAGCAAATAGAATTGTTATCTTGAAGCCGGTTGCCAGCCTCTCCACCTTTAGCCCTCAAGCCAATCTCATTGTCGGGGGGAAAAAGTTTTGCCCGGAGATTGTATTGTCTAATTCCCCCCCCCTCACTAACATAATCACTAATATGTTGTTGTTCTTCTTTCTCTCCTTGTGCCATCTCCCATCTCCCCTCCCTTTTTTTTTTTGGTTTTCCTCCTCATCAGTGATTGCACACGCATCTCTTCCTGAGCTGACAGAACCCCAGCACTGCAGTCTGTCTATATACGGCTGCTGCCTCGACAACTCGACGACCGCCTTGGGAGTCGGACTGGCCGGATGTCCCAGTAAGACCCCTGCTTAGTCCTGCTTGAACCCTCGATAACCTCCTCACGAGGTCCTCAGTTTGTTATGTGCATACAAAAAAAGTAGTCTTAGATACTATCGGGCTATTTCAGCATATGGTATACGGGGGCTTATTGTCCTTGACTGCAATTACAGTGCCAAAGTTGCAGAGTGGAAAACGTTTCATCGTAAGCCAAAGAATAATTATGATAATGTTGCACCATATCAACAGAAGAATCTCTCCATCTGATGATGCACAGAGATGGGGGAGAAAATGCTGCATCAAGCTGTTAGTGAGGGGATACAGTGTAGATGGAGAAAATGCAGAGTAAGAAATAAGGACATGCAGAGATTTAGTCAAGGAGATTCACCTAGAAGCACTTCATCCACCTTTTTAGAAATGGAATAGGGCTAATGAGCCTAGCATAAATCTCTAGTATTCAGCTGTTGTAGATATGCTTTGTGAGGCGATGTATGAAGTCAGAAGTAACAACCATGTTGCTCTTATTTCTCAGGTACCTGTCAGTGTAACGTCCACGGCTCCTACAAAGAAACATGTGATCCAGCCAGCGGTCAGTGCTCCTGTAAGCCGGGCGTCGGGGGGCAGAAATGTGACCGCTGCGAGCCGGGCTTCTGGAACTTCCGTGGCATTGTGACCGAGAACATGAGCGGCTGCACACGTAATGAAAAAAAAAAAAAACCTCTTTCATCTGTGCTGTGTTGAATATGCAAATGCTCTTGTACAGTAGTTACACATGACTTAAAAAGCAGCAGCAGTCATTTGTTACAGTGCTGGCCACTTTATGCATGCTGCTTCTGATTCATTTCCATAAATTGCTCGTAGCTTTTTTTTCCACCTTTTCTGTCATGGTTCAGTTCACCCGCAGTACAACTACATATATTTTCTCATTTACCTTAAGAGGTATCTATCAATGCACCGTCTTTGAGATTTCAGCTGTGACCTCAATTACTTATTTGAATCCATTGATACAGCCCAATAAGACCAGAAATCACACATTTGTTTTAGAGGGATTTACAATCAAAATAAAAACTTTAACAGATAAAAAAAAAAAGAGGATCCTGAAGAAGCACAAGAGGAGATCTTTTTTTTTTCTTAACAAACAGACATGCTTTAGCTGTACATACTGCAAAGTGTACAGATATTTAGAAGTTGAAGAATTGCAATGTGCAGGAACAGAATTATAACATCAAGTTGTAAGTGTACCACAAATAGAAGAATGAGGTGGTTCGCTCCGGGTTGTCCGGCTTCCTGTCAGGTTGATTGATGGCTCTAAATTGCCCGTAGGTGTGAATGTGAGTGTGCCTACTTGTTTGCTGTAAGTCAGCCCTGTGATAGACTAACTGTGACGACCCAGGTCTAGGGTGTACCCTGCCTCTCGTCCAATGACAACTGAGATTGGCTCAAGTCCACATGACCTGGAACAGGATAAGCGTTATAGATACTCCTAATACTGTAGCTACAACACAGTAGTTGAGCTCTTTTTGGCAATACAAAAAACATTTTACTTTACCAATATTAAGTGGATCTAAAACCTCTCTGATACAGATAAGTCAATCAATAGAGATAAAATAGACGGTAAGATTTCATGTTTCAATGTTAACCAACCAAGAAAGTTAGATGGCTATTCAAATTAAGTAAATTGATTACAATATTTCTGTCAGAGTGTTATTGGGCCGTTAATATCCTTGAAATGAGTGCAGGCAGTAATTATAAACAACAAATGTCTAATGTCAAGGTAATCTGTTTGACACCAGCTCTGAAGGGATCAAATCCTCCTGCGTCCTTTAGTCCTGTCAGAACTGTTTGAATGAGCTGTTTTCATTTGTATTCAAGGGAACAACGGGGTCAGGACCCCTTGTTTGTCTCGGTGTAATGCAATATGGCGCCCGGCTCGTTTCCTGGCGCTAACGTATGATAGGACATAAGCTCCCAAAGCCACAGAGCATTTTCAGTCAACAGCAGGAAGCCTGCAGGTGCCTCACCCGTGGTCCTGACCTTAACAAGGTTTACCCTCGGCAAGCAGACAACCCACTGCACATTAACACCAGGTTCAGCGGGAGGGGAGAAAAAAAAACAACACATCATTGATTCCAGGAACACGATGGGGTTGATGTCCTTCTCTTGGTTGTTTTTTTATTTGTTTCTGTCACACACTCATCTTCCTCCTCCTCGTTCTCCTCCTTCTGTGGCCCCTAAGGCTGTGTGAACCATGGCCGACTCTAAGACTCATGTAGATGTATCTGAGCAGAGGCCTCAAACACCTTCTCATTTCTGTCTCTGTCATCGTCTGTCAGTGATTGTTCTTTATTTAACTCATCTTTTTATTTCCCTCCCTCCTCTCCTCTCTATGTTAGCATGTACCTGCGACGCTACAGGCTCGGTCCGGGACGACTGCGAGCAGATGTCAGGTCTGTGTTCCTGCAAGACGGGGGTGAAGGGCATGAAGTGTAACGTGTGTCCAGATGGAAGCAAGATGGGCATGAACGGCTGCGACCAAGGTGATAAGAGAGAGGAGCAAGGCAACTGGTGGAGTGTTAATCTACCACAAAAACACACACACACACACACACACACACACATTTTTCTCTTCCATCGCGGTATCACTCTATCACTCTAAAGTGTTTTCCTGTCTCTTGTCTGATCCGTGGATCAGCCTCTTAGCAGACTATTTTTTTTCTCTGTCTGCTTTTCACATCCATCTGCTCAGGAAGGAAGCGGCCGCAAGGCAGTTAATCGATAGCGATTACGATTGACATCTGCATGACGCATCGCCCATTGACATTTCATTTTCTTTTAACTATATGCCACAATAATTATTTATTTATCTGCATAAGGACTATTGATGACTTCGATTAATAGAGTAAACAGTACCGGAGAAAGTAGCAGATGAAGGTTAGTTCCTGCTGAAGGTGGGCCTGCAGCTCCTTGATTAAGATGCACCATCGAATATCGACTGGAAGTCAAACACTTAATGAAACCAGCACTTCCAGCACAGTCGTGGGGGCCCTCCCACACACACACCCTGCTGAATGAAAAGACAAGGTAGTAAGAGGTGGTAGCACTTGAAAGCACGAGCCAAAGGTAGGGGGTACTCTGAGCCTCTGTGATGTAGCGACACTGCAGAGACCCCCACACTCCCAGCCTGGCAGGTGCACGTTGGGCTCCCCAGCTGCAGCTCCTGCTGCGGAAACTTCAAGGCTTCAAACGCTCCTTTGGAGCGCTTCAGGAGAGATCTGCTGTGGTCTATGGAACTATGAATTATTAACTCTGTATGACATACAGATAACTACACTATTTTATGATATTGCCACTGATGCAATGTGGTTATAAAGGCTAAAAGCAGGTCACTCACTAAGAGGAGAAAAAGCTTCTTTCAGGCTGTCTCCATTTCCAACATTCCAACAAGTCAGCCAGGGTAAAGTTAGTGGTGTCCTTGGTATGGATTCTGGTATTTGAATCTGTTGGCACACAATTTCTAACTATCTTTCTAACTATCCTTCCAACTTCCAAGATTCCACTTACGTATGTCTGAAGGAAATGTATTTTATATCATAAATGTCTTGGATGAACAGATACTGTATGTATTCTTATCTGGTTAGATACTCTGATTTATTGAATGCTTTTGCAATATTAAGAACATTTCAACAAATGCATGCATTCAAATCAGTATTCCTAAATCCCTTGTATTCATTATGTTAAGCTGCATGATTATTGTACAGTGCAGATTATACTTGAACACAAGGCCGTTTCTTCAACAGGTCCTGAGGCTCCGACTTCATGTGAAGAGTTGATTTGCAATTTTGGATCTTCCTGCATTGAATTGAATGGCCAAGCTCACTGCGAGTGTCCGTCACCTGACTGCGATGAGAAAGACAAAACCAAGGTGGGTCGACAAATTAAGAAAGAAGCAGTGTGATCTACAAGTGTGAAACAGGGTTTGAACAGAAGGACAATATCTCAGCAGCCCTCAGGGAGTTAACATGTGTTCCCATCTCCCCTCACTCCGTCTCTGTCACTGTGGAGCAGGTGTGCGGCTCAGACGGGGTGACCTACGCCGACCAGTGCCAGCTGAGGACCATCGCCTGTAGGCAGGACAAGGACATCACTGTGCAACACTTTGGACAGTGCACAGGTGAGCACTGTCTAAGCCTCCATGCATCACGCGTCACACAGCCCCAATCAAGACAATAATGAGCGCCGCAGTGGGCCTCAAAATGATCCCCCTCCTGCTGTTTCTCCTCCTCTCTGTCTCTGTTGGGGGGACAGCAAGGTCAGAGCAACGTGTATGCAAAGTTAGCTTTCTTTAAAAAATACTTGCATAACATAGCAGTATTAGCGATCACAGAAAAAGTGGACTTTTATGTTTTATCTTTTTGTAATAATGCCTTCTCCAGATTCACGATTAGGACTGTTTGATTGAAAATATTTTATTTAATTTAAAGTACGGTAAAATCATTCCTGCCTTCACCCTGCCTGTGAGCTGCCCGGTGAGGGACTAATCATGAGGGGGGACTAGAGTAAGATAATAAAAGAGTGAGACATTGTAGCATTTTAACACCAGGGGTTCTGCAGTTTGACTGGAGTCTGAGCCCTGACATCCCACAAGATAGCAATGACACTTCCTCTCTGCTTTCTCGCTCCTCTGTTGGGATTTGGCTTCATCTTCAAACCCTCCTGTTGAGAAATGTGTCAATCCTTTTTGCAGCTTTATGCTGCCAGGAACACAACGCTGCTTGTGTAGATCAGCGGATGTAGAACACACGTGTACCGAGTAAAAGGTGCTCCCCCCCCCCGGCGATGGTACAGATGCTGATGGACGTTGTTCCGATCAGTGTAATAGGTGCTGGGACACAGGCCAAGGTTCAAGGCTTTCATGTACACTGAAGTTGTCGCCCCGACCGCCAGCTTGTGTCACAACAGGGTTCTAAAGGCGCCATCGGCAAGCTCAGGAGGAAGGAGGGACGCCAGCTGTGTGGGTCCAGTCGTGAGCCACTGCCAGGTGTCTTGAAATTTAAGGTGGAAAAATGTTCATTCACCTCCTTGCTCAGTGGCCACTCTGCAGTTGACCTGATAATGTGACACCAAAAAAAGCAGAGTCCTCTTTCATACATTTCTCAGGAGGACTCTTTGTCAGACCCAAAGTAGGCCAAGTCCATAGGAAGCAAGGTTGTTGACACGATCTGTGCTGAATTGTAATTGCAGGTAAACCGATAAAGAATCCAAACACTCTCAGCGAGAGATCGACAAGTCCCTGAACATCTGGTGATTACAAATTCAGTGCCGTGGGTAACCAGCGAACACAGCCAAAACCCACTCTGGTTTCACATTGCTCTGTTGCCTGGCAATAGAGATGTGGGTTTGTGTGTAATCCCTCACCTAGCATTGCTGCACACAGAAGGCAAGAACACGTCGCACAGTGGCTCCTTTCTTTCTCCACGGAGTCCTCAGGGGAGGAAGAGACAGGCGGGCGCTCGGAGGATCTTTTAATTTCTTCTCCCGGATGCGGTCGCACCGCGGGTAGCTGCTCCGCTGTGGCTGTCGGCTCGGGGGTTAGATCTCGAGCTCATTTCACGTGTGGCTGGGTGCGAATTAGCATTTGCTCTGCCTCCGCCCCTCACCATGCCACAGTCCTGCCTGCCCTCCCCTCTTGCTGTTTACATGCAGAGCTTCCAGACGCCCGGCTTCAGCGCTGTGGCATGCTAATGCTCACCAAGCTGCTCTGTGGTTTGACAGGAGAGCAATGCCAAAGGCTTATATAAATGAATGAATATTGATCCTTCTTTAACATCATTGAACTGTTGCAACTTTTTATTACACCACGGGGTGTGACTTCTGCTGCTGCAGTGTGCTGCTAATGGGCAGGCCGAGAAAGTCTTGCAGATGAGGCTCCTTAAAATCTTTCTGCTTGCAACAGAGAACTCGCAGCTGACTCTGATGTTTCTCGGCTTTCTCTGAAGTCTCCGAGCTAAAAGACAGCACAGCCACAGAGCATAGGGAGGAATTTCTCTCTGAGAAAAGAAATGCAAGAGCTGCTCAACCAAGCAGCAGAGGGAGGGCGTTTGGGCCGATGAGCATATTATGGCGCCAGGGGAAAATGGCCACCGAGTTGGCAGTGACCTGCCTCCCCCATATGGTGTTATCACCTGTAGGTTTGGGGCAAATTGGCAACGAGTGCCAGCATATGGCTTCCTCAGTCCTCCGCCTGGGAGTTAGGGTTCTGGTCTCTTAACCATCCCTCCTCCCTGTCCTGTGATTTTGTTCTCATTATGTAATCCCTCATTCTGTTCCCACTCGCCATATTATCCCACTGCTAGCTTTGCTAACCTGCTTTTTTTCCCCGTCTGATTTAAACCCCATTTCTTTACACTTTTGTTCCATTTAATTTTTATTCTAGTTTGCTCTTGGCTCTCTCTTGTTTTTCCCTCTCGTCTGATGTATCCAGATTCCTCCTCCTCCTCCTCACTGAGCTCGGCTGACACCCCCAAACAATCTTAATAACCACCTTTCAACAATAACTACACAGCTGAGACAAGCCAAGATGACAATGATTTTTTCTTCAATCCATCCTCTGACAAAACCGTCCATTGCTCCACTGAGAGGGAGAAAAGCACAAAACAGGCAAATGGAGTGTTAAACCTGATTAAGAGAAGCATCAAGCTGAACACAACGTGCTGCCAGTCTCTCTTTCTCTTTCAGACGACGTGTGTTTGTGTCTTTTTCTTTCTTTGTCCCATGTCAAGGAGCCCGCTGCTTGGGATATTCACACACCCAAACACGCATTAGGCACTTTTTTAGGGAGCGAGCTTGGCTACACCTGAGTGACAGGTGTAGCCAAGAGGAAAGTCAACGCAGGCAGCCATTCACGGTGATAGCATCACCGCTCTGTGCACTTCAAATCTCTTTCTATACAAATATCTGCTGAGCTTTAAGCTGACACCATGTGTCTCCAAGGGTTTCTGCCGTCTCAGTAGGTATCACATTTGACACCTTGGTGAATAATTACCAATCAAATAGGTGATGATAGCGGTGTAATTAAATCCTACACATAATGTTAGGCAAATCCTAATGAGCTGCAAATCTACAGTATATCTTATTTTTTTTAAATCTTCTGCTCATTTCCCCCACACTCTTTCACACATCTATACTCATGGGCGTGAAGAAGTAAAGAAAGAACGACAGTATTGTCACGCCCGCTTGCCTCGGCTTAATCTGAAGTGCTCGCTTACGTAGCTTCTCCCCGCCAGCTCGCTGCTTCCCCCTCAGGAGTTTTTGTCCTATTTATCGCTCTTTTTTATCGCAGACAGTTTGTCCTTTTGCACCAGAGCTTTTTTTTTTCGCATTGGTAATGATGGTCCCTTTGCAGAGAGCCTCTTCTCTTCTCTCTTCCTCATTTGGAGTGTGTGTATGGAAAGCGTGTTTTGTGTGTTGAAAGCAAAGTGTGTGTTTGTGGCGGCGTTGACGGATGCTCGCGCTCTCTGCAAGCAGCCGCCTGCCTTCTTTGAAGCCTGAGTTAAAGCCGGCTTTTTTTGCCCCATTTCTATCAATCATTCATCACCGGAGGCACTGGCTGTTGGTGATTAAAGCTTTGCTACTGGAGGGCAGCATTTGAATATGGATATATATAATTCATAGGCATTGGCACGGCGCACACGCAACACACAAACATGCATATCGTGCGTGCCATATGTGTACACATGCACAAAAACACTGCATAAAGCATTGACGCCAACTGTAGTAGTTTACCCAGTCTGGAGCTTCAAAACTCATCTGCAGGCATAACGCAGTGCAATGCATATCAGTCTGAATGCAGTTTGTCATCACTTGGTGAATTCCATATTCACTCTGCATTTGGATGCATTTTCATTACTTACAGTATTAAGAAACAGATTTCTAACATCTCATTCATGCAGGGTGTTTAATCAGAGGTTTCTTTTTCAGATGGGAGTTGCTTCTTGTTTGTTTCTTTTTAATGTAATTTCATAATGACATTGTTGAACATCAGGGAGAAGGAGATTAAAAAGGACATAGTGATTTAGTAAATGTAGAGGTATAAAGTTATGTGAATAATCATTGAGTGGTTTTGTAATGCTTTATTGGATGATGTTTTTATTTCCTTTGCTGAGATGTTTTGGGGTTGTTTAGGAGTAAAGTGAAGCATTACAAACATTTTCATCTTTGCTCAGTCATTCATCCATTCCTTGCTTCCTCCCCTTCCCTCCACCAGAAATCATCTCAGAGCCAGCCGACAGACCCACCCCCAACCCCCCCGCCACCACCGCTGCCGCCACCATCACCACCCCTGCCCCCTTCCACCACAACCAGGTGTGGGCCATCCCGCCTCCGAGGAGGGCTGAGCCAGAGACAACAGAGCAGCCCCCAGTCCGAACCCCCCTTCCACCCTCACCCACAACAGTGCCCGAGCAAACCACCCCATCCACATCCAGCCGCCGCAGTCCACCACCACCTCCACCACCTCCTCTCATCGCAGCACCCCTTCTCCCATCAATGCCGCCAGCTCCTTTGAGGGCTCAGGCAGCGGAGAGCCGAGCGGGGATGACCAGACTGAGGAAGAGGAGGAGCCAGAAGAGGAAGCAGGTAGCGGGGTCCCAACGGAGGCCAGTGGGGCAGAGGAGCCTGTCGGTAATTCCCTGCTCTTTCACTACATTACCCATAATGCTTTAAGGTGTGAGTAGGAGGTGTCATATTTCCAGACTCGGATGACCAAAGACTGGCTAAAATAAGTGGATGTCAAAGGAGCTAGTTCACCATATTCAAACAGAGGCTCTGCTCTTCTCTGTGTTTCATGTTGCTAGTCACAAAATAAGAAAAAGAAAATTATCATTCTGATTTCATCCTCTCTTTATTGATCAGTAATTTAAAACACACTGAGGAGTGAAAACTCTGAGGGATATACAGAATGATCCTATTTCAAGTTGAAAACACAAATTTGATAACCACTACTGTTAGGCTAATGTTAACTTAGCCTTTAACCACCTTCTAGGTAACATTGTTAGATAGGAGACAGTCCGTGATGGCTAATTGGCTTTCAAACATAATATTTAACACCATAAGTTAATTAACACATAAGTATAACACCATCTAACTTTAGCAGCCCTTTGAGTCAGATGAAATTACGGTTTTGGGATTACAGTGAATGCCTCAGGGTGTTAAACTCGCAATCCTTCTGATGGCCAGCAGGGGGCGACTCAACTGCCAGCAAAAAAATAAATTACTAGTGTAGAAGTCATACAGAAAATAACCTAAGTAAGACCTTAATAGTAATAACTTAATTTATATAGCATCTTTAAAAACATAGGTTTACAAAGTGCTTTGACAAACAGCTAAAGCATGAAAAGAACAATCAAAAGAACCCAAACACAAAAGAACAGAAACCACAAAATCACCAGAACAACAGAAAACAAACCAACCACAATAAGAACCCAAACAACAAAATACATAACATACATATTTACCCAACCATCATAAGAACCCAGGAATTACAAAGAACCCCACACCTTAAGTTTTGACCGTGAAAGTGTAGATGTTCATCATTTATTTTTATGTCGTCTCTTATATAAAATGATTTCCGTCTGATTAAATATCCAGATAAGAGGAACAATGACAGTAAAGCTCGCTATGCTTTCAGCTTTCACCTTTGATTAGCATCCTGTTACCAGTGGGATCTGTCCATGCTGATTAACCCTCAGCTTTAAATATGTATATATCTTATAGTTTCACAATAATAACAATATGATGACGGCCAAAGTGCAAAACTTAATGCGTTTAAAGGAAAATGTGACGTCACAATGACTTTATCCACTTCTTATATGCAGTCTTTGTGTCGGTAAAACTCGTACTATACTCGTATAGCTGGCATCATAATACATTCATGCCATCATCTGTTAATTGAACGTTAGCAGGTTTATGTATTTGTATGCAAATCTGTTTCTGAGGAGACAAATGTCAGAGCCAGGCAGGCGAGGAAGAGAAATCTTTGCAAACAGATGCTGTGAGTGTCATTTCCACTTGCAAAAGATGTATATCTCCATTTCAGACAGAAAGGAATGTATTTGCACGGTTCACTGTTGCTATACAGTATCACCCATTGACTCTTTCTCTCATTCCACCGGCGCGCTCGCTCTCAACAGCTCGCAAAACAAACCCAGGCTCTGTAAAATACACTCTGGGCCGGCCGGATGAAACTGTTGGCCCGCATCTGGGGATCTCTGGAGCCTGACTTGACAGGCTGATGTGACTGAGAGGTGTGTGTGTGTGTGCGGAGGCTGTTGTGTCACATGACTGGTCTCAAATCTTTCTTGACATGCCCTCCTGACTGTAACAGCCGGCTGCGCTTTCTGGTCCTCTGCTCGGACAACAAGGGATGACTGAGAGTTTTCAATCAGAGCTTCTTTTTTTTTTTGAAAATTATTTTTCTGTTTTTGTTTTTCATCCATCCTTCCACCTCGCCTGACAGCGTGCAGTAACGGGATAGGATTGATGGAACATCGAGCCCCCAATATGCTCTTCCTCAACTCTCCCTCCTTCTCCTCCTCTCCGCTCCTCTTGCTCCCTTTTCCCAGAGTCTCAGATTTATTCTCTTGTCAGAGGCTGACCAGAGTGCTCGGTGACGCGAGGAGCATGTCTGCCAAGGAGACATTGTTGTCTCCTGTCTGTGTGTATGTATGTGTGAGTGTAGATGTGTGTGAATAATGTGCACCCAAGCTTGACTGACTTTTTTTTTTTACATTATGTGTGTTTGCTAAAGTACAAGCACTCACATCAGTCTGTGAAGTAGAGAAGATTAGAGATTGTACAGTTAAGATTTCAACATGGACGTTGAAATCGGCTCCAATCTTTCTCTTTGAGGTGTTGTTGCGCTTTATGTTTTAAGCTTATCGTTTTGTGTGCGTTTGTGTGTGTGAGTCCAATATCTCCCTCTGCTTATGTCACTAAGTTTGTCCAATTCCAAGTGCACATATCTCTCTGAGTATATAAATGTTAGCAGGTCAGAGGTGTGTGTTTGTACGTCCTTTTGTATCCACACTCTGTTGAAATCTCGTCTTATCTGTGGCTGTGTATGTTGCTCTTTGTGTGTGTGTGTGTGTGTGTGTGTGTGTGTGTGTGTGTGTGTGTGTGTGTGTGTGTGTGTGTGTGTGTGTGTGTGTGTGTGTGTGTGTGTGTGTGTGTGTGTGTGTTCATTTGACAGCTCTCATTGCTCCCACAGGAGTCATACAGCGTCCCCTTGCTGTTGTGTTCTGCCCTCTTTTCCCCACCAGCACTCTCCTCTTCAGCCTAGCACCTGTAAATCTACAGACCACACGCCAACAGATGCCCTATAAACCCGGGCCTCTTTCTCCCTTTTACTCCCCCCCTCCTCCTCCTCCACCTCCTCCCTCCTCTTGCCTCCTTTGACCGTGAGTCCTTGAGCAGGACGTCCCTCGCCTCTGACGTCTTTACGACTTGTTTAGCCGCTAGCTGTTTGCCTCCACGATTATTTCTAATCTCTGTGCGGCCATAAACTGCCCCGCTTCGACCAAGACACCTCCCCCCCCCTCCGCCTGCACCGTCATTAGAGGGGACGGAGCCTCACTGCTGTAACACACTCTCATCCTTCAGAGGGAAAAAGCCCGGCCTCTTTTATGTCTTTTATGTCCCAAGATGGTCAGATATACAGTACCCATAATACACACACGATTGTATGATTTTCTTCCTCTCGGGGAACCTCAAAGGTAGCTGTCAGCCAATCAGAAGTGAGCAGTTATCACATCCCCCTCATCATTTAAAGTGCGGTGTGTGTGTGTGTGTGTGTGTGTGTGTGTGTGAGTGACATGACTGGCAACAGTGCCCATTATGTGTTCTCTGCAAAAATGAGTTCCAGGTGTAGATTCTGTTCCCATGAAAAATGCCATATAATCACTCCTGACTGATGCCTCTATCAGTGTCCAATCACAGGTCAGCAGACTGAAAACACACAACCAGCTGCAGAAGCAAAAAAAAAAAAGAAAATCATAATTTTGTTGGTTCTGTTCTTTGCAGTACTCCTCGTCTTCACTGCCTTTTTGAAAAATAGCAGCTCCATTCTGGGTCTTAGAGATAAGATGGATTAAATTTATGAATTTTCCTAAGCTTAATGAATAATTATAAGCCTCTGTGTATCACCCTCAGGTCCCACAGTGGCCAGCACCACTGTACCCACGGCTGAGGAGCGGTCATCTTGTGACAACACAGAGTACGGCTGCTGCCCCGACGGAAAGACGCCATCCAGCACTCCAGAGGGCGCCAACTGCCCCTGTAAGTCAAATGCCCCCTTCAAAGAAACATTTTCTGTGCCCTCTTATTACCTCCACACCTGTTCATCCTCCTCTGTGTTGTTCCGTCTCCTGCGAGTTGGTACTTTATGTTTAGAGATGTGAAAAGAGCTGAAATCTCATGCCGGCTAGCTGCGCCGTTATCTGCTTCTCACACGCCATTTCTTGAACTTGAAGGTTTTTCTTTAATGTGTTAGTGAAATATACTCTTGGGGAGTTACCTTCTATATTCTAAGATAACTTAGAGTAAATGAGTATCGACTAAAGCAGCTCACTGGCTGCAAATTTAGCAAATTTAAACAAGTCGTACTTTGTTTTAACTACAAAACATTCCATCTAATATTAAAAAACTTTTGACATTTTACATCATTACACTCTTGCGCCTCGACATTAGGTTTTGAGATGTTTAGCATTAGCTTAGCATGAACACAGTCGGTCTCTGTCCAAAGTATAAAGATAAAGAATAACTTCTCGGGGCGCTGGTGGTGCAGTGGTTAGTGCACACGGCCCATGTATGGAGGCTAGTCCTCCAAGAGGAATCCAACCTGTGGCTCATTTCCTGCATGTCGTTCCCCACTCTCTCTCTCTCTCTCTCTCTCTCTCTCTCTCTCTCTCTCCCTGATTTCCGACTCTATCCACTATCTTATCTCTTGAGGAAAGGCACAAGAAGCCAAAAATAAAAAAAGTATTGCGTCTCACCAACACAACGTTCTTTTTTTATAAATCCACACAAACAGTCGTGTGTTCACAATCTGTGTATTTTAATTTAGGCACCTTCAAACCCGCTGCTGTTTCCACCTGCTGAAGTTTTTTTTTTATTGGGAGCTAAGCTCATCATATTGAATCTCGGCTACTCTCTAACCCGGTACGATCAAATTGATTCTATAAATTGTTGCGCATAAAGTCATTTGAAGGGATCCATTTCTTTCAGTGTAGCCTTTCACAAACATTAATTTGATTTTAAACCAGATTTTTCTGACTCATGGAAAAACACCCCACAGCCTCAATCTAACTTTTACTCTCTGTTGTCCTGAATGTTGCGGTGTTCAGAGTAGAGGTAACCAGCGAATAATAATCAACCTTTTTTTTTATGGATACGTACTCGTCTTGAATGCAGCGGCACAGCACAGATTGCTTGTCTCTTTATCTCCCGCTCCCAATTTATTACCATAATTTGTTGATGCATTGAGAATCAACAAGCTATTTTTTCTCGTTTAATGTGAACACCGGGAATAGTGATATTGTGCCATCTGTCTTAAACAACCACATGAGCAGGTGGTATTTTTTCCGACAGCGGTGCGTGCATGAATCACAACCCTCTTCTGTAAATGATTTTATTGGCAGGTGGCAGGAAGTTAAAAAAAAAAAATCAAAAAAAATCAGAAAGAGTGAAACCTAAACTCTGACCTCAGTGATGCATGCTTATAAATGGAACACATCTGGACAGTCTGACCCTGATATGAGTCCTTTCCTGTCTGATGTCCACTGTGATTTAATCATTTTCTTTTGCAGGGTTTTTAAATAGAGTTGGTTGGAGAAGCAGTCAGTATGAAAATGTAGGGCCCCCTGTGCGCTGGTTTATAAATAACCCTCAGCGCATCTATTCCCTCTTCTTGTTTCTTTCCCTAAATTACTTTCCTTTCTTTTAATCTCCCTTCTCTCTTTATATTTACAAACCTTGCAAACATATTCTTCTCTTTATCAGTCACTGCCACTGTTCGCTATCTCCCTCTAGAGCTATACCTCTCCCCTTTCTCTCCCAGTCAATCTGTATCCAGTCTTGCATCAGTTCATTTCTCTCCGGAGTTGAACAGAGGGAGAGAGTCGAGAGACGAACAGAGGCCGACGAGCTGCGTTGTACCAATCAGTGCCTTCTGCCAGACTCAGTTCATAAAGATAAAGGGCTTCTTTCTCCCCTTTGCCTCCCTCTCTCTCTCTCTCTCTCCCTTCATCCCTCAGTTGAAATCTGCTCTCTGTTTGTCCCGGCGGTTTTAGTCTGACTGATTGTGAAAGGGGAGATTCTCTCGGGCTCCCATGGGAGCTCCAGGTCAGGACTTGAAAGAGCTGAAGCCACAAATTAGTGCGCGGAGTTGCATTTCTGCTGGGTTGAAGGTCCCAAAGCCTTCTAATAAGCCAGCAGAGTTCACAGGCGCTCAATCCACAACATTATCTGAAGATACGAGGCCACCCTTGGTCTCTGTCAGCTTTCTACCGTTTATTTCAGGGAGGGAACAGGGAGCACTGTGTCTGTTGATGCTGGGTTTGATGACCTTTGGCCCAAAATCTAAATGTCAATAGACGCACGTTCTGTACAAACACCTGTAACAGGTTTCATCCATAAGACAAACGTTCAAATCCTCCATAGCCTGTAAATATTTATCCCTTCCAACAATGACAGCACACAGCACGATCAATACTTCATTCAGCTCAAGTGTTACCGATAAAAGCAGGCAGCGCAATAGGCAGATCAATAAGCCGGATCCTTTTCTCCTGAGGAGGGGTCCGCCGATCCTCCGCTCATTAGAAATGAAAATGACATGTCACTTATGCTGGAATATCCATCCTTTTCATTTTACTGTTCAATTTATTGACGCAGAGCCGGCCGTCTCGCAATAAAAAGGACAAATTGTTCGCTGTTTTTCAATCTTCACATTTGATGGAGACGTCAAATTGTGAAGCGGCTCAAGGTTGAGCGAGTCCACGTTTTCAGAATCTCCATCTATGAAACCTTCTTCTGTACGCTGCTGTAAAGCTCACAACAGATGTCCGACCTCAGTGAGGAATGTATAAAAGGGTCAGTTCACTGAAATATAATGTAAATATATTTCATACAAACTGTGGTTACAGTTTCAGCTTTATGTGCACAAGTGTTAAAGTTTTCTCTAAAGCTGATCCAACATGTTGTTCAGCTTTTATTGGCCTTCACTTTTTAATAAGATATGATAGATATTTTACAGAAACTTCATCATTACTCAATCATTATTTGATTATTATTATTATGTTCAACATTTGGCACATAAATATATCAGAAATCAAGTCTATAAATATCTCTGAGTCATGACTGTCTACAATGAGTGAGAAGCTTGAGTCCCGCTGGCTGTGTTGTTGTCAGAGATGTGTTTACATCATGTTTACATGGACGAGGCGGCCGGCTCCTCCCCTTGTGTATAAAAGCTGTTTCAGTCAAGGACTAGAGAGAAGAACATACTCGCTGATTATTTGAATGTCACATCAAGACGTTAAGACCTCGGTCATTCCGTGTCAATTTATAAACGATGTGAAGCTACGAGCTAACTTCAGAGTGCTAACATTAGCATGCTAAAACAACAATGAAGGCCACAGGGAAATGCAGCTCAAGACAAGGACAATTTTGTCTTCCACTTGCGCTTAATGGTGCTTAATTTTGGTGCGTTACATTTAAAAACTTCTTCATTCGAACGAGTAGAGAGGGGGAGGTTGGAGGTGTGCTGCTGGAGGAGAGCGGAGGCTTCAGTATGGTGGAGGTGACACCAAACAGCTTTGTTTTGGTTTCATGCTGGTGCTCAAGGGCGACATCTACTGGATCAAAATTTCACACATTCTTCCTTTAATCTACAGTTTATTTTTACACTGAAGATGATTCATTGATTATTAATGAATCTATTCATATCCAACAAATGTGAAACAGCAATCACATTTACCCAGAGCCCAAAGTCATGTCTTCATATTTCTCCTTTTTCAAACCCACAGTTCAGAAAACAAGAGATATTTTTACATTCCTCTGCTCCCCACTAAATCCAAATTGATATGAGTCTAAAACATCTCATAACCAGGCTCTCATATTCTCCTCAGAGAACCAAAGGGCATCAATGTATCCTCCTTGGCCAGACATGTTGTTAAAAAGTCACTGCAGGCCGCTCCATATGTTACACTTAAACGAGGGAAGTACCATTCACGACACATCAAAGATAATCACCAGCAGTTCTCATATGAAACTTAATGGCACGCTAAGCTCCAACTACTGTAAACTCTTCCATATGCCGATGTGCGGCGGACAAATCCATTACATTTTACAGTTCACTAGAATCAGATAGTCAAATAGCTCCGACCCTCCTTTTATCGCTCTTTTCCTTTCTTCTCTCGTTTTATGTCCGTCACAGCACTGGGCTGGAAAATCACTCTGTCTGATGTTTGTCTTCTTGCAGATTAAAAGTCAGATCCCCCCCCCTTCCCCCCCTCTCTTTCTTTATTCCCCCACTGCTCGTCTTATCGGCCAAACCTCACCCATTTGCTTCTATTTTATGGGCCACCGTCATACTGAATCGATGTGCGCTTCCCCATGAAAGCACTGTAAAGACGAAAGAGGGGGGGAGACGGAGGAAACGTGAGCGTGACGGCACTGGCTTCTGTCCTTTTTCATGCAATTTTAAGCAGGCTGTGTCAGTCACCGGTCTGGCGGCATTAAAGAGACAATTACGGCTATCTTTCACGATAATCATACAAGTGCTCTCCCCGTTCTCCCTGCCGTTGCTCAGGCAGGGGCAGCCATGATTGATTTGGGCAATTTGTTCTGCTGATTACGAGCGGCGCGGAAGTCTGGCATCAGCGCCTCACATGCTCCTCTGTTCTTCACCTCACACAAACACACACACACACACACACACACACACACACACACACACACACACACACACACACACACACACACACACACACACACACACACACACTCCACTTTCAGCTTTATTTCAAGCTCTCCCCTCTCCTGGAGAAACCGTATCAAGAGTTGATAAATGTCGGACAACATAACCCCCAAGGTCGCACAGGGAGGCTTTCTCTTTGCTGAAGAAGGCACTTTTTTGAGAAGTGCCTGTGGGATATTTCCTCTTTAATGTGTGTGTCGTTTCTCCTTTGTGTGTGTGTGTGTGTGTGTCTAACTTGTTGTCTTTCTACCCAGCCCACCATGCCTCGGCCAGCTTTGGGGACGAGTCTGGTAAAATTGGCCCATTTTTCCACCTTCCTATCCCTCCCTGTATGTCCCTCTCTTTCTTCTCTCATACCTCACAGTCCACCTCTTTCACACCACCACCTCCTCCACTACGCCCTCCTCTAACGGCCAAACTCCTGCGCCCTTTTTAAACCCATACACAATCAGCAGCGAACTCACTAACCTCCCCCTGTCAAACACACACAAACACACAATCCATCACTAACCCGAGACACTGGCACCACCCCAAAACGAGCACTGTATGTGAAGGCAGCAGGATCGGAGTGATAGGAGAAGAGTTTGAAGCCGTGTTGTTTCAGTGTAACATCTTGTTTTGATCTCTCGGCAGCTACCATGAGGTTCAGCGGCATCCTGCACCTAGACCAGGTGGAGGGACAGGAGATTTTCTACACGCCAGAGATGGAGGACCCCAAGTCGGAGCTGTTTGGAGAGACAGCCCGCAGCATCGAGAGCGCTGTAAGTCGCTGAAATAGCAGTCTTTAGAATAAAGTTCAAGTGTGAGATTAATTTTGCCAAATCTGCAGATATTCACTTTTTAATTTATTTTGTTTACATTTAGACATTAACATTAAACTCTGAGCCTAACTACAGATGGAATATCAGAATCTTCATAGAAGTGAAAAGTTAAACCAAAGCAATAATAAAAACCACTTTCCTAATTCTGCAGTTACATCTTAAATGTGTCCGATGTGCTCAGGAATGAATCTGAGTTGATGCAAACGAACAGTTTAATTTATATTTTGTTATTTCAAACTTTATGTCTCTTTGCTTCTCGTTCTTTTTTTTAACTCTATCAGGTCAGAGATCTTTTCATACAGGCTAAACGCACCGACCTAATTTCTCCTTTTCAGTCGAGGTCTTTGAATGATGATGTCATTAAAGCTGCACGAAACAAATCTCATGAATTACCTGGGGATCAAACGAAGAGCAGAAACTTTTAGTTGGTTTATCAATGAGGTATAGATGGAAGATTCATTTCCAGCTCTCTCTTAATAATAATAGATTATTATTTCTGATTTATTGTTCAAGCTAAATATTTGAGTGTTTGCTTGTTCCAGCTTCTTGAAAGGAAAGATTTGATAATAAATTAAAGATTCTTTGTTAGTTAGGGAAAAGAAAGACTTTGAAGAAATCACTTGTGATGAACTTTTCCATCACTTTTTAAAATACTTAACGATTGATTGATTGATTAATCATAAAATAAATTTTTAATGAAAGCAATGACAGGATGCGGTCCTGAATAAATGACTACATTAATTGTCAGGTTTTGATTATTTATTTTATTTTAGAGACAGGACAGTGGACAGAGCACCATCTCCTGCTGCATCAGGAAGCTGTTTTCAGTCACAAACACTCCAAATAAAGGTTTCAGATTCGGTGCCCTGGTGGCGTTCACACCGAGCTTTAGGCGTCAAGATCATGAATCTAAAGGAATTCAGATGTTGCTCTGTGTAAAGTTGGCAGCTGTAGTTTTAAATAACAATATGTAGTTGTTTGTTATATGTAAAAACCCTTCATATGTTGAGTTCCAGCTCATACTGCTGCTACAAAACTCTTAAAAAGTGACAGATGCCACTTGTGGAAACCATTCGACAAATATTGCCTAGTCTCAGTTTGAATTTCGACTTCTCCCTCGAATCTTCATGTCAGTAGTGGAAAAGCTTTTGAAAACAAGATTCAAAGCATCACGAGACACTAAAACTCTTCAGCGAGAGCCCGACTAATCTAATTCTTTGAGCTCCTTCAGGCAGGCTCAGCGAGGCTTCATTGCAGCTTTTACCATCCCCTGAAGCTGCCGAGTAATATTCTTCCACGCTGGGCTGCACAACTGATGGAAAAATAAGACTGATAAAAAAAAATGTTTTCTCTGATGTCGGTCAGGGAAGAACATACATGATATGTGAGGGAGATGATGTGACCTGGTGATATTTGATTTTAATAAGAGATGGATACTGGCATACTACAGCATGATGTTATACTGCTGATTACATCATGGTCTTGATGGATACTGTTTTCTCATTGGCTGCAGGGTGTCTATTATTTCCTGACCATCGACATCTCCTGAGCCATTCCTGTAAAACTGTACACAGTTAACAGTTGGAGATGAATGCGCTCATGGTCCCAGGTCGTTTCTAAGATGTTTACTGCTTACTTGAGAGCTACAGACATTTCCATGCAATCCTCGTGTGATTAAAAATGACAATTTGGGGGCACAGATGGCCTAGTGGTTCAGTTGCACCCCATGTACAGAGCTATAAACCTCCAATCAGGCTGCCCGGGTTCAAGTCTGACCAGTGGCTCCTTTCCCACATCTCTGCCCAGTTTCCTCCTCTATCCACTGTCCTATCAAATAAAAAAGCCCCAAAATAAATCTTTAGTGAAAAAGAAAAGCAGTTTCAGGAATTTGTTTAACCCCCAAGTGTGATCAGGAAGTTATGGATTGTGATAAAACTTTAGATTTTGATGGCAAAATGCATAAAAACATGACTTAAAGTGTCGTTAGTATGGACAGGATAAAGCCCTTTAAGTTGTCCAGTATTAGAATTTTAAAACCTTCACATCATCCATACAGTAACTACATGATCAATGACAACCCAGCAGGTCTTATCCCTTCCTTATTTAGGAACGAATACAGAATGTGGTGTTGCGTGCAAATTTCAAACTTTAGTGCAAAGTTATCTTCAAGTTTAAAAAGAAAACTAACAGCAGTAACAAAAACAAACCACTCTTTGAAGAGTTGTGCAAAGGCTCATTTGTTTCTCAAACACAGAACCTCAGAGCTGCATTTCATGTGAGATTCATTAAGATTTTGCAGATATTTAAAACAGAATCAAGTCTTTATTCGGGATGTTATGATGCAGAGGTTGTTGCCCAGGCGGTCACGGAGCGTGTGCAGTAATCACAGCTTGGCCTGTTGGACAGGTGACATGTCTCCACTCAGGAGCTCAGACCTTTGAACAGACGCCTCTGTTGTCAAGCCAGGGACTCTCTCCTCTAATGAAACGGTGGCATGTGTGTATACGTGTGTGTGTGTGTGTGTGTGCTGGTATACACAGTACACATCTACCAGCTGTTGAATCAGTGTCACAAACCCCCACTGGGACCTAATCTACTACCTCACAGCAATTTCTGTGTGTGTGTGTGTGTGTGTGTGTGTGTGTGTGTGTGTGTGTGTGTGTGTGTGTGTGTGTGTGTGTGTGTGTGTGTGTGTGTGTGTGTGTGTGTGTGTGTGTGTGTGTGTGTGTGTGTGTGAGTCTCGTTAACACTCTTAGCCTGTGTGTCTCTGAAGTTTGGTGCACCACTTGACAGAAGCCCCCCTCTCTTCATCTTCCAACACAAACAGCATGTAGGCTACATAGATATAAAGTATTCACACACCGAGGATACAGCCGCGGGACATTTCTTTAGCCACGCAGCAACCTGATACAATTAGCTGATGAATAAGAAAGAGAAGAAGGGAAGGCATCAGGAGCTTTATAGGACAGCATGTCCACAGGAGAGTTGATCCACCTTCATAAGCCCGGTGTGCAGGATTTTCTTTTTGACCTTTTACTCCTCAGCCCATAAATAACAAGGCACTTTGTACATCGAGAAAATAAGCTGGGCTGAGCATAGAAATGATCTGGATTCAGGACCTAATCAGAAGCGTTTGTGTCTGAAAATGCCATCATGTCCAGTGAGTTTTTTGGGGTTAAACACGTAGGAAGGCATGGACATTTAGTGTACAATGATTGGCTTTGGTGAGATGCACATGGGGAGTGTGGAGTGTGGAGGAGTGCTGAGTAGAAACAATGGAAGAAGCCACTCAGACGACGCTCTAGTAAAGTGGGTTATCAGGCCCTGTGGCTCTTCTGATTTTAAATAGCAGCTGAAGTGTGGATTTTGTGTCTTGCTATTTCCTGAATCTTGCTGACAGGAACAGAATTATGCAGAAACACGTGCTGTAGTATCTGTAAGTTGAGTTTCTTGCAACCCCCCCCATAAAATGGCCTCATTTAAAAAAAGAAATATTAAGGCGTATATTTGGCTAAAGGCAGCTTAAGTCTCACTGCTGTTATATCACTGTTAGCATGAGAAGTATTTAAGTCACACCTCCTTAGGGAGCTCTTCTGGCAGTTACAACTTGTCCACAGTGATCAGGAGCACATGTCAGGGTATCGCACGGCATTTATCTTAGCTACGACTGCAAACTTGTCCCTATAATTAATGCCACGGCTGCAGCTAAATGTCAATTTGTGCGCCCTCTCTGGATAGGTTTTCTTTCTCTGCAGCCCAATTTGAGAAGCGGTCTTTCTTCCTTACAGATACAGTACGGTCTTCAGGAATTGGACTCTGTGTTATGATAGCATGGAGCTCATTACCAGCCTCATTTATCATCTCCTCTCTCCGTCTGTTCTCTTCTCCCCACTTTCTCTCTCTCTCTTTCTCTCGCTCTCTCTTTGTCAGCTCAATGAGTTGTTCAGGAAGTCGGAGGTGCGCAAAGACTTCATGAGCGTTCGTGTACGCAACCTGGCACCCAGCAATTCCATCCTCGCCTTTGTGGAGGCCCACTTCAAACCAGGTGAGAAATCTGAAGATATGGGGAAAAAAGAATAAGAAGTGATTTAAATATGAGGTCTGAATCAGTCACGGTGTGTTCCTCTTTATCTTTTCACACATAAGAAATCTCAAAAACGACTTGCTAGACTTAAAAATGAAATTGGGATTTCTAAGACCTAATTAGTTTTCATGCAGAAGAAGCCGCCCTATCAGCATTTTCTAAGCACTTTACATTTTAAATAGTAACTCTCGGACTTTAAGGAGGAGAGGAAAAATAGTTTTTCTAAAGTCCTTGGTCCAGCCCTTCTGTTCTAGTAAGGTTTCTATAAATGTTAATTATCTGCTTCACAATTTATACATTCACATGTCCATCCGTCCATTATCCATAACTCTTTACCCGTTCGAGGGTCGCGGGGAGCTGGAGCAGATCTCAGCTGTCACTGGGTGAGAGGCGGGGTTACACCCTGGACTGTTCACCAGCCAATCACAGGGCTGACATATAGAGACAGACAACCAGCCACACTCACATTCACACCTACGGACAATTTAGAGTCACCAGTTAACCTAACTCAAACTTAAATAGTTTTGCAACAGTTACATGATAATATCTGAACGTAACCATTATGAATAATTCTGCAAATTGAATGTGTAATCGTGACTTTTGCCACACGTCGTCCTTGTGCCAAAATTACCTGCTTCAAGCATCTTTTGGTTAAATGCTATTTTGATTTAAATGAAGGTAAAAACTTCCAAAGATTTCTATTTATAATAGAACAAACGTAGTGAAATGTGCATCCTTGGCAGAGCGGTGCTCTCTCTGAGTGCTTTCTACTTATTTTTTATTTGCCTCATTATATGTTGAAGCACTAAATGCTGCTCCTCATTATGTTTTTTCTTTAATTTTCTTCTCAATGCCAACTTAATCTCTCGCTTGCAACAATTTGGCCCAATGTTTTCAAAAACAAACACCATCATAAAAAATGTTTTTATGATTCATAAGAGGCAGGAGAAGTTCCCTACAGGAGTGGGCAGGTGTGATTGTTGGCTTGTGTTTAACAGGTAAAATATACAACTTGTTATAAAGAGGAAAATAGAAGACTGCCCAAAAGCATTTCCAATCGAATGGAAGCTGCTTTTCCTCTCAAGTTGATTAACACGTGTCTTCATTTGGTGGAAGACATCTGCAGTTGCAGAGTGTTTTTTCAATCCAGGTTAACCTCGTTTCAACATCACTTGTAGAATACTCGCATGCTTTAAACTATCAGTCATGACGAATTTCCACCTTTTCCATTGGTTAGAAAAAGTCTCAGAATTATGCAGTTCATACCACGACTGGGCCTTTAAACTCCTTTTGTCCTTTCATATTTTTATGGGCATCGTATAGCGGCTTTATACTCTTCATATGAGGGGAGGGACGCTGTTAAGTGGCTGCTCCTCCATGGCCAGTAAGGGCGAACATCTGCGGTGAACGTTATGAAAGCGATTCATCTGGAAAAAGGCCGGACAAGCGGACGGAGGACAAGTGCCCCGTGGAGACCCCTCCACATGTCATACTCAGGGCGTTCTGATATATCCGTACTACAACATCAGACGCTCAGGCCCTGTGCATGCTTTGGAGTGCTCTTTATAGGTCTCGTCCTGAGTTTTGTTTTTGTACCTCTTGTTTGTTATAGATACAAAGAACACAGTGGAGGACATCGAAGGAGCCCTGCGCAAACAGCTGAAGGCCTCCAAAGACACCAGCATCGCCGTGAAGAAGCCGGAGGACGAGAATATTCGCTTCACCAATTATGGTAATGCAGTGTGGACTTAAAGTAAGAGTGTGGGGATTAATAAAACAAAAAAGGGATTTAAGATATTCATGAGGTAAGTAAAACAAAAAAAAAGGTTTTACAGGTCTTCAATACACTTAACATCTCTTTTCTTATTTCACATTTTATTATAAAATGGAGACAAAAAAACAACACAAATATACAAAGAACACCTCGGGGTCCTCACATAGTATGTATGCAGTCAAAGGTTCTCTGTCATCCAAAGAGTAAGTGAAGGCAGCGTCTTCCTCCTCTGTAACAGTGTTGGTTCAGTTCTCCCACTTCTAATCAAAGGATCGCTGCTTTAAGTCGTAGAAAGAAGCTCCATCCACCAGTTAGTTTAGAACTGACCGAGCCTTTTGGAGAAGAGGTGAAACGTCTTCAAGATCTTCTTCACCCAAAGTCCAGTCGTCTTTGGATCGAGCTTTAAACTGACCATGACCTGGATGACCTACACAGACATTTTAGAGAGAAAGTCATGTGTAAAATCTCAAAGATTCACTGCAGTTTGGAGCCTCAGGTTTATACCATTTCTGTGTAATTACTTTTTCACACAGATAACTGTCTTCTTTTATCATTACCTCCTCTCTAATTAAAACAAGATACAGGAAGTTGACATCATGTGGATCCTGAAAACTTTAAATCTCTCTCAAAGCTAAACATTTGTTCAGCCTGACTGTTTGACGGCTTGCTCTCCCCATGTGTGTTCAGGCCTCTCCTCCGTCCCCTTCTTCACCACCACTACCACCACCACCACGGCATCAGTCACCACAGCTGCTCCCACCACCGCAGCTCCAACCACCACCACCACCACCAAACCTCCCCCGACCACCGCTTACTTCACCCGCCGCCCCCACAGCAGCAGACGCACCACCACGACCTCGGCGCCGGTCACAACGCAGCGAACCACAGCCGCGAAGACGGAAGCCGTCACCATGACCACGCCGCATCCACCCACCACCATCTCCCACATCAGGGGCAGGACCCACCACAAGCCCCAGAAGCCATGCAGCTCCCACCCCTGCCTCCACGGGGGGACCTGCGAGGACGAAGGCAACGACTTCAGCTGCAAGTGTCCTGCAGGGCGAGGAGGCGCTGTGTGTGAAAAGGGTGAGTTGGCTTTATGTCTTTACAGAATAGAATCCATTTCTTCAACCCAATCTAAAAAGTTTCAAAGTCGGAGCTTATTTCAAACTCATATTAGAAAATGAGCCGGAACTGACTCTCCCTATAATTATTGGTGCTATCGCAATTAGCGATATCAAAGTAGCCACCAAAGGCTGCCGTTAACAGCGATTTTACAGCAGCTACGAGGGTTTGAGGATTCCACTGTGCCAATCATACCTTTGTGGTGCTCTGTAATCACTTCTACCCACAGTGCCTCAAGTGCTTTCATATTTATGAAGGAGAACAACACACCATTATAATAATCAAAAGAGGCTGCCAAGTTACACGGTAAATTGAGGTGTTTGGTTTACGCTGGATTATAATGTATGAATGCTTTCTTCTAGGGTCAAAGTCCTGGCTGTATTGGGGCCTTTAAGAGTCTGTTTACATCATAAGACTAACATGTGTCCATCTGATCACAAATGGACAGCTCTTATCACAGCTGTTCACACCTTGCAGGATAGAATGGGTCACCAGGTGTGTCCTGAATGACCGATTGTGACTGAGTCTTAGTTCCCTGCTGTAAATGTGAACATAACATCTCATTAACATCCATTAGGCAATAGGAAAAAAAATGACTTTCAGCAGAGAGAGAGAGAGAGAGAGGTTTTGGTGGATTAGCAACAGAGAGGGAGCTTCTGAATTTGGACAGAATTGATGACTACTTTTTTTTTTTTTAACTTCATTTGGAATCATATCAAATTAAAAAATTATTACATTGGTTAGACAACCTCCAGAGTGAGCCATTTCATCATTTTTTACAAAATAGATTTAAAACAGAATGAAAATAAATGAACATTGGGTGTTTTTTTATTTATGAATTCAGCAAAAGCAGCAACACGTGTATGTTGTGTTAACAGACAGACAAAAGGGTCTTTATTCTACATGCTGGTGTCCACATCCTGCATTATTATGATCTCAAATGAAGAACTTGTTGGCCACGCCGTGTCCAGATGCCTTCTTGCCCATTTCCCTCATCAGTATGGGATGATTACATGTGAATTTTTAAAATGCTATGACTCCTAACTGAGTCTATACAGGGATGTTTCTGTGCTGTGCCTGTCTGCACATAAATGGATAAAGCATGTATGCACATGTTTGGAATAACATGGGGAAAAATGAACAATGTTCACGAGACACAGTGGAGAAGTAATAAATCAGATATGTTTGAAAATCAGGGTCTCAGTGTGACTCTTCCCCTGGTTGACGAGGCAGTCCTTTAATGAGGCTCAGCACACACTGACATCAACAGTACTGAAGGAATGTTGTAATAAAGGGTCCCAGACCCTCTCCCAATGTGTCCGGAGAGATTGCATCACAATGTGTCTTGCTTGTGTTTGCATGTGTACATAAGGCTGTCCTCACATCAGATCACCCCGGAGCTCTGCAGAATTCAGCGCTCAGAACAAAGAGTCTGTTTCATACGATATTCTTTTCCAACTTGAGAACAAAGCATTGAGCTGTGATGAAGTCAGATGCACGATGTATCCTTTGTAGCTGCAAACTTATCTATGACTCAGACAGTTTCAACACCTCAGACGTGAGCGACTGCTGAGACGTTCACCAAAGGCAACACAGAGTCCAATCAGCTCCGCAGAGAAAATCATAAATCAGGAAGAAGTTCCTGAGACGCTCAACTCTTTTGTTTCCTTCCTCTTAGCCTACTTTGGGATTTTGGGGGATGAGAATCGACCTCACGCAGCTGCATCTTAAGATAATTGACAGTAATTGCTTTGATGGGGATTAGCTGGTGAGAATCAGTGTGTATCTTTCAGTTAGAGTGGCTAAATGCAGTCACACACACACACACACACACACACACACACACACAGAATACTCACCAGCCTCCCCCAGATCAATCAAGTCATTAGAAAAGAGGCAGCTCATCAGCTGCCATTCTCCTGAGAGAGATGGGACGGAAAGACAGATGGACGGAAAGAAAGGGAGCCCGGGGGAGAAAATGGATGATAATAATCATAATTGTTGAGTGGATGAAAAACAAAGGTTCTCCACATGTGTGCATATCGTGAGCAAGAGTGCATGAATGTGTATGACATGAGGAGGTTTTTTTTTCTTCTGGATCCTCTCATTTTGATAACTCCATCAGAAGAACTTCATTCCTGAAATAAATGGACAGAAAGTCTAATTTTCTCCGGTGACACACCACCTCCGCTCACACTTAATTATCCACATTAAACGCCCGTTGTGCTATTACAAAGCAGCTCATGTAGTAATGCCAGGATTGGCTTGTTGTTCTTTATTCCTCCACAGTGATCCATTACTTCATCCCATCATTCGGAGGCCAGTCGTACCTGGCGTTCCAAACAATGACCGCCTATCACACGGTCCGCATCGCCATGGAGTTCAGAGCCTCCGAGATGACCGCCATTCTGCTCTACAACGGCCAGGAAGGAAAGAAGGACTTCATCTCTCTTGCTCTGGTCAACGGCAAAGTAGAGCTCAAGTGAGTTGTGGTCACATTTAAGAAAATGCAGCAGCCTTTTCTGCTGTTCATTCTGCTGCTTTTGCTTGATTACATTTGATGACACTCAGAAGATCCCCCCGGGGAAACATGGTCATCGCAGCAGCAGCAGCAGCCGCCGCGAGAGGATGTAGATAAGAATAAAACAAATAGAGAGCGCCAAAAGATAATGAGGCAAATGATTACTGCAAGGAAAACATGTTGCAAACACCACGGCCAGAAGAGAAATAAAGACACAGAAGCTGGTTGACAGACTCGCAGGTTACGGCTATGAAGACGGGATTTCAGAAATATGTTCAAACTTGTAAATAAGCTGTTCACATGATCACGTCTGCAGATGGCCGATGAACATATGGACAGAAATGTGTGCAGCACGTCCATGTCTATATTTAGACATCAGATGCAGTTTTTGGTAACATATATGCACAGATATTCATGATTCTGTTGATATGTCTAATCAGGGCTCCTAATGAATATTCAATACTTACAAACTATGCAATCAGGAAAGAGGAATATTTATACACATATAAACACAGAGTTCATTTTGGGCCTATGACATCACTATAAACCTTCAGTCAGAACAGTTATAGTTACATTAGGCTATCATAGGCAGTGTTGTAAGTCAGGGAGTAGGACTATTTAAAGGCCATATTGTTTTTTTTCCTCCAAACATTTTACGTCTCTCTTCAGCAGTCCAAGCTAAAATTGCTCAAAAAATATCTTAACGGGGCGAGGGTTCGAATCCGACCTGAGGCTCCTTTCCAGCATGTCATTCCCCACTCTCTCTCTCTCGCCCTGATTTCTGTCACTGTCTCTCTCTCCAATGAAGGCACAGTCTTAAATGGCTTGTTTTATTAAGGCTAGTATCTCCTCCTGATTTGGATGGCTTACTTAAAATAAAAGTTTCATCTGATGGGTTTAAACTGGACTATTTTCATGAGAGAAACTTGAAGAAACACTCAGTATTCCTCTCTTCTCCCACAGTGGGATTGTATTAATAATAAATCATTCAGAAGAGAGGTAGAATCTTCAGGATAGACGAGAATCAACTGCTTAGAGAGTCTGCACAACGTCTTTATTTATGTTCTGAACTTTATTATTTCGTCATCGGCAATCCTTATCTTTGGGGTTTCATCTTAACCCCTCGAAACCTCTCCAGTTCCTCGAGATCTAGTCAGGTTAAATTTCTCTATTCATAAAGAAATCAATAGCAAACTGGAGGAGATCATTAGTCACTTTGGCTTTCAGATGGGGCTCTGCCTCTCTTCCAGAAATACAGCTGTGAGATTACCACCCACAGCTCTGCAAATCCACGACGTGGGGAGAAGAACTAATTATTTGTAGCTGATAATTGCTCACCGGTTGTGCTAATGCTACCATATGTGTGGGTGCACATGCACACCAGCTCTTTTCTGTGACGATGTGGCCTTTTTCACAACAAAAACTCATTACAAGGTTTAATTAAAAAGAGGGTGTGAGAGACATTTTTTAAGAGAGTTACTGCCGTGTTTCAGGCGCATAGTTTGGAACTCCAGATGGGAACTCCTGTACCGTCTTTCTTTCATCCATCTTTGTCTTGTTGAGCAATGTGAGCTGATTTTTTTTTTACTCATTAGGTGCTGTGTAAAGAAATATCTGTGGAAAATAACTTCTTCCCCAAGTCCTGTAATCTTTAAAGAAGTGTGACGCTGGTATACAACCAGAGAGTCTAAAATCCTCTGTGTCTCCTCTCCTCAGGTTCAACACAGGGTCAGGCACAGGCACGCTGGTCAGCAAAGTGGAGATCACTCAGGGCCGCTGGCATCAGCTGGTGGTGACTCGCAACCGGCGCAACGCCATGCTGAGCGTGGACAACGAAGAGCACATCGAGGGCGAGAGTCCACGTGGCACAGATGGCCTCAACCTGGACACCCACCTGATGATTGGAGGAGTGACGGAGGAAATGAAGGCTGAGTAAGACCTTAAATCTACTGTTACACATAGTCAGGATCATTTTCAGGATGAGTCATAAATAAGACTCAGAGCTTCTCTTCAGTCTACTTATTTTTTTAATTCTGAGTGCAGTATTGAATGATTTTTCTCATTTTTGTCCATTTCCCTGTCAGATTAGGTTGAAATTATAAGATAAATTGAGCCTAAAAGCAAAGTGGTCTCCCTCCTGGGTGAATAAGCAGAAAGACCAAATGCAGAGACCAATCAGAAAGTTAAAAATCATCTTTGCCCAAAGGCAGAAATGTGAGGTAACATGTATGAGTTCTTCACAGAACATTGGTCTCTTCGAACAGGTGACATAAACATGCAGGTGTTGACAACAGTTAGCCAAACCCCTCTTAAGGCTGTTATCAGTTCAGTTGATATTATGCTTTAAGGCGCATATTCCCAAGTGAACAGGCAGGAAACCAGACCACCACAAACCAACTTATATGACTAAAATGGGACGTCCAGACTAATCGGAGTCTTGAGTTAGAAATCCGATTTTTCTTACTTCTGTCAGCTGGAATCTTAAAAACTACAGAAAAGCAACAGAAGGGTGTTTTTAAGTACCTTACTCTCACCTGATTTAAAGACATTCATGGACTGAAACTATTGAAATCATCATGTTATCCTGCTTTTAGCATCAAAGACACTTTCTTTTAAATAGTTTAACACTGATTTTACTTCTTTACTTCTTACTTGAATATTTGAATTTGCACTTTTAAGTGTCAAGAAATATTTTTTGGGATATGCCATTGGTCTAATAAGACTTGTTCCTACACAGCTAGTTCATCACTATAGTAACAGTAAGGACTTGAAGTCAATCAACAACTGGAAACACATGAAATAGTTCTTCTTCTGAATCCCTGATGGTAATGTTATACGATCAGTAAACAGCATTGTCCTTGTTCTAAGCTCAGTGTTTTTAAATGAGGGTCAAAAGAATATAACTACAGACTCTTAAAACTTTAGATACATTTATATGACTCCTTCTCTTTTGTTTCCTTTCAGTGTGAGGGAGAGGACAGGAGTGTCAGCCGGTCTGGTCGGCTGCATCCGTCTCCTCGATGTCAACAACCGGGTGCTCAACCTGCAGGAGAGGGACGGAGACAGCCTGTACGGCAGCGGCGTAGGTGAATGTGGTAACGACCCCTGCCAGCCCAATCCCTGCAAGAACGGCGCGGCGTGCCAGGTGAAAGAGGCGGAGATGTTCCACTGCAAGTGCAGCAAAGGATTCTGGGGTAAGATGCTTGTGTAATGCAGCTGCTCAGCTCAGCAGTGTGCCTGATTGTCGAACTGGGATTTCTGCAGGGAGAGGTTCCTTCCGATGTTCAGAGCAGGGGAAGGGGAAGAAAATATTTAAATTCATATTTTCATTTTGCTGACTTTTCCAACGCCCACCCATTAAAGTTATGTTTATATCTCTGCTTTGCCTTCCCTTATGGGATTCACTGCAGTCATGACTTCCTCCCAAATCCTAAGTAAGCTTGACAGCCTAATTTGAGAGTGTAACTCGTGCCCCCAGCAGGAGCGCTGAAAGTCATTCTGTAAACACCAACAGCATCAAATCTGTGTGTCGGACACAGAAATAAGAGATTAAATGTTGACACGGCGAAGAAAACATGAAACCTTCCACCAAATGTTCAGTAAACGGCCTCTGGCCTATCTCTTCTTGCACATCCTTTTTCTCTCCCTCCAGCGCTCACACCAACTAACGAGCAACTCCAAGAGAAATAGTTAAGAGCAGACGCCATCAGGGCGCAGCCGAGCGTGCCCCTTGCTGGTTGTACCGCAGTCTGCTGCAGAAAGTTTAACTCTGGAAGGAAATTAATTGTCAGAGATAACTTTTATGCTTGAATAGTAAAGGGTTTTATACTCACATCGGGGCAGCTCAGTGGTTAGGGGAAGCACCTTTCAGCCAAGTTTTAAGAGCCCTTTTCCTTGAATTTAAAATGAGGATCGATAAAGTATCACATTACACTATTATTGCCTTTTATACAAGAACTACTTTTATGCTTTGTTGTTATTGAGAAGCCAGAGAAGAAGCAGAAATAACCCTCAGCTCTTGAGGAAGCATCACTGCAGTCAAAGTTGTTTTGGCAACATGGCGTTTAATGAATGGTGATAATGACAATTGGAGCGTTGAACCTACAGACTCACATTCAAGTTTATTTGGTGGTCATGTCAGTTTAATAAGTGGCCAAGATTGCCAGTCTCCATGGGAGGGACGGATCACAGAAGATAGACTAGATGGGTGGGGCGATTTTTTAGTTAAAGAGAGGACATGTCAGGACAGTCTGATGAGCGAGGGCGGCGAGAGTGTATTAGAGCTAAAAAGATGGGAGAGAGGGGAGAGATATGATAAAAGCAGCTGTGGTAGGGAAGAAGTAAGGGAGGGGGGGATAAAAGGGAGCTTCCAGAAAGCGTCAGTGAGGGAAAAAAAAGAGGGGGGAGCCTTGTGAGCTCAGCGGGGTTGGGGTTCATTAAAGCACTCTGCTCACCACAGGCTCTGACTGCTCAAGTAATGACGGGTGAATTCAGATGGGCTGAGGCAGAGGGCAAAACCATCATCCAGCAGACGCTCGCGAGCCTTTCCCACAGTCAGCGCTGGCCCCGAAACATGCCGCATGGTGGGGAGGCTCTCCGCTGTTTAATCTGGACGTGTAATATTTCCAAATCCTATTAGAAAATGACCTCCATTACAGAGGAAATCCTCATACCCCGCTTCTCTCCCCTCTTTTTAGTCTCCCCCTCCCCTCCCCCTTTATTTCAAATGAAATGAAGCTTTTTTGAATGCTGTTTTTTTTTCTAATGGTGGCTAATGGAAATGTGTGATTCTAGGTCCAACGTGCGCTGACGTTCACGACCCATGTGAGCCCAACAGGTGCCATCCATCCTCCCAGTGTCAGGCGCTGCCCGAGGGAGGCTACAAATGCGAGTGCCCCATGGGACGTGAAGGCAAGCACTGCGAGAAAGGTAATCTAATGCTGTTTATTACCAGACTGTGTTGAAATCGTGGTTCTGATTGGTAAATTATGTCATCCTGAGGTCTGTGTGGAAGTCACACAGCGGCTATAAAAAAAGAAGAAAGCACAGCAAAAAAAAAAATGAAAAGAAGAGGCTTGATGGCAGAGAAGTCATCAAAGTTAGAGAAGGAACATAATGTAAATAGTCAACACAACAATGTTAGGAGCTGTGGCAGCGTTCAAAAACGGGTAATTGGAAAATAAAATGTCAACAGACTTTGACAGTTTGGGGGCAGAAAACCTGCACCAGGTGCTGCGTTGATTTCTGCCTCTTTTGTTCACCTTCTCTCACTCAGCTATCACTGGAAATGTTTGTTTTGGTCAATAATTTGTTTTGTTTTTGAGATGGTAAGTGACATGAAGTACAATCTGCAGGCTTTTAACAGCAGATAGGTGAGAAAATGTCTGCATTAGCCTGTCACTATTTCTTAACATAAAACTACTTCCTCTGTGGAAATGATCCTTAATGTATAAGCTGGTGAAACTATAAATTCAGACCTGAACTGTTCTCCTGAGTTCTTGTCGAGGGGCTGCAGTGTTTGGTCTGCAGTCGGCTCGTTTTCAATTTTTGACTCTTTTCCTCCTCATTCTTTCCGCTCTGTGACGTTTCCATCCATGCTGAATCGAATAGGGAGATCAAACAGGAACAGAGGGGGGGGTTGAGCCTTAAGGGTGGGAGAGGGTGGGAGAGGGTGGGAGGGTTTCTGAACTGAAGGTAGATGATTGGCCCCGTCGGGCCATTCACAACATCGACTCGGCTGTGCTTGTTAGCGTGTAAACGGCAGTGAAGCCGCAGCCTGCCTCCTCTTCTCCCCCGGCCCCCTGTGCCTGTCCGCCCACAGGTGTTGTGTTCAAACATTGTTTTTGCTCCACATGGCAGAACCGGGGCCGCAGCTGGGGAAAAGACCAGATTACGGCTCACCTGCTTTTGAAGTTCATCCTAAGCACTTTTGTCGGTGTCACAATATGAAGTCTTAGTAGACGATGTCGACATTGTTTGCTTTACTGAAGGCGACTTCATAAACCATGAATGAAAGAGAATGTATTTCAAACACACACTGTGTTCGAGGGGGATTTAGAAAAACCAGAAGGGGATGGTCGTCTTTCCAGGCCCTGAGTCACAGTTAGCAGGTGACTGAAATAAATTGAGGTGAACCAAAATCAATGCGGTCTGAGTGAGAGCGTCTCCCATTCCAAAAAGCCATTTTTTTCCCAGGAATCAATGAGATGACTAATCGCATCAGTCCTCCGTGCCTGCCGTGATTAATGGGAGCGTCAGTCAGCTGGAGTGTCAGCCTCAGACAGGAGCTCACAGATACGGCAGCAGTCAGGCGGACGCGCCCTCTGAGGCCCGCGCTGAGAACAGTTAAAAAGACAGGTAGCTCACTCATCAGGAGCTTGGAGGTGAATTAGTCGTAATTTTGAGTGTGTGTTACCTATTGAGTGTGCACATTCATTTGAGGAACGGTTTCTATTCCAGTTCAATTCCACCAAGGTTTGTCAATGCAGCTCACTGCTGCCATCAAGGGCTTTTCTCAAGGGTGTTTCAATAGTATTGAATGGCATACTCCTCCATGTGCTCTGTGATGGTGTAAATCATTCCAGTGTACTAATGAAAGCAGCATCACTTGAACTCAGGCGGCCCTTAAAAAAACTAACTGTGCGGGGGAAATGTTTTATTCAGTCCCCGAGCAAGTTAGAGAGAGACAGTGTATCTGATTCATTCACCATTTTCACACGGCGGCCATTTTTTCCTCTGACATCACACTAAAGGTTTAAATGCTGTTATAACATCTTACAGCTGAAATCCAGGTTTAAAGTGTGAAATCAGAAAGGAATGTGGTCAGTCATTAACTTTACATCACTTTACAATCATTCAGCAGCTGAACAGAAGATGTGCATTTGTCCACATTTTCATTTTTTTGAATTTGTGGTAACTCGTGACCTCACATTAGTATTCCACTACTTTCTAGCTAATGTTACAGTTCGATTGTGTTTGATTGACTTTGTTTAAATTAAAGCCTAAATAATTTATTAAATGTCTCGAAGATGAGCTTAAATATTTCTGAATGAATCTGTAATCGCTTGAAGAGAAACTTCAGTCTGTAATGTTAGCTGACGATAGCTGTTGTCTTCAAGATTCAAGATTAAAAAACCTTATTGTTTATCACATAGAGACAGAAAATGACCTGTGGTTAGAGGCTCAAACAACATGAAAAAACAATCATAGGGAACCTTTAAGGATGCTGATGGGTTTTCATATATGTTAAAACCTTGACATTCCTTAGTGTGTTCTACCTGCTGTCTGTAATAATGATACAGCAGAACAACATTGTATCAGTATTTGAGCTTCCCACCCTGTGTGTGTTTTCAGAGAACGATGGCCGCAGTGTTGGTGTTTTAAATAATGCAAGCAGTCCCAGTGATTAAGTGAGAGTTGGACCAGGAGGTTTGATTGAATTGCATTTCCTCACTAGGACAATGCTTTTGTTAGGTGATTGTTTGTCACCGTTTATATAATTTATAGTGTTGTGATGGCGGTCATTTCAAATACTAATTATGTAGCTTAATACAAATAAACTACCTCAGGGTTTATCCTCGTCTTCAGCAGATATGCAGCAGCTTCTTTAGTTCTGATCTCCAGTTATCCGTTTCTGAGTTTCAGCAAAGGATAACTTTCAAAAGTTCAACTTTCTCGGTGGTCAAGCTCCACTTGTCATGCGGGTTTATCCCGGTCACTCAGCTCACCGCGCTTGTCTGGACTTCTGGTGACTTATTGATCACGATGCTTTCATTCATAACATGAGGCGAGGAAGAGTAAAAAGCCCTTCAAATCACTCCTCTTTAAGAAACCACACTCTGAGCAGCTCCTTCAGAGTTCACTTTAGTGCGGGGATTCCTCTTTTTCGCCCCTTCTCCATGCTGCGTGCCATCATTATTAGCAGTGTTCCTCACAATAGCTAATTAGCTTTCTCATCTTCGCCTGCCTTTCCCCATCCTGACTCCACTCGCTAATCCCAGCCAATTACCAATAAAAGCTTTCTTGCCGGCTATGTAGGTATGTGTGTGCGTTTGTGTGTGTGTCTGCGTGAGCGCCTGGCGTTGCACATGCCTCTGAATGATTTTTGTTTGTGCAAACAACCCCATAAACACAGACCCTCGGGTGACACTTGAATGATTTTTAATGTCAAACCACTTGTCAGAGAGATGGCACGGTGCCGGTCCTAATCACTCCAGACAGCCTGAAACGGGACCGCCAGATGCACACCCATCGCAGAGACATGAATTTGTAAAAAAAAAAGAAAAAAAGACTGCCCAAGTACAACGGCTGCATTATTTCATGTGTTCCTGCTGCCGTGTTAAACTCTACATGTCTCCAAAGGTTCTTTGTTACACTGTGGCGGGCTGTGTAATCACTCTTGACGTACGGGTGTTTGATTTTTTTTTCTTCGACTGTCAGTCAAAAAAAAAAAATCTTAATCCCAAAGGCTATAAAAACACAGATCCACGTCTTTCCATAATGCTGACAGGTCGCTCACAGATGCACTGACTATCCCTGAATTATAATTCTGTCAGCAACAAAAGCCAGACCTGAGGATGAATATGGCGTCTTTGTTTCCACAGTGGCTGAGAGGAGAGGGGCTTACTTGCCGCTTTTCGACGGAGACTCTTACCTGGAGCTGAAGGGGCTCCATCTGTACGGCCATGACCTGCGGTAAGTCTCTGCACGAAACCCAAACCTTCAAGAATTATGTATGTATTACTAAACACACGATATCATGCAGTTTTCATAGGCTGAGCTTGTTCTAGGCCTTAAGGCAGAGCTTCTGCCTGTAAGCCTGAACTGAATAACAAATGAATTATAGAAGCAGCTCTTTATCTCGGCCTCGCTTGTGGAATATCTCTACCCTCATTTTCAAACGAAGAACGCCAGTGCTGCAACCACAAACAAACAATAATCTCTTCACTGATGTTTTCTTTGTTTTTTACTGGGCTTTCTCTTGTAGTCAAAAGCTGAGCATGACGGTGATCCTCATGGCCAACGACTCCAACGGTTTGATCTTCTACAACGGCCAGAAATCAGATGGGAAAGGAGACTTCATCTCGCTCTCCCTCAATGAGGGGATCCTGGAGTTCCGCTACGACCTGGGGAAGGGACCTGCTACCATCAGGTAAGGATCATCCAAACTGAAATAAGAGACCCGCTGAGAGTCATTTTCTGTATGTGTGTCTGGTGGGTTTTGCTGCCACCCCACCTCAGAAGGAGACACCTGAGTCTATTCTCTGATGGTATTTTCATACATACAAAACTCCCTACCTGACTATTGCTGCTGCCCCGCCCCTTTTGAAGACGGATGGAGGAGACTACTGAGTCTTCTCACTCAGAGCGGAGGAGTGATCATGATTCCTTTATCATGACTAATTTCACCTCATAGAAAACAAAGTTATTACTGGACGCACATCTTCAAATATATGTCAGTAAAATAGAGTTTATTCTTCATGTTTCCACCTAGATGATAGAAAGGACTTTTATGTTGTTCCTTTTTGTGCTCTTTTTTTGAAGATAATTTTAAATGAGTCCATGCCCACCTCTGAGACAGAAAATGTTTACCCTCAGTTATCAATGATGTAGCTGTTAATGTGTCAGCTTTGTCATTACGGGTTTAACACAAGTACAAAAAGAAAACACATTTTCTATTAGAGCTGGTTAGAAACAAAACACACTTGGGGTGCTAATCTCCTACAGAGAACGTGTAAAACATGTTAATGAAAGACTGAGCACAGCCAGGTTTTTTAAAGCGACTATTTCACCCATGTGTGTGGTCTGTTTGTTTGTGTAATTCAGGAGTAAGGACCCAATCCAGCTCAACGTGTGGAACACCATCAACCTGGAGCGCTCCAACCGCAAAGGAGAGATCATGGTGAACAAAAAGGACCCGGTCCGAGGAGAGGCACCGGTAAGAAAAAAGCAAGCTGCCAGGCTCCTGCTAACGGTTATCTTGCTTTTAGCATGCGGAGCTCGTGGGCCTGTTCTATGCTTAGCTTTGCTTGTGCTTTATATAAACCGTGTTTGTTTGATCATCTGTGTGCTCCTATCATATCATCGCCACAAGCTTTAGCGGACCTTTTTGGCTCATTTAGAGGTGTTTCATTTGAGCCGCTGCAGGCTAGGTTGTATCAGCAAACTTTTTTTTTCCCACAACATGCGGTTCTGCCTGCCTGGTCTGCTGAAAATGTGCCGCTATCTCCTGACATCCATCAAGGCAAGCGGGAGAGCTCCAGATGGAGAGGGCCGGTTTGACAAGCTGTCTTAATTTTGGAAGTCCTGTGATTCCACTTGTTTTGTTTTTTTTGTAACTCAGCCTTTCAGCTTGCTGACACACTGGAGCTAAAACTTGGTGGTGCAAACACAAAGCAAAATCAAATTATACTACTGGTATACAGTCGATTTTATAAATGCAGCCTTTGAGGAGGTGCCTGGGGAGGCGAGGCAGATTAAGAAGATACCAGCAGCAGCAGCAGCGAGATGAGTGTAATGAAACCCTTCAGCCCTGCGTCTAAACCAATAAAGCAGGTACATGCTTCCAAATGAAAGGCGATCTAATAGTTTGATAAGTCTGCGGGTCATCCAATTATATTAAAGAGTGTAATGTGTGATTATGAGCACGCACTCTGTCAACTCAAGTCATCTTCCACTAAGACGCGACACACTCCTTATTTTTTCTCTCCCTCGCTGCTCTGTCCTCCCCCCAATGCCCGTATGATAATTGTGTTTTACTCCAGCAACAGAGGCAGAAAATCGTATTAAAGAAGAGAGCAAGGGGAAAGAGAAGATGGGGGTTGGAGGGGGGGGGGACTCATGGGATGAGCAGAGACTAGTTATGGAGCTCATTGCAGAGACCCCATCCAATATGGCTCTCAGCTAATTCTCTCCCACTCCTGCTTTAAGAGCATGGAGGGAGTGAGAGCTCACTTGTATCTTATTAAAAGTGGACAAACACACAGGCACGTGTAAGGATAAGGGTTATCACTGTGAAAGGATTTTAAACGTTTAAAAGATGCTTTAATAGCATATCAAGACTTGATACATCAACCCATACAATAACAAAAAAGAAAAGGCCATTACAGGAAACAACTTTAATTTCACCCTTTTTAATTCCAACAAGAATACAATGCTGCTACATCTGGTTTGTGGAAGTGCAAAAAACTGCAGCCCCTTAAAGTCCCCATGGTGTGGGAAAACCTGATCTCTCTTGGTTCCCTACAGCCAATCGTACCCTTACTTGGTAGGGTACGATGAGGGGGTAATAGGGGTAAGCCACGTGGCGATTTTAAGAGGTCCATTTAAACAGCAGAAATAAACATGTTTACACCCTGGTCTCAATAGCTCATTTCTTTATTTGTTAGAACTGAACAGAGGATGATGTTTTTAATAAAATATCTGTTTTTGCCTGTAACTAGACAGCTTGAAAGTTAGTGAGAGTCAGTATTTCCAATGTGGTGACCACAATCGTTCAACATCAACACAAATATTCAGAAACCAACGGGTGACATCACTGAGACTACGTCCATGTTTCATACAGTCGATGGTTGCTACAGAAAAGTTCACTGAACACGTACCCATACTTTAAAACTAGTCCTCTCTTTTATTTCTACTTTAAGGCATTATGAGTAAGAATTTTCTTTAAAAAAGTAATGTATAGACTCAAACTTGATGACCCACTAGAGGAGTGTGCTGGTCTCTGTAACTGCAGAGAATCTGCCATCTGTCTGTATTTTTCTCATTTAACTTTTATATTTTTTTGTGTTTGGGAAGTTTCTTGGCATCAAACATTGGGCAGGGGTGTTAAGCCCCTAGCCAATAACACTCCTTATCTGGAGACTTAAAAAAAAAAAAGTAGCATCCAGGTGACATCACGGTCTATGATTTCTGCTCACTCTCTTTCCTCCCTAGTTTGTCGACCAACGCTGCTCTCTATATTTTCCTCCTCACAGCAGCATGATTGCAGATCAGATTTGCAAAGCTACATTACTTCTCTGTACTATCAAACATAAGTATTGATGGAGGTTGTATCCTTTTTAAAAATGTGTTGTTGAGGAAATGTCATTAAGTGGATCCTTTTTAAAAGCCATAGCATGGACATATATTGTATGCTCGGAGTGTTCCTCCGTCAAAGATAGCTGGAGCTGCCAGCATGATGAAGTACATACCGTCAAGTGGCACATAGGTACAGATAGGAGGAATACAAATCTACTTCCCCTTTTACTGAATGGCAGCAGTGCAGAAATGAGGTTGGGTTAAGTGGCACTATTCACTGTCTCTCCTCCAGGAAGTTTTTTTCTTTATACCTTTTCTCAGTGGCACCATCTGCTTCATGCATGAAGCTGTCTCATTTGCATTCCCTCTCTTTAAGTGTAAACACAAACATGCGCTGCTTCGAGTTTGTATGTGTATGTACGGTCTGTCTATAATGCAAGGAACACATTTCTCTCCTTTTTTATGTCACTTGTCTGTGCTTCTCTGCAGCTGTGTTTAATGCTCTTACAGATGCCCCCTGTGGTGTGTGTGTGTGTGTGTGTGTGTGTGTGTGTGTGTGTGTGTGTGTGTGTGTGTGTGTGTGTGTGTGTGTGTGTGAGAGAGCTTATGTGAGTGTGTGTTTTGTGAGCTTTTAGCACTTGCCTGGCTCTGCATGCCTCTCTGTGCACAGACACTTACTAGTCTTCACCTAATAACTCTCTTCCTCCCTATTTTTCTTTCCTTCTCTATGATGCGCTGTCTGGAAATAAGAAATCACGAAAGGTAATGAGACAAGTCCCAGCCACACCTTAGCCCATATTTCATTTTTAAGTCGCTCACTACGTTCCTCTCACCCCCATCTCTCCATGCAACAACAGCTCAGTTAAAATGAAGGCACTTCTGCAGAGCTGCGGGCGGCTTTAAAGGTGCCAGCTCTGTGGGAAAAACTTTGCCTTCTCATAAGCCCGTGCACGCACACAAACAGCAGCGGAGTGGAGATGCTCCAAAACAACACGGTTTGGCTTTCACCTCGCTCCATCTGCCGTGGGGGTGGGAGGGGGCGGAAGGTGGGAGGGAAGAGGGAAAGGACACAGTCATCTTTATAGCAGCCATTGTTTTTAGCAACAAAGAAACGTCTTCATTAGTCCGGCGTAGGCGGGGATATCACGCCAGTGCTTGCGTGGCTGGCGAAAAAAAAAAAAAGTGAGAGCGAAGACAGGGGAGGCGAGCGAAGGGGAGGAAATATACCGGAGGAGATGCGAGGTGCCAAGCCAAGCCGGGCTGTTCTTTTGTCATCTGCTCGCACTTCTTTTTGGAAACAGGAACAATCCCTCCATAATATCATAAAGTCGCTCACTCTTTCACCCACTCGCTCTCCCATAACAACACGAACAACACTCACTGAACACCACCCAGCGAGCGTCTCTCTTTAGAGGAGCCGTCCTCTCACACCAGGTGCAGATTATTATCTGTTCACATGAAAGAACAAGGCATGACACATCATTTCATTGCATGTAATTCTCATAAATGAGTCATGGAAAAGTTACTCTCCTTAAGAACTGTGATTAAAGAAATGTCCAACAACTTAAAAACAGAGGAACAGGTGCAGCATGCATCTGCAGGTTTGATAACCTGTTATATCCAGACAAGTATTCTTTGATAACTAGCTGTGTATACACACATGCATTTTTGTAGCATATAGGCTCGTCATTTCTCATTAGAAAGCACATGTTCATTCTACAACAGTGTTAATCAAACAAGAGAATACATTCCCCTTCAGGTATTGAAAAGTACTGCAGGGAGTGCTTGAGTGTTTCTGTAAATGTTGATTTCTAATCAATATTGCATCATTCCTGAAGTCAGTTATTCAGTAGGTTCAATAAAAAGTGGACATGTTAGTTAGAGAATTCAGTTTTAAATGAAGTATCTTTATCTTCAGCTTAAATTATTAAATGTCTCAGAAGTGCCAAACTAGTCCAAGGCGATGTTTGTTCATTCAAAGCCAGTTTCAGTTCTGATTGACAGACTGAAATAATATTGATATATGATTTGAAAGCTGTGGCAGTGCAGCTGAAAACACAGAGAAACAGAGTGCAAACGAAAACAGAAAACAGCATACTAAATACCAAGCTAAGAGGAATAATGTTTTTTAATGGAATAAACCTCAAAGGGCTCCCAAGTCTCTGTCCTTTCTTTTGGACAGGAATAACTAGACAGTTACCTGAGTGAAAGGTTTTTTAGTGACAAGGTTATTGTGTTAATTAAGACACCGGGGCTGTTTTTCAGAGAATTATATCTTCTATTTTTCCCACAGTTGAGGATCAAATGTTTTTTTTTTACAACTACAAGGCTCTGACTGTTTCCCTCAGTAATCCCACAATTTCTGCTCGTTGATAGAAAGTTACTTGCTGACTTATAAGATCTGCATATTCATGGCCAACAACCTCCTCCACTAACTCACCAACTATTCGAGCAATGTGAAGCTTTTTGAGGGTTGCATGGCATTGTAGTTAGAGAACATACTGATGAAGAATATGGTATAAAAACAGGCTTTTTTGAAAACTCATAAGGAGGCAATATGCTACGAGTAAACATGCTAAACCACTGTTAGTCAATGGTGAATGTATGTACCTATATAAATACAGTTACAGTAGGTTTAATAGTGTTACAGTTGGTTTAATCTGCCGTGAAAGTGTATCAGAGCAGCCAGGTCGACAATAAGAGCCCGAGGTGGACGACTCTTCCCTGCTGTTGGTGACAACATTCAGCTCAGCCTCGAGGCAGCAGCCTCAGCTCGTCCAGCAGCTTTGGCCGAGGTCCCCACCCCGTCTCAGTTGGAAGGGGCTCAAGGTGCAGTGACACAGCCCCCGGGCTTCAGCCAAGCACCGCAGCCTCCTGCACTCCAAATCCCTTCCTAAATAAAAGCGAAGCCGGTGCCAGCTCGCCTCGCACAAAGCCTGTTTACTTGGCCCCTTCCATTATTTTTGCAGCAATTAACTCCACTTTACCCCTCTGGCAATTACTGCTCTACATAAAGATCATTAATTCTTTCCTTCTGAAGTGGGCCGACTCTTCTGTTCAAAAAAAGAAAGAAGTGGTACCTTGCTATTGCAAAGCAATCGGCCCCGAGGTTTGGTGGGAAGAATTGAATTTCAGAGCTGTCGCAGTGCAAATAAATTGCAATTAATGTGTCTCCACACTCGAGCGTTTGAAAGGTTGCTTCTTATGATCAGCCATTCATTAGAGAGGTCTGTGTAGAAGCAGCAGTAGCTCACGTCCGGCCTACTCCTGATTTCCCTTTGTAGTGTCTTTTTATCTCTCACAGATAGAGGATAATTGACCACTCTCTCTGAGAGACATAGAAATCTATTACGCTGTAATGTATTAAGTGTATTGACGCAGAAAGAAGGCGAGCATGTGCAGTTAAAGCGTCTGCCGGCTGCAATATGGAAAAATCCTTTTTTTTTTACGAGACAATCTATTTAACTGTGGTATGTCTGCAAATGTGGTTTATCAATCTCACTCTGTGCATATCTTGAATTAAAGGATACAACTTATTTCATGCTCTCTGGACACAAACACTTAACCTGCTATAGAAAAACCATAAACCGTTCCGTCCTGAGGAGAAAACCTGTGAAATGTGCAGTGGAAAAGATTAAATTGAGCGTTTTCTAAAGATATTTGAGAAGCTTTTTGAACCTCTCTTTAACTATATGCTTTTATTTCCATAAGCATCCAAATTCTCAAAGATGAAATACTTAAAGAACAAGTAGAGGTAACAGCGCCTTATTTGGCTAAGTTAAAGAATATTGTTGTCAGAGGTTATAATGCCTTCTTGTCAAATGTTTTTGGCCATACGATATTTGTAACCTTAATTTCACCCGAGGAAAACTCTCTGAGATTAAGTCGAGTCAGGCAGCGGAAGAGTGGACAAAGTTTCTGAAACTCGATGAGCATTTATACATACAAATATATTACAGGATGCATGACTTAAATACATTAAGAAGACCTGAAATAACAAGTAAAACACCAACAGCAAATATACTACAATTCAATATGTATAAGGCAGAACATCTACAGCCACATGTACCTGCCTCCAAGTCATTCAAACCAGAGAGCAGCTCTTTCAGTGTCAGGACCTTTTGTAACTTGTTCAAAGTAGAGTGAAAAATAAAAACTTAAATGGCATTCCTCTGGTTCAGTTTTGGTCTTTGGAACTGACAGTTAGTAAGACACAAACGTCTGACCGGATACAATCATTTCTCAAAAGGTGAAAGGTCAACTGAGTTCTGACAACATAATATTCTAGAAAACACTTTTCAGGTCATTATATCCATCACATTCATGTAAACATGAAATCTCAGGAAAACCTTGAGTGACAATTTTACAATTTTACAAAAACATCAACTTGAACTCAAAGGCCACTGTTACTGCGTTCCAACCTTGTGAGCACGATACCTTCATAACATCTGGAGGGAAGTTTATTAGGGATGGTTTATTATGTCCCGACTGTAAAGGCGTCCAGTGCACTCTCTCCTGTTAAATGTCAGTGTATGTATTTGTTCCTTTTAGGGGTAGCCGATGCATTCTTTTGAATATTTCCATTTTAAAAATGACTGCTTCATCCCCCGACCTCACCACAGATATGTCGTCAATGTGAGGGAAACAGTGGTGGATGCAAACTGCATATAACTGTGACAACCCAAATGTTTGGGTTCAAGTCTGCACAGCTCCAGCTCACCCACTGACGCCTCTTTGTGTCCTGTCTCATCAGAACCTGCACGTAGATCTTAACCTGAAAGAGTCTCTGTTTGTCGGTGGAGCTCCTGATTACAGCCGACTGGCAAGAAGCGCCGCACTCACAGAGGGATTCAAGGGAACCATCCAGAAGGTAAGTGTTCACAAGCCTCTAAATCTTGCAGGAGAAGTGTATCTATATCTCTGCCTGTGGGTTGTACTGATGTGTATATATGTTATTTTAGTGACTCTTTCACCCTGAGATGTTACACATATTCTAAAGATAAGTTATAAGCTGTCCAACTGTCATACTACAGAACCCTCTTTTCCGTAATTTTCCGTGATAAGCTCACTCTGAGACGGGCAGTGACTCTGCTCATTTGGATTAGCATGCACTAATAATAGAATACACATTTTGAAGTCCCTCTCTTTCGCTCCTCTCAGATCTTTCTCTGACAGCCTTCCAGTTTTTTTTTCTTACACTTTCCAGCAAAAAAGCTCATCTCCGAACACCAAAAATAACCCGGTAGAACAAAGGCAGGATGTTACTGTTTGTGCAAACTTGTCATCAGTTCTCCTCTGCAAACTTTCCCTTGACAGTTTTCCGAGCAAATCAAAAGCTAAATGTGGCGTTTGTCTTACTCGGCCCGTTGGGAGTGGGTAATTATGAGGAAGGCGGTTTGTACACTCAGTTTGATGTCCTGTTTAGCATGTGCGTCGTGACAGCGCCTGATTGGGAGACGTTTCCCTGTGCGGTTACAGAGTAGAATTCATATTCAAAAGGAAGAAGACATTCAAATGAATCTACAGTATCAGCGTGCACAGTTGTTTAGGTCTCAGGGCGTGTTGGCATAATGAGGTTTTAATGATCGTTCAGCAGAAAACACTAAGCCCCATAACTCGCTGCTTTCCCTTGGACAACAACCAAGACTGCTAACAAATGATTATCTTCAAGTGCTTTGCTAAGGAGGGGAAAATTAAATCAGATAAATGTGACAACAAAAAGCACTGAAGAGGAGGTAAGAGATTTAAAAGCCAGACAAGAATGGCGAAGGTAAAGCTCCAGAGGAAGGTCACAAACGATTTATATTTACACTGTTCCCCTGAAGGGAAAAGGTTAAATAGGTGCTTAATTAGAAACAGCTGATTTACATGCAAACGTGCAGGCAGGTTGTAAAAAATACCTGTCATTTGATAACTAAGCCTACAGAGACCATAACTCTGGACTTAATGTTGGATGAGGAGCACTGAAACATATTTTCCATGATCAGTGTGAACCATTCAATAACACAGTGACACCAACTTTCTGACACTGTTTTGTTTTCTAACATAGTGATTTAAAATGTTTCTGTGCAACAATCAAAGTTCAAGTCTGAGGAAGATCATGTTAGCTCCAAACATCACCTGTTAATAAATCTTTTAAACAGGAGGTCCTCGGTGTGTGGATCCTGTTTGCTTCTTTTTACCCACAATCAAAGTTCAGCACATTTAAATCCAAACATAAAGACACCTGTGTTTGCATTTTACTTACATCTGGTCGTCGTTTAGACTTGATGAGAATCACTCCCACACGTTCCCCATTCAGTCAGAGTTTCAGACTCTAGTTCATTAAAACCTAAGCATTTTTTCTTTCCTATATCTAACTTTTGGAGATTTTGGAAAAGAAGTCTTAAGTTGACTCATTTTTGGGGCGGCTGTGACTCAGTTGGTAGAGTCGGTTGTTTCTTAACCGGAAGGTTGGGGGTTTGATCCCCAGCTCCTTCAGCCACATATCTGATGTGTCATTGGGCAAGACACTTAACCCCAAGTTGCTCCCGCTGCTTTGTCGGCGTTGTATGAATGTGTATGAATGTGATTACTTACTTCTGATGTTCTCACTACATGGCAGCCTCTACCATCAGTGTGTGAATGTGTAGATGTGACCTGCGGTGTAAAAGCTCTTTGAGTAGTCAGAAGACTAGAAAAGAGCTTTACAAGAAGTCCATTTACCATTTCCTTTTTCAAAACAATCTTCAAAATTGATTGTTGTTTCAAAAAGTTTAGAGACTCAGAAGAAGTCGGATTAATCGATAAAGATCAAAGTCCCAGAGGCAGACGTGTGTCATTCTTCTCTCAATCCCTGGAAAGGGTGTAACTTTGTTTTCCTATGCACATACTATAACATTTTTACAATCACTCATTGCTGGTAATTGCCTCTACTGTATCTTTCAAACTCCACACCACTCTAATTTATGACAGAAAATTTCGCTTATGTGACTAAAGTATGAAAGCTCAGATCACGGTAACCTTGACAACATCATTTCCTCAGATATGAAAACCTCCTCCAGAGCTGAACAGTTAACAACTGTTTTCACAAGTTGAGTAATAAGAAAAGACTCCTGTAAATGTGTTTGAGAGCCTTTGTTAACCCTGTGTGTCCTGCTCTTAGATCATCCTGATGGGCACCCCCATCCTCCGAGAGGAGAACGCCCAGCGCTCCAGCAACGTAGCCATGTTCCAGGAGCACCCGTGCTCCCAGGAGCCCTGCCATAACGGCGGCCGCTGCAACCCCCAGCTGGACACCTACGAGTGTGTGTGCCTGAGCGGCTTCTCGGGGGGACGCTGTCAGAACAGTGAGTATCTCTGTCATCTCCCCTCACAACACTTTTATATCTTGATTTGTAAGTATCAGTATGATTGGTGTGGGCGTACCTGCTGGCTTCAGATCACCTCATCATCGCAGTGTGAAACTGCAATGAATCACTGTAAGTGTACAGATTGTTCCATTTCCTCTTCCAACACTATTTGGTTTGACTCTTGAGGGATACATGGCAGCAGGAGTTAGGTCTTTGAAAAGGAGGCTGCCTTCCCAGTTCTTTTGTTTGTGTTGCTAAACCAGAGTCATCAAATCCCAACGTTGAATACCCGGAGGTAAAATGTCGCACACAAACACAGATCTTCAAAACCAAGTTCACTTTTGAAATCAGGATTAATCTACTTTATGTGGGAGCTGACTTTTTTTTACCTGTGGGTATTAAACTTTGGAAACATGATGGCAGCATTTTCAGACTTTATATAACACAGCTTGTTCTCGGAAGAGGAACCAGTCTCATTTTTTTCCAGCTTATAAAACTTTAGTTTGCACTCTCTGTTTTGGAGACAAGAACGTCTGTGATTCTCTTTACGTTAACTGATTTAAATCGTTTTTTTTGATTTTCTTAAACGTCTTCCATTCGATACTGAGTGTGTGTTAGTCCATATTGAAGAAGTCCTCAGGGTGCAAAATAAATATACATGTTATTATACAGCTAACTCTGTTTAGACATGACATCATCGTTAAGGTGGTTGATTGGCTAGGCTCAGTAAGATAAAGAAGAACTTCACTGGTGCCATATATAGATATTTAATTTTAAAAAACACAGCCCTGTTTACAGATTTACTTTGCTAATTGGCTCACCGCGTCACTACTTCATGACTCAGCTTGTGACATGAGGGATGGTAATGTAGATGGAAGTTAATTGGCCATTAATTGAGAATACAGCAGGATAATATCTGTAAAAGCATGAGGCATGATGGGAGATTTGAAACTGACACCGTGTGATGCAGTAAATAATAATTACACGAGTCCTGACCTTCACTCTTTCTTTAATTAAATATAGTGATGTGTCATTATATGATTGTCTTGCAATACATGACTGCTTTGCAGAATCTCTGTATCATGATATTATTATTATTATTATTGTTATTGTGGGTCACTTATTGTTTCATGTCCTATTTGTCCGATTGTGAGTTAGCCTGCAAGTCCTAGAAACATGTCGAGGGGGAGCTTCCAAGTTTTTTTGCCTGCCTAAGAGGGTTGCAGAAACCGTTTTTTTAAGTGTGTTTTAACCTTTATTAATTACCTTCACCTCATACTGTATAGAAGGTTCTTCTTGGCCACTCGTACTGTAAGCAGAAGTTGCTAAAGGCTGCCATAAGTTACATTATTGCTTCCTACAGTAGGCCACTGTTGAGGGGAAGAATATGGAAGTTATGGCTAAAAACATCAGTAAGGGCTTGATGTTCTGGCGTTCTTTATCCAAGGCGTTTCAGTATCTGTATCGACGCAGGCATTTATTTATTTCAAACTAAAGCAGCAGTTATCAAAATGATGAAAGCTGCCAATTGAATATTCATGAAATGCTCTTTTCAAGAGTTGCACATCCCTTTCATCATCATCATCATCATGTCACTCTGCCAGAGATCGACTCACTGAGGCCCTATCTGTCTCACACACTCAGTCACCGCCTTCTCCATTAACCTTGTACTGCTGCCCGCTGTCCCCTTTCACTTTAATTAAAAACTACAAATGCACCAACACTGCCCCATTTGCTCACGACCCATCGGCTCTGATAACCGAACGCTCTGTTTTATTGATCGGTGTGATGTCATCCTCTGAAAAACCACTCTTTCTTCCCACTCTCCACCCCTCCCCCCGACTCTTCCACAGCCATTTACGAGAAGTCTGCAGGCGACACCGAAGCCATCGCCTTTGACGGGCGGACGTTCATCGAGTACCACAACGCCGTTACAAAGAGGTAAGGAAGAGGACAAGGAGATCATCTTCATCTATGATAGCTATTAGCCAAATAACCTTTCTGTCCATCCATCTCCTCCTTTGGTGAGCCACGACGACACTGTGTTGATGATATCATCAGTGCCGTGGCTTCAGGGTGAACTAGTCACTTTGCTAATAGCTCAAACCCTCCACCCACAACAGTCCTGCTTTGTTTTTTTCTAATTAGCGAGATTGTTAAGAATCACAGCGTTGCCCTGAGCATGCTCGGTTTTCTCTGCTTAGTGAACATTGGACAATACAATAAGCACACATGAAGCATGATTGAAAGTGTGTTAGTATTCTCTGTAAAAAAAAAAAAAACAGCCTCCAAAGAAACATCACCTGCAATATTCAACAACCCGTTAAGGCCCACACAAAAAAAGATGATGACGCAAATGTAAAGTGGTCTCTGGAGCAGCTTTGGAAAAAGAAAAATCATGAAATCCTCCCGTTTTAGGCAGCTGATGAGACAGTTTTTACTCTCCAATCCGTCGACAGGGTTTGGCAAGAGAAGAGCGCCCCTCCTGAGTTTGCACCAACAAAAATGTTTATATGATGAACCTGAGAAGACATCAAGCATACGGCTCTATATCTTCGTCTCACAGCTCTTCACACAAACACTCAGAGGTGTGAAAAGCGGCCCAGATCATCACACTCCACCACTCACGCTCACTCAAAAACAACTGGCTGCAGAACTCTTTCGGGATATGTGTGTGTGTGTGTGTGTGTGTGTGTGTGTTTTTATGTGTTTTATGTGCTGTTTGTCTGTGATTCTGGCGTTCCAGCTGCTCGACCTTGTCCTGTCCTTGAGTCTGACCGTCCTAGTTGTCTCTGTCTTTGTCTCATGTTAAATGTCCTTCACTGTCTTTCCTTCTCAACCAAGCCAACTGACCAATGAGATCCCGGAGTAAGTAGACTCTTAGACTGGGTTTTTCCCCAGTTCAAATCAAGCAAAACTAACAGCTAAAATCCATTGTTTTAATAGTTAAACTAACAGAAGAGATTAAAGCACATTCATACAAAAAAAAAACCCAACAGAAATCATCTTTTCTGATAAAGTCAGACTTTCCATTTAAGCTCCATCTCCATGATTTAATTAGACAGATTTCCTTCTGTTGAATACATTTTGCAGCGTCATTAGATACGTTCTCCTTTTTTGTTTCCCCGTGCAAAGAGAAGCATGAACGTGTGCATGATAAGCTTTGTGCTCACCCTTCAGAAAGACAAAATGAATTGCTATGCTAAGAATGTGCAATATTTTATGCATGGTTGTAACTCGATCATAAACAAAATGAATTGCCATGCACTTTACACTGAATGGCATTATCTGTCATGTGGGAAATGAACGAGACCCTGTTGAAGAGGAGGATGTACTAAACAGCCCTTAACCTAGTTTCTGGTGCCCATGTGGACTTTCTGCTCGGGGAAAGCCCTCGGTCATGACTTAGTTATTAAGGATTTTTTTTTTCTTCCTGCTCATTAGCTCGGTAAGTAACCTCTTTTTAAAGAGTCCCACAAAGCGCCCAAGCAGAATTCAGCTCAAATTAAGCCGACTGGATTCAGCCCAGAGTTCCAATCCATGCCAGGGCTTCTGTCATCTCGCTTTTTTGCCAGATCTCTAACTGTAATTGTGAATAATTACAGAGTCGGCCGTACGGAGAGGCAGCGACATGTTAATCACAGATTTGTCTCCCTTTGTAGATTAGACCTCCAATTGAGATCTCTCTGCAGTGTGCAGCCATGGGCATCAATCTCACTTAGCAGGAGGGGGGACAGTGGTCCTTGGAGCCAGACTGTCGAAAGTTTAATGGATGTCACATTTACTGAGAGCCTCAATGAGCGTGAATTTAAGCAAACCAGAGAGCTAGGGAGGCCCGCTGATCAATTCCGCCATGATTTTGATTTTATAAAAGAAATTTCTCAAGAGGACATTTAGAGCTACGCGAGGCCAAAATGTCAAAGACTCACCTTGAGTTAATGTTTCTGTTACTATTTACAGCTCCCTCTGGTAGCCCCTCCTTCACCTCCTTACCCATATCTGAGAGCTCGGGTCGATTTGCTCGAGCCCCATTATTTCTGTGACAAATCACATCTGGCCCTGACTCTCAGCTGATATGGCGCTTGACCCCATTTTTTGACAATTACCCCATTTTTCTCATTCAACGCTTCCATCGCTGGACAGAAGGTAATGGCTGCTGCACAGTGGCGTGCAGCACCATAAATATAAACGGGTTGTTCAATAATTGGACGCCGACTTAAAGTAGCCATTGTTACCGGGGCGTGGACACTGACCATGAATGTACTTAATCTTGATGTTGTTTAGAACGTGCTTCATCACAAGGCATTTTGGTGCATTAGTCATCCCTGTAGCTCCCTTGAGAATCTCCTTCTGACGTTGTGTTGTGATCTGGTCGAGCTACACTCTTCTTGTGATCACAAGACCGTTGTTATCGGCTGTTGGCACAGTCGATATAGTAGTAGAGCAGATAAGTTACGCTTTCTGCAGCTCCAGCTTAACTAGACCTCTGTGAGTCACACAGTGGGCTCACAACCTCCTTTCCTCCTTCCTTCCCTCCGTCCTTTCTTGTTCCCCTCCCTCCTTCCTTCTTTCCTTATGGCCTGTTGCGCTTACACTGCATGCCGTTGACTCTCTCCCCCCTGCTCCCTTAAGTCCTGAGTCTCTGGAGAACCCATCTGACCAGAGGTGAGTTTGCTCGAAAGCTTTGACACTTTCTGATGCCGTCCACTGGCCTTTTAACTCGTCGTGCTCCACTTCTCTCCTGACAACCCCTCCCCGACCTCTCACAGGGCTAAATCCGCCTTCACAAAGACAACCTAGTGAGTAGTCTTACAATGAAGTTACAAATAAAAATCAATTCTGTCTAAGCTTCAATTAATTCTGAGATTTGGAGCTTCGATGACAGCACAACACCAACCAGAGCTTCAGCCATCCTCCCTTATGGCTTCTTTTTATTCTAACCACTACTGCCACCTAGAGTTAAAATGTAGAAAAGCACCCTGGGAAAGTCTTCTGAGAATTTGAATACATATAAGGAGGAGATAAGATCTCTACATTAAAAAAAAAAACACAGCAACACACCAGAAATCTAAGAAGTCAGAGAGGTGTATATGAGTTTTAGACAGCCGCGTGCCTGTGTTGTTTTATTCATGATATTCAGCACTTTTAATAACCTTGACCTTATCACTGACAAGCCACTCTGATGGAGATTTATCGAGCCCTGTAAGCTCTCTGAGGGTTTGCCAGGAGAGGGTTCACTGAGCTGTATATGTGTTTTTTTCCTCTCTCTCTCTGTAGGAAAAAAAAAATCATTTTAAGGCTTATTTCTTTTTCATCCTGTTTACTTCAGCGGATTAAGTTCATCAAGGGGGTCAAAGTTTCTAACCTGTGCATGTTTTTGTAAAAGGAAATCAAATTTGATCTTAGTTCTACCCACTCGTCTGCTGAAGTGAACCAACATTATTCCTGTGCTTAGCGTCAAAACAGGAAAGAACTTCAAAGTTCAACAATATCCATTGCTTTTATACCTGGTGCTCTTTTTATTCGCTCATTAATGAAGAGAAACCCCTCAGGGAAAACCTGAAAATACTTCTTACAGTGTAAGGAGATGTTTCTGTACTCTTTTTCTCTCCCATCTCCTGTCCTCTTTCCGTGCCCCCATGAGCCTCTCTGCTTGCTGTGCTGCTTTCTTTGTCTTGTTGTCTTGTCTTGTCTAATCTTTGTCTTCAGTTCTGTGCTGCTCTCAGTCTTTTCATTTTATCCACTTGTCATTGGTTCTTTGTTGTGTGTGTCCTCACCTTGTCCTTGTCTTTGTGTTGAAATACCCGCTGAAGAAACAGACCCATGTCTAAATGTAGCAGATGTGCAGACAATTGCACGGATGCTGATTGATGACGTGCACACACACACACACAAACACACAAACACACAAACACGCAGGTATGATTCTGTGGATGTCTGATAAACCTGTGCTGGACATGAGGAACAGAGGAGATTTGTAAGTGTTTGTTTGAATGCAGGATTGGATGTGTGATGGTGTCTGTGTGTGTGAAAATACAGTAGACTGTGTGACAGTGACTTACTGTGTCTCTTAAGGGAAGGTGCCTAGTCCCTGCTTCCAAATCACCCCCGCAGCTGTAGCAGCCAAGAGACTCAAGATCAAACAGCTGCTTAAACTACACAACACTCACACTTACATACACACATCCACACACAGAAACACAGGAAGTACTGAGCAGCATCGCAGTTCAGGCTCAGAGGGATTTTGGAACGCTAATAGCAAAACAGCCCCCTGCTATTCCTAAACTCAGCCTGCATCCTTAAAAATCACTGTAATGCTTTCTGACTACATGTGCTTGCACACAGAACCATATGTCACACTGGAATCATGGGCAATTTACCCTCGAGCCAGCATCTCGATTTGCACATTTCACATCTGCAACTTCAATTGTCACACACAAACACACACACACCAACTGATCAACGTGGGCGACATCAAGAATTGGATCGCATTGTGAGAAATTAGACCAAAATGTAATTGGTGTTTTTTTTCTGTTCTCGTAGTGAGAAAGCTCTGCTGGTGAACAAGTTCGAGCTGAGCATTCGCACAGAGGCAACACAGGGTCTGGTGCTGTGGAGCGGGAAGGGCGTGGAGCGATCCGACTACATCGCCCTGGCCATCGTGGACGGACGCGTTCAGATGACGTACGACTTGGGCTCCAAGCCCGTGGTGCTGCGCTCCTCGGTGCGCGTCAACACCAACCGCTGGATACGCATCAAGGCCAGCAGGTAAAATGGGCTGATGTTGACACTTAAACCCGGATTAGACTTAATCCATATTGTATTTGTGTTGCTGCAAACGTGTGTGATCTCTTCCATGACACCTCTGCTACACGGTGATGTGGTGCATTGAGATGACTTCGATTAGTTTCAGATTAAGGTTACTTTCATGCCTCGTGATGCACGAGTGTGAAGCGCTGCACATCAAATGGCTTAAGCAAATTAATGTAATAATGTACAAAAATGAAGAATGTGTTGCAACATCCCAACAAATTTGAGACATTAAAGGAAAAAAAAACCTGGCAATAAAATGACATACATGGATGGATTAACCCTCCGCTGACTGTACACTGTGTACAGTAGGCACCTTCATTTATAAAGCAAGCACACAAAACTCAGGCAAGTCAAAGTTTGTTATGAAGAAGAAAAAAACACCGTGACAACATTTAAAAACATGATTAAAACAGAAAACAGAATATAGCAATAAGTAGGATGAAAAGCAGTGATAGTCATTGTGCAGTATTCTCATAGTGGTTTAAGGTTTGCTGTTTGGTAATTTGAGTCAACACAGATTAATTAAGGAATATGCAAATGGAGGCACAGAGTCTTTCTTTTATCATGTTAGTTGACTCTGTGCTTAAGTGGTGTATGTTCCCATCATCTAAATCTAATATATTACAATAACTCAGATGCCTCTTGATAAGTCCTTGTGTGTGCCAATTTGTGTTTTTTCCTCGATTGGTAATTCAGTTTTGTAAATCTAGATACTTGTACACGTGTCCATAATATATTCACACATCAGTCACCCATTAATCGGACACATTAAACAGGGATTAGTTCAGAGCATGAATGATAATCCCAGATATAAGAGAAAGAAACAAGGCACATAATACTTTTTGCCACACAGTGATGTCACTTTAATGGATCCCTTCATTAGAAACAAATTAACTGGCTGAACTTTAGAAATGACCCACTTAACACCTTCCACGTGATATCTGCTTTATTGCTTTCATCATGGCTGTGAATGGAAGCAGGGGGGGATAATTAGATTTGTTTCATCATGTAAGGCAAGAATAATCGATCCTCGAAAAAAGCCTTCTGCATCCATTTCAAACAGGATTTGGCCAAATCTCATCCTGGGGCTTAGAGAGGAGACCGCATGCATTGCTGGAAGATACGGCTGACAGAAGTTACATAACTATCTGTGTTTGCCTTTAATGACACTCCCTCTGTTGGGAACCATCTGTATAGCTTCAAATTAGCCCCATCGTCACAACTCTTAAGTGTATGCTAATGCAGAGCCACCACAAATAAATGGTGCTCTCATGGCATCTGTTAGCTTGCAGACAGGCACATTAACAACACTGCTTGGCAAAGGCGGTTATGTGCATGCTCAGTGTAGTGGCAGAGGAGCAATGCCTCAGATGAAGTGAAATTACGATTTACAGAACATCTCCAAGATTCTGGACCTGAAACTCAGTTTCTCTCAAAACTTTTTGTATCCGCAAAATATTCCTCAAGTAAAACAAATATTACTAATTGATGGCTAAAGAGGAGTCTGTCCACGCTTTTTCCTCCTTATCATCATTAATGAATAAATGACAATCCAATGAAGCAAAATGCATGCTACATTAAAGCTAGTTTATGTGACAGTCTTTTATTCTTGCTTAAAAAAGTTGATACAGTCAAACCAATACTCAGAATCTTGCAGAATTGTATTGTTTTTAAAGTACAGTGATAATAACAAATTGTTTGGCCGGTGGGGTTTCCCATCCCCTGATCCAGTTTGACTTCCATTCATCACACTGACTTCAATCCATAACTTTCCCTTCTTCTTCTTCCTTCTCCTCCTCAGAGCACTCAGAGACGGCTCTCTACAGGTCGGCAACGAGGCGGCGGTAACAGGGTCATCACCTTTGGCAGCTACACAGCTGGACACAGACGGAGCGCTCTGGTTGGGTACGTGTCCAAACATTAACATTCATTCAAAACATTGACTGTATGAAAAAAAAAAAAGTGGATGTAGCCACTGAGACGTTATCCATTGAAGCGTCTAGTGCAACCCCTTCAACCTTGATATTTTAACCAAAAGTCATCACAGTTGGAAACAGTTGGAGACTCATCATCGCAGCTTCGTCCTGGTGATTTTTCATTTACAGGCAGCAACATTTAAAATGTAACCATTATTATAAAGAGAAAGATTATATTGTACTGAAGGACACTTTTAAACTCAGTTGGAACATTTTTAAATGTAATACATTTACTGAGAAGTGGGCTCATGTCCCGTCTGGTTGCATACAATCCAAACCAGATCAGTTGCTTTTCTTTTTTTAAACAGATCTAAAGCCCTTCCATCTTCGCTTCACTTTTGAGACCAAATGCTTCGTCCACTTCTTATATACAGTCCATAATTCTGACTGGGAAATGTGTCTATGAGTGCTATACATCATGTCAGGTCTAAACTTGTACAGTAATTCTGTAGTACTTTTTCATTCAGCCACTGGTAGAAGGCTTCCAAAAATGAGGAATGGACTCATTGGCGTTGCAGAGGATAAGCAAAGTCTCTGGCAGGGGGAAAAAAAATGCAGTTTGGGCAAAAAAAAAAAAAACATCCAAGCCCATTCAGGTATTGAGTTGAGAAATGAAAGGCTATCTGACGTATTCAAAAGTTGCCTGCTCTTCTGAATTGAAAACATCTAAAGTTGGCCCGTTATCTGCCTCCAGTTCAATTTGGTCTGAGCTCGACTCTGAGGAATCACTTTTTAGAGAACACACAGGATCGAACATCCCGGGGAAATAACATCGAAGACAGGCAGCAAATGCAGTCGGACTCTTTCAAAATGCAGAGCGTGAGGCAGGGAAGAGGGTTTGGAGAGGAGAGGTAGTGTTGTGAGTGACATTTAAAAGACAGGCTGCATGCAGAGGGGCCGTCCGTGTACTCAGGGAACACGTATACAAACACACACACAGGGAGGCAGTGCTTTGGAACAGGTGCTGAGCAGGGCCTGCAGCGAGAATACTTAATCCTCACACAGCCCTCCCATCGAGAGCCCCTCTCCTTTTAAAATCCCCTTTTCACAGTTCATCATTAATTCATCTGTAACTCGCATGAAATTAGCCCTGTCGATCCCCGATTCGGAGGCACGCAATCCGATTAAAGGGGGCAGGGACAGGGGATGTAAGGAGCTCGACGGGGATATGAACCCTCAGCTCCGAAGATTAGAGAAGAGGAAACGGGGAAGAGGAGCAGAGAAGGGGAATGTGGGTCTAAAGAGGGGAGTTTTTTTTTAGCAACGTAAAAGGAGAAAGACAGGACGCAGACAGAATGTGACAGATTAAAGAAAGGGAGAAAGAAGAGACAGCAGCGATGGCAGGAAGGTAAAACATCAAACGGCTAGGGTCAACCTCTTTCCCAGTAAGAACACATCTCATAAAATTCTGAATAAAGACGTTTCATGCTGATTTTATTGAAAGCGACACTAATGACTACTACTGGGTGTGCTGGCTCAAAAGAGTAACTCAAAACACCATCAAAAGGAAAAAAGGAGCCAGCAGTACACCCGGCAATTAGGTCATCAAGTCTCCACCAAAAGATGTTATGAGACGTGGTTAAAAATTAAAAAAATCATTTGAAATAATAAGTGAAAACGAAATGGAAAGTACAAGGGGCTGAAACATTTGCTTTGAAGTAGAAATCCATGAAAATTTCATATTGAGGAACGTCTGTTTTTAAACTTTCTGTGACTGATGGATGAAAGACTTCAGTGAGATCCAGTTCACAAGTGTCTTAAGGGTCATTCTCTGAGAAACAAAAGTATTTAGACTCCTTTTAACAGTCTTAATGTGTGCATATTTAGTATTTAGTTTATTAAGTATTTAACAGCATCTCTGCTGAGAAACTCTTGGAACTTGTCAACAGTTTTTTTAAAGGGACTACTTCTAGAAGAGAAACTAGATTCAGATTGGATTAATTCAGAATTTTTTGACATGTGGACCATCGATTCCAAGGAAAAAGAAATCGGAAAAACAGGAAATATTTGGTTTAATAATAAATGAAGGAAGTTTTGGGCTGTCAGTGAGTCAATAAGTGCATCACATTAAGAACAGTCAAAGTAGTGAAAACTCTCCTCGATGGATGGATCATATTTAAGGAGGTCAAAGCTCCTCGATGAGTGCTCGGATTAAAACATGATGAGGATATTAGGTAATCAGGATTTAATACCCTCACACCTTGTATTTGTCGCCGTGTCGAGCCCTTTATGTCAAAGCATGTCACATTTGAAGAGCAGTCTCTTCATCTACCTTAACTTTGTGTGGCTGGCGTGCAGTCTTTCTGTCTGCAGCGCTTTGATCGTGCTGGTTTTGACAAATAGAGCGTTGATCTGTCATGTCACTCGACTGGTGTCATCAAGCGGAACAGAAAAATCAAAGACAAAGCCTGACAAGACAAGCATCCGCTTAAGTACTGGAAATACATTCTCCTACCAAAATGTTTCCGGTACATCCCTTTTGATGGCATTAGGTCTAAATTGTAATGAAAGGCTTCATCCGGGTGTTTGATCTCTAGGGCACACGCAGCTCTTGTGTAATGTCTTCTGGTGAACTGAAGGAGTAGAGAAAAATATCCAGTGATGATGTCATTGGGGGATATCTTGGCTGGGGATTCATATTAGATAATCCTAACAGAAAGCCTTCATGTCAGATAAGGCTGACTGTGGAGCATAGACCATTGTTTGGCCATCTTTGAGCATCTTGTCTCCTAGTTTAAGATTTGTGTCTTCTTGTGTCATAATTACTGATCGTTCCTTTATTTGGCTGTTCTTGCAAATTAGCATGTTACACACCATCAGAGAAGAGAAAAAGAGGGGATTAAAGTAGCTGGACCACTCATCTTTTATTCTTGAACAAGAAAAACATCCTTTAAAACCTTTTTATTAGACATTCTTAATAAGAAGCATCCAATTTAGTAGCTCTCTGAGGGTTGTGCAGTAGTCCTATTTCTCTTGTTTCCTTATTTTATAGCGCCTCCAGCTACATGCTAATTTTGGAGGTTATTTCCCGTCACTCAGGTGCAGAATAAATGTGTAAGCTGGATGTTGGCTTGGGTCTTTGTGCAACTGCAACTTCTTAACTAAGTCTGAGGCGTTAGTCAAAGCATCAAGAGGAGTTTTTCTTGGCTAGCCCTCCAATGTCATGTTGGTTTCTTTTTGGGCTATACAGGCTAATGTTGTCTGCTGTATTATGAGGGATGTAGGAACTCAAGTTTTGGGTTTAAAAATAGAAAAACATGCATTAAATGGAGACATTTCAGCGCCCCCCTGTGGACAAAGGGGGCACCATTTTTATTTCTTTGCAGATTTTGTCCTGTTCATGTGTAAAAAAGACATCAGGCTTTCTTTTAAAAGATAAATGTATCGCTAACTGTGATTCTTTGCTGTGGAGAGTATAAAGAAAGGCTGTTTCTGCAGCTGTTCATCACTTTGTCTGACACCTTCCCTGCAGCAGGGGGTTTGGACATTAAAATAACTGTGTAGAAAAAGTCAATCTTTATGCTGATGGTCATGTTTGTCTTTGTAGGTCTTAAAAAGACATAGATATTAATTTCAGTCTGTTTCATGGCTAGCTTAAAACTCCTCACAGGAGCTTTAATGTGAGCGTAAGAGTGTAAATGACTCATCGTGTTCTCTCTCGTTGTCTCCTTCAGGTGGTCTGGAGGAGCTGGCAGTGACTCGTCGGTTGCCCAAGGCCTACAGCACCGGCTTCATTGGCTGCATCAAGGACGTGATGGTGGACGGCTTGGATCTCCACCTGGTGGAGGACGCCTTAAACAGCCCCCAAATACTACAATGTTCTGCCGCCAAATAACCGGGCAGAGACGAAATATATAGAAAAAATCGTTTAAAAAAGAAAAAACCTCCCCACCCGCTCCCTCCATAGCACCCATGTCTCCTGCTGTAATTATTTTCTATTTTTGTATACTTTTCATCGCTTTTTATATGGAAAGAAAATTAATATGTCATTTTTGTTTATATATATTTTGGGTTTTTTTTCTTCTGCACCTCCATTCACAGAACATGTTTTTCTTTTTCTTTACTGCTCCGGCCCCTTCATCTTTTTTTTTTATCTGCGCAGGCATCTCTGTGAAAAAGAGAGATTTTATTCTGGCCACTTTTGTTGTTTTAGAACAAATGCCAACTTTAAAAAAAAAAAAAGAAAAAAAAAGAAAAAGCCTGCTCCTTTTTTTTCTCGCTCATTACTTGAACACTGGTGGACGTCGCAGATGATCTCTGGTGACTGCCTTGTCTTGGTGCCATATCTATCGTCCACATTCCCCAAGCATGGCCTATACATCCATGAATATATAGACATACATTCCCCTGAGAGAGCCGGACTCGGTGTAGTCTGGTGTGTGCAGGTCTTTGATGCTGCAGCCAGCTGGTGTCTCCAGTCAAAAGAAAAAAAACTCTGTATTCATTCTCTGTAGCCCTCTGTATTTTCCTAATGGGACTTTTCTGATATCAGTCAAGCTGCTACAGTGAGAAAGTACACATTCATAACCACTCGATCAACCCCCATCTCACAGCACCCCAAAAAAAAAAGTCAAGACTCTCCTCTCAATCTGAATCCCATCAGAGCCTTTAGTTTTGAAATATGACTCACTAACACTGCAAGCTGACACGATGGAGACGGAGAGAGCGCTGCATTCCTCGATGACTCGCATATCATTAGTCATAAGTCAAGACATGAATCATAGACATGAATAAATGTTATAAATATAGAGTATATAAATAATACCTGAGACTGTGAATATGTACGATGGGTTCTCTTTGGAGAATTGTGCTTCTCATGTACTATTGTGCGTTCTGTTTTACAATCAGCAGATGAACTAATGATGACCACTATAAATGCATGCACTTCTGCAGTGTTGGTTTGAATCTGGTTTTTATTTGTTTGTTTTTATATTCACTTTTTGTTTCTTTCTTATCCGGGGAAATGTCACAGTTTGGGGGTTTGCTTGTTTTTCTGCAATGACTTTGAAAAAGGTTCCCTTTCTTCTCTTATTTCCACTGATGTGATTTCACAAACTACAAAGTTATGTTTTCTGTTCGCTCATTCCCTGTATCTACTTATGACGTTTTTGTTTATTTTTGTTTTGGGAGCAGTTAGTTTTGCGGGACTTTGAATGGTGCATCCGGGGAAGAGTTGTTACCATATTTGACCTTAAGGAGGTGCTGAAAGCAAAGACTGAAGAAAAGGACAGACAGAAAAGGATGCACTGAGGAGAACTACTCTTGGGAACATCCTATCAGACAACAGTGGACACAAACACACACAAAACAAAAAAGCTTCAAAAAAACTCTGCCTGAGACTTCGTTTCTTTTCTTTATTTGACCTCGGAGCATTCCTGGAGGAGTCTTTATTCGGCTGTTTCTGAGAGAGAGACTGTGATGTTGTTGTGACCTTCTGAAGCCATAGCAGCTGCAAAAATGGGAAAAAAAGACGCATAATCCTACAGTACTTGCAAATTAACATAGCAACGCATGGGTTTGTATTACTAGTGCAAATTCTGTAACTTTCAGTGAACAGATGCAACGTGGAGTCGTTGCTGCTGGACCACAAAAAGCTTCAGCGACTGACTAAAAGACTCTTGTTTTGATATGAGAAACTTGGCAATATCTTAAGACAAAATCATGCTTGTTCGTGGTCGAGTATCAAATGGTCTCGTACTTTTTTTTTTCTTTTCTATCTTTAAGTTGTTAATTATGTTTTCCTTCTTCAATCATCAGACAACCTGTTTTTGTACAGCCCTGCAATTTTTAAGTGTAAATTTAGCAAATGTGTGATCTGTGGAGGTTTATGTTTTTAGTAATATACACTGGAACCGTGTCCGACGTGTCTGTTTGCCCACACGATGATATACTCATGTACATGGGGGAGGGACTGTGTGGGATGAAGCTCTGAGTGTCCACACCACACCGAGCAACACTTCTCTGGTGTCCCAGTACACGTTTCAATTCCACTACTTACTCTCTTATTAACCTCAGAATGGTCTTATCTACCACACTGTTCTTTCTTCAATTGGAGCATTCAGGTGGTAACACTTAATAAAGGAGAGTTTCCTGTGTATTTGTGAGGACTTTAGACCAATAAGGACAGTTGCAGTCTGGTCTGGTTTGAGTGGAAACTTTGAATTGCCTTAAAAACTCATCACCTGGACTCTTAGCAGGTGACAAAGACATCATCCATATAACTGTTTCCTTACTTTAGCCAGTGTATTAGCCTCATCCCCATAATGTAAAAATGAGTAATGCATAATAACAATGATAATTATATTAGTAATAATGCACACATACACACATTTAAAAAAAAATCCCAGGGGGGGCTCTGCAAATAACCCCCCCAGGCTTTTGACAAAAACCTATTTACTGTTTTATGACTCTATTTTCTGTTCCTTATTTATGTCTCCATGTGGGTTACCCTCCATGTCTGGCCTCTGTAAACTACTGTCTGACTGCGGAAAAATGAACCCTCCTCAAACGGCAGTGCACCGAGTATGAGTGGCATGACCTGAGCATTACTAACTTTATGACCTTTGTCTTGTGTTCCTACCACCATGAAATAAAATGTCAACCAAACGGAGACGTTCTTGTCGGACTTCTGATTTTGTGTCATCTGGAGTTGATTTTTTTTTTAGCGACTCTTTAAAAAGAGTACGCTGCTGTTATTGTCTTCGTTCAGCATTGTCAAAAAACAAACAATGTGTGAATCTATCTCAATAGTTTCTCTACATTGTCATCGGTTTCTTTCTCAACCCAAAGTCCTGGATCATTCCTACTGAAGTTCTACATCTTCATAAAACAAATCACAAACGTTTTTTTTGTGCTTCTGCTGGGTATTGTAGTTTTTTAGCATTTCCTCTCCAATCACGATGAAGAGCTCTCTTTTGTGAGACTATTTTCACCTGTGAATTACAGGATCATTCCTGGCACATGGATGGTATTTGAAGTTACTGTTGAAAATAATCTGCACTCATTGGAAATGTACGTTTGAAAAAACTTCACGTTAGGTCACTTGCTCGCTTTTTTCAAGCGCTTTAAACAACAAGCTGCAGAAACCTGAAAATAAAATACATGATAAAAAAAAGCCCTTTAGACCTTTACATGTAAGTGTGAGGACAGTTAGTAAACCTAGACTTCATCCTTTTTTTAAACTATATCCATCTTAATGAAGCAACTTCACACCTGGTGCATTTTTTGAGCTCTTTGATTTGTTTTTAGTAGTTTATAGACATAAAATGAGCTCCCTAGCACAGTGGAAAAATCTACACCAGGCTTTAGATACACAGGCAATCAGTTCGGTCAGTTAGTTGTTGGCTTGCAGTTCATGGGATTTGTTAACAGTAAGAAAATTGTCCAACAGTAAAGCACATTTCTGACACATTTTTTACACCTGATGTTGCATGAAATGATGGAGATTCTCGAGCAGAATAGAAGTTTTTTTTTTAAAGACACCTTTTCCTGGAGCTTATCCCCTTCTCCTGGTCTTCATTAGTGTGTAATGTTTTTTTTCAGTTGGGATGGAGATGTCCTGGTCGTCATCACATTACCAGAGTCGTGCTTTATGACTTGCTCCCTTGTTCAATGACAAAGTTTTATCACTGAACGCTCCTGTGAGGAGTTTTTATCTGGTTATAAAACAGACTGAAATTAATATTGATGCTTCTTTATGACCTACAAAAGCGAAAAAAAGACCATCAGCATAAAGATTGATTATTTCTATATAGTTATTTTTAATAGCAGAAACCCCAGTTGCTTGCTAGGTGTCAGATGAAGTGAGTCATTGCACTCTGCAGAAACAGCCTTTATTATAAATCTCCACTGCAAAGAGTCTCAATGAGTGATATATATGACAGCTAAAAGACAGCAGGATAGTTACACATTTACAGGACAACAATAAGCAAAGGAATGAAAAGTACTGCTTTAAGCTAACAGTGCTTGATGGTAAACGGACTTGACAGTATTACTCTACTGTACTACTCAAAGTGCTTTTATACCGCAGGTCACACCTACACATTCACACACTGATGGTAGAAGCTATTTTGCAAAGTGACCATCAGAAGTAACTAATCCCATTCATACACATTCACACACCGCCGACGAAGCAGTGGGAGCAACTTGGGGTTAAGTGTCTTGCCCAAGGACACATCAGATATGTGGCTGAAGGAGCTGGGGAGTGAACCCCCCGACCTTCTGGTTGAGGAACAACCGACTCTACCAACTGAGCCACAGCCGCCACCCCTGATGAAGGTGTGGTTAAAACCTCCTTAAAAGCTGGTCAGCTGTACTTGTGTCAGGTATCTTTTGTCAAGCAGGCAGAGTTTTATTTTAACAAGTTATAACTTTTGGACCATTTTTGCCTTTAGTAGATGGGACAGCTAAAGAGAGACAGGAAATGTTGGGAGTGGGGGATGACATGTGGCAACCCACGGTGCCTCTGATGAGGACTATAATGGCCTCTGTACAAGGGGTGCACGACATAACCACGAGGCGCCCCAAGCAGGCAGAGTTTCTTGAAACTTTTTCCGGCTCCCTGAAATAATAAGTATTATTATCAATAAGGAATGAGACAGTTGATACATGTTTAAAATTGTAATATAAAATATGGTGGAGAAGCCCAAGTCTCCGATGAATTCACTGTCAGTCTTTTAATCATTTTTAGATTCCAGACACCTTCACGTTCAAGTAATTATAAGTTTAGACTTCAATCTGTGTTGTGCCTTAATGAGCGTTCTCTGCTCACATCTTTGATTGAAATGTCCAAGATAAACAGTGTTTCTACAAATCAAAAGCAATTGACGCCAGCGCACTCATGAACATATCAATAAACAGCAACATTGATATTTACCTCTTATCATTCAAATCACCTATAGCAATTTCTGGTACTTCAGCACTAATTAAAAGCCTGGAATTCAAGTATATAAAAAAAAACTGCAACAGCTCTGCACAGATTCATACATCATTCAGCACATCCCAGATCCGTGCAGAGCGCTTTTCATTAAGACTGAGATTTAATGAGTTTGATTTATTCCTCGCTAATGACGGTGAAGGACATTGCATGTTTGTGTTGTGTTAATTAAAATGGTGCTGATGAAATAGTTTTGCTCAGAGAGGGATCCTTCTGGGGAACGATCGTTTTCAAGTTAATAAGAGTAAGTAGTTTGATTAAAGGGCTTTCCAGGAAATAAAATCACTAAACTAAATGCAATATCCAAACATGGAACCAGATCATGAAATCGAGAATCTCTGCTTGGCTGGCACCCAGGGGAGACGGCTCATGGTGAAATATGCCTTTGAGAGCACACAGGATTGAAACAGAAAGCCCTCATTTTGATTCATGTCTTCAGCAACCCAAAGCTGTAGCTCAGAGGCATTTTGAGATGTGTTTTTGTATCACATGTTGGAGACTGAGGTTTGTTTAAAAGGTCAAAGTGGAATACATGAATTATGCAACAAACCCTCTGGATGAAATTTCATCAGATCTTCAAACCTGAGCCAAATATGAGCCCTGAACCAAAAGAGTCCACAGCATCACCCGTTATGAAAGAAACTGTTCTTAGAAAATCACTGCTTGAGTTTCTAGGAATATTTTCTAAAAATGTCATCTAGTTTCATCACTTAAAAATAAAAGACCTCCCTCCTACCAAGCTACATTACACCCCTTTGGTGAGATAAAGTTCCCCTCTCACAGCGTTTTATGTCCACATGGTAATAAAAGTGCTTTCTTTGTGACAAGGCTCCAGCTGTCCAGCTGCATCTCGCAGTATAAGTCCTCTTTGTTTCCTCTTCCAGACTTTTTTTCAGTCTCTGGACAGACAGATTTAAAAGTCTGGAGGCAAAAGGGGGCAAAGGTCACAAGCCCATAGAAGCAGCCACCTCGGGGTAGATGGGACATCCTGGTTTGCAGTCCCCTGGGTGGGAAACTCTGCTTTGTGCTCTTGAGTCTTTTTGTCCCTCCTAGACTCAACAGGACATGAGTCTGCATGTTGATTATAAGTGAATGCTTCAGTGCAGGAACCTCGTCATACCTTTCCATTACTTACTTTGTCCTGAGTGAACACATCCTTCAACCAACTCCACCATTATGTTTTAGAGGATTTTAATGTTCTTCAAGGCCTCATTATGCCAATAGGGCTCTTTCAGTTTCACTATGTTTGTGCTGTAGTGCGGTGTTTTCAAATTGATGTATTTTTAATCTGCTTTTCCACTCTTCAAAAATAATGTCCCCCAGTTATCTCCTAAAATGCATGCTTCAAGGTGCAGCACAAAAATGTCCCAAGATTTCCAAGGACGTTAAAATCAGCCAATAAAAGTTAATGACTTTGTTTTGAGTCTTATGAATTTCAGCTCTTAATGTGCACGTTGTCGTGGTCATACTCCAATTACAACTCAGCTGTGTCTTACACTCTTTATCAAAGTTTGAAATGTAACTGTATCTGTCTGCTCACCTATACACACATGTTTCCCGATTGGCTACTTTGTGGTTTGAAAATTTTTGTTTCTACAATATCATATGTTGATGCATTGCATTGTCTCATCAGATGAATATCCAACCGCTCCAGAACTCCAGCTCAAAAGGTTCCCAAGATTTCCAAAGAACCATATAATCCTCCAATAATGATCATGACCTAGTTTTCAGACTTGTTTCCATTATGTTTGGTATCAAGCACTAAATTTGCACTTTGCTATATTCAAATTCCTATTTCAATTCAGCTATTTCTCACACTCAAATCTAAAATTTTAATGTATTTGTCGGCTCTTCTATATATGCAATTTCCCCCTATTGGATTCATTATGATGTTCAAATCAAATGTAAAAATGTGCACTGAATTTATAAAAGGAAAATTATTTTCTTCTGATTTTTTATTAAGAGGCAGTTTAGTCTTTTTTTTTAAGAGAATAATCCACTTAAGCTGTCAGTACACGCCAACAATAATTTCCCTCAGTTACCTCTTAAAGTGTGCACTACTGGGTGCAGCACAAAATTTCCCAAGGTGTTCAAGGAACCATAAAATCCCCTTATAATGATAATTACTTTACTTTATAGACTTGTATCAATTAAACTTGATATGAAGCACCAAATGTGTACTTACTAGCCGGATTCAAATTCATCTGTTACTTAAACCTTTCTTAAAATTTAGGAAAATTTAAAAAGAAAATCTACTCCTTAAGGCATGTGTTTCTTGAAGGCAAATCAAAATGCACTTAAACTGCTTTGCTGCACGTCTTATTAAGAATAATCGCCTCCTGATATCTCCTGCCTGAAGTCGGAGGCTCGGAGGACAAGAATCCCAACGTGTCCCATTCTCTTCAAAAGCGCCCAATAAATGGTAATGACTTTGTTTTTAAGTCCCTCAGTATTGTAACAATCACATTAAGTATGAAACACTTAATGTGCACTTTGTGTTTGTCCAATTCCAATTCAGCCATTTCTCACCCACCTCATCAATTTCCACTAAGTATCGATCAGAGAGTAATGTCCTCCCATTTTGTGACAGGATCATTTTAACTGCCAGGTCCCAACAATAAACCCTATGTTCAAACCCATCTATCCAGCCTGAAGCACGGCACAGCTGGCAGAGAAAATAAAACATCTACTTCAGCAAGAAATCCCACAGAGAGAAGAAACTTCCCCTCCATCGCCTCTGTGTTTGTGTGTAAGCTGCAGCAGTGGGTCAAACAGTGGAAAAGCAAATCTATACATGTGAAGCCTGTGAGCTCACAGACAATTGCATAAGCCCATCCATCCCCCAGTAGATTAACCTCTGCTGATAACCACAGGCGGGTGACGTCAATGCTGCTCTGCCTCCATTACTACTCTGCCCCCCTCCCTCCCAATCAGCAACACCATCCTCTGAGCAGGGAGGCTTTCCCATCAGGAGAGTATTACAGTATATATAAAAAAAACAAAAACACTTATCTCTCACAAGACAATAGCAGAGCTTAACATAGCTCAGAAAAAAACTTTGCAGGTTAATTGCATCAAGGGTGAAAAACTATTGCCTTAATGTTTAGCATACTCAATGCACACATGTACAGCTGTTTCTGATTTTTTATTTTATTTTGTCTAATTTGTTGTTGATGTTGTTTACGGTCCAGTTTCTTTGTTATTGCATTATCAGCATTATCAATTAAATATAAGATTAAGTCAACTCATTAAACTTTTTTAAGCCACATTCAACTGACAAGTTCAGATAAAATGTTTTGAGATATTTTTTACTCAAAATGAGACAAATGCACCCGCTTTAAGTTTTGGCAGTGTAACAGGAAGTAGATTGTCTGTGTCTTTTTCATGAAATGTTTTAGATGAGACCCTGTTTACAAATCTGTCCCGTCCAATAGGAGCTGAGAAATTAACAATCTGTTTATATATATTCTACAAAAGTTATTAACCTGTACAGACACACAAGAGTTACAACAGTATTATTAAGATGCATCAAGTTAGCTACAATAAGTCAAAACAGGACAGGAAAGAAAGCTTGTGCAAAATAACAGTGTAAAATAATCACATTTAACATAACTGTGCTGACATTAAATCCAACAAAGTGCATATTATACTTTTTTATCTGAATAAAATACAAACTCAAGGCAAAAACAGGGCGGCACGAGGTCACACTTAAATATGTTTACTTGGATTTCTTGATGTTACATGCTTTTGATAATGTTCATTAAGCATGAATCTTTGTATGTTGTATAGTGGGTTGTGGGTTGTTGTTCTTGTAGGTTAGTTTTGTGATGTTTATATAGCCTATACATTTTTTTTTTGTTCTCTGGAAATAAATTAACTTTACTATTGGGAAAATAAATTGTAGTTTGGAGTTAGAAATTAGCACAACCTGAGGTTTGTAAAGCTCAATTTGAAGAATGACATTCCTTCAAACAGATATATTAAAAAATAATAATGATTTAAGATGAATATGAATCAGATTATTTGCAGCACACCCAGACAATGTGAATAAGATAATAAATAAATAGTTATTATTGAATATTATATAATTCATGTGTTTTAAAATGTAGCCATCCACCTTACTTCCGCCTGGTCCTAATGCCTTTGTTTTGAAAACCTCGACCGGAAGCCGTGTCAACAGAAATGTGTAGCTGCCTGGACGCGCAGGTTCAACAGATCAGTCTTCACAGCGACTTAGCGGAGGTAAAAGAGAAACGTTTGAGGATCCTTGAACGCTTTCAGAGACTGCTATGACATCTCGCAGGTAGAGTGGATTTAGTTTTGTTTGTTTTGTTTTATAAACTGACATTAAGACACCGTCATAATGAACCGTTTATTTACACGGCGCGTTAACGGACGAGATTCAAACTGAGCACAGAAAACAGACTCAACTTTTCACCTCCAAAGAAAAACTTCAGCCTCACATAATGCATGTTTTCAAAGAAATTACATGTCGTAGTGAGTTTGTCTGGTTAGTTATGTGTTGACAAATTGATAACCGCCTGGTCAGTAATTAAAAAGTGAATCTAACGTCACAGTTTATTTATCGAACAAGCTGCTACTATATAAAATAAAACATAGGTTAAGTTCGTCATGTTATAAAAGGTGGCAGTGTTTGCCCAATTATGATATTATATTGTAGCTAAGTCAGAATATAATATTTTAAATATGAATAGGCTACATCCATACAGGTGCACTGTGGAGTTTTGGAAGAGAAATGTGACATTTAGAGAAATGTACAGATTCTGTGGTTTATGTTTATAACTCAATACTCAAACTGTCCTCAGAGGAACATTTGGTCCTTGTAACTATGTTTGAAGATAAAATGATATATACGAAGGTAAGGAGCCGCGACAGTGAACCCCTCACTCTCCTGGTCGCTTTTTAGCTCCTAACAATGTTTCAGGGACCCATGTTTTTTTTCTTTGAGTAAAGTTTGTGTATTTAGTTCAGAAAATATATCATATAGTTGTACTTCTCCAACATAGGGCACCTTTAAAGTTAGGCTATATCCAAACACAACACATATTACTATCCTCAATTAACTATCAACAGCTGTGAGCTATTATTTGTCTCTTTTTTCATTAATTAGTGTTCATTTGAATCCTAACCATATACAAAGTATTGTGGAAAATGGAAAACACGTCTCTAAGGGCACTTAAAGCAAAAGCCATGTTTAAAACACTGAAGCAACATGAGTTGCAGGTCTAAATTGTTGTAATGATCAGCAGCAACAACAACAATACAAGTGTGCATAAGAGTAACTCTATCTTACATTAGGCCCAACAAAACATCTCAAATATTTAATACCAATAGAATGTATACTACTACCACATTTTTAAGTTCCTCTATGTTATGCACAGTTTTATAAACAGACACATAGGGCCTGCTCTTCAGTGACATCTTTGTTAAGTGTTGCACAGTGGTGTACAGTGTGTCCATTCATTCTACCAATAACTCTGTCCTCTTTCTACTTATTATTAACCACATGTAAATCCGTGGACTAGTAATCATTTGTAGGTCTCACTGAAACATTGACCAGATTAGTGTGTGAGGAATTAAGAGCGACAGGAGGCTGTGCCAAACACCATAAACTGTTGTATGCACCAGGAAGAATATTTAATAAAAATATTTGACACTTTTATAATTTTCTATAAAATAATGAATAGGCTGTGTGGAAAAACGTTTTGTCCTATGTATATGTCTGTGCAAGGTGACCTCAGAAAAGATGACTCCAAAAATCAGCTTGTGTCTTGACCATTATGGATGTTGTGGACATAAGAAAAATGCAAGGTTGGCAGTCAGAGTTTACTGTTAAAACAACTAGTCTACTGGTATATGGGTGGAAAATATAGCCGATATGCTGTATCTGCATGGTTTGGCTTCTCACTGTTTGTTAAATTGGAATGGTGAACTAATTATGTTGTGGTAATAAGGCCATTTCATTAATTGAAGCATAATCCCACTTCACTAAAATAACAGGCATTTATTCGCAGAACAAAGGGTATTAAATTCTGGCCATATTATTTGGCAGTCTTTTTCTTTTCACAATAAAAAATAGCTTTATATGGCTTACACCTCGGGGTATCAAAGAGTTCATGAACATACAGTAATAGCTGCCAGGCTGGCCGGTTCATTTGGTGGAAATTTGATTGTTAACAACACAAAACATAGTATACCTTTTTAATGCCAAGATGCTTCATGGTAAACCCTAAAGCATGGACGTACTAAACACAGCTTGAAGTGGTACTATGTGTGGCTCAGCTTGCATAGACTTTAGAGCAAAATCCAAATCCTTTTAAACTTGCTGCAGTGGCCGTTAATTCTTCAGACTATTACACGGATGTAAACGAGTTATTGTTTCTATTTAAATCTTTTCCCATATTTAGTTGTAATGGAAACACAGATCATGAGTTTAACCTTACTGTGTGTGTACAGGTAAGTTGGTAGATCATAGAGTAGTAAAGTAGTAAAGTAGAGAGTAGTCCCTCAAACTTTAAAATATGCCTAGTTCGACTTGTTTACACTGTTTGTGGTTCAGATTATTTGAATCAATCTGATTTATTGGGGAAAGCCATTGCATTTTTTTCCAAGTGTAGTGTCCCCCAAAGAACAGTAACGGGTAAAAAATCTGACTTTCTCCAGACTCTTCATGGCAGACATATGAGTCAGGCAGTCAAGTCTACAAGCTGAGCTACTGCTAACTTGTGTCCCTGTGCTCAGTTTGATTCAAGGTTGGGATTCCTATAAATGAACCATGCCCTTAAAATGGGTGAAAGCACTGAACGTAGCAGTTTCACATCAAAGATTGGTGTCTGTCCAATGCTCCTAGTCAGGGCATTTAAGGGCTGCAAGCTGAGCTGTTGTTAACTCAAACGTTGGATGATTTAAATCCTTAGTTTATTTATATAGTCATTAGCAATGTATTTTTAAACGATTGAATTGCTGAAGTGTTTTGATATCTGGCCTGCAGCTCACTTTGATGATAAACTCTGATAAAGTAACTTTTGAAAGGGAAACAAGATTAAGATGGGATGATTTAGGAGTTTTAGTGATTTTGGCTCAAATGAGGGGAAAAAAGGGTGAAAACCTACTTTGAAGTGTCTGACAAAGTCGGAGTTGGATTCAGCCCACATTTGGGAACTTATCTCTAGAATTCTATTTCAAGAAAGTTTCTCCTTCGACATTTTTTTTAAGAAGTTTTTTCTCAGACATTTACAATAAACACTTGTGTGTTGACAGAAAGCCATGCCGTCAGTTGCCCCAGGGGCCGAAGTCAGCAGCAGGCTCAGAGATAGAGGAAAACACAGACAGTTAAAAGTTGTTTTCATCTCTGCCAATTTCTATGGTGGGCCGCCGACTGAAACAAGCAAGACTGTTTCACAGTGGCCTGTTCTGTACTTCCTGAGCTGAAATACCACAGGGGAACAATACTGCTGTGCGTGCCATCATGATGTGACAGACTTGCTCTCCTGTTGATAGTATCATTCATACTCCCTGTTACAGGAAGGATCTAACTTCAACATACTATGTTGTTAGGGCTGGCTGGAGTTTCCACAAACCTTTATTGTTTTTACAGTTACGATTTGTGACGTAATTTAGTTGTAATAAAGGAACCCCATACCCCGTGTTTTTGCCATTAACGTTACAATGACGCAGCTTCACTTTTCACTGCTGTTCTGCTTTTATTTTCCCAATTGATTCTGTGTAGTGCTACAAACTTTCCACTATTGGAAACCACCTCTGCCCCCCTCCTTTGTTTAAAGAGGAGACCTCATCTGTCACTGGAGCTCATTGGACCAGCTGAGAACAGTGAGTCAGTTTTGTCGATTAGCCGACAGGAAAACAACAGCCCATGTGGAGGAATAAGATAGCACTGCCAACGTTTCCAGGAGTGCTCTCAACCAACTGTTAGTTTTTTTTTCCAGATAAATGGTTTGAATTCTTTCATTTGAATCACTCAAAAACAAGCTATTAGAGGACACAAAAGCTCCACATACTCAGGACCTCCAAATATGAGTGTCTTGCAGGTGAATTATTTTAGGATCAAGTGCTAAAACACAAAAAAGAGACTCACTTTTCTTGGTGTTTGAAAAAATCAGACCTGCACACAAGTTTGATTTAGTCGTGAAAATCCAGGCTCAGGTTAATGCTACAACACATACCTGTGTCATCTGATTAGATAACTGAGTTTTGAATATGAGTCATGCACTCGTCTGACTTCAGTAATCTCACTATCTTTGTTAGAGCAGGCTGGTTAAGCGGAACAACAAACTAAAATCCACCATCCTGTAACTTCTGTATGCTGGAAGGTTGATGTCAGTGTATGACAATAGGCAAGTTCTCATAAAGATACAGGGTTGTACGTTAACTTTGTTTGCCCATAGCACTTGTGCTACAGAGGTTGATAGTCTTGTAGCACAAGACAATAACTTGTAGCCTGATATAAGAAAACCCTGAAATGCTCTAGGCACTTTGTGTTCAGCTCTCAGTACGTTGTAACTGAACCTGTATGGTTTGAAGTTTTGTTTCTCTCCTGTAATTTTATTTCCAGACATCTCAGTTGTGTTAAATTGCTATTGCTAAAATCACCCATTTTTTGATACGGTTGCTTAATAATAAAAACATTTAAAAGACATAGTAATTAGGGACTTTCATTGTAAAGAGCTGGCCGGTAGGTTGAATCCACCTGACACTGCCAATACTGGAGCTAATTCTAACCCTGACACACAGACACAAACCTACCCCTCTCTCTCACACAAAAAAATAAAACAAAACCTCTCTGTCAGTGCTATGAGGTAAAATAATTCTTTGCACTGACCAATGTTCTTGCTGCACGTGCAACATATATGTCGTTCTGTACAGCAGATCTACTCTGCCATTAAATTGTATCTGAAGTGTGATTTTTCTCTTCATTATGGGTGTGCCTTCACCTTCAAGGGTCCCAAAGTGTGATCAAAGTTTAGTTTTTATTTTCTGTTTTACAGAACTTTGTTGTCTGTTTGAAAAAAGGCCAGATGTGTCTGTGAAATAACATTGCAGTTATTCATTAACAAATAATCTACAAAGCTACTGTTACTCTGTTTAATAAGTACGGTTTACTCCATGTGAAGATCAAAATTGCTCATGAATACATTGTGACTTTTTTTGCAGGATTAAATGACTGTGTAACTACCTTTTAAAGCTTTGAACAGTTTTTCAAATCACCATGGTCACATTTTATTGATCAGTAGCTTGGGTACAAGTGCATGCGCGTGCCCAGTG